CATTGCCAAATATCTAAGCTCTAGCTTTTTACAGTTCTTTAAAAGAAAGATTTTTTAAGTTTTTACTATATGCATATAGGGAAAATCAATGACCCCCCGGGCCGGGGCCAATTTTGACCCCAGGGCTTTTATTTGAACAAACTTGGTAGACACTCACTAGAAGATGTTTTCATGCCAAATATCTTAGCTCTAGTTCTTTGGGTTTCTTTAAAAGAAGATTTTTTAAGTTTTTTACTATATGCATATAGGGAAAATCAATGACCCCCTGGGGCGGGGCCAATTTTGACCCTAGGGCTTTTATTTGAACAAACTTGGTAGACACTCACTAGAAGATGTTTCATGCCAAATATCTAAGCTCTAGCTCTTACGGTTTCTTTAAAAGAAGATATTTAAAGATTTTTCTTTCGGTTGCCATGGCAACCAGAGTTCTGCATGAAATGGAATTCTTTGAACAATCTTGATAGAAGCTTCATACAAAGAGTATTCCTGCCAAGTTTCATTAACATTGGCCTTGTGGTATCATAGAAGATGTCCTTAGAATATTTAAAATGTGGACGGACGACAGACGACGGACGCCATTTGGTTGGCCATCCTAAAAGCTCACCTGCACTTTGTGCAAGGTGAGCTAAAAAGCTTATCCGACAAATGCATGAATAAGTATTCATTGGCAAGGATTATCAAAGATCAAGCATGCATAAACTGCAAAATCAGTACAACTGTTTAATAACTGGTGTAACACAATTTCCGTGATCAGACTTTAATATTTGTAATATATACGGCTTTTTGTTGTCGTTTTCTTACCTCGCACCAACACAGTATATGTCATAAGGCTACTTTCCAGCTTAACTAGTCAAGGAATACCTCTGTGCATAATTCTAGGCAAGACTGGACAGTCAAGGAGAATAACCGACTTTCCGGAGCTAGCTGGGTAAATTCCTTGCATGACAGAATCAAGTCTCCAGCGGGATTCAAACTCAAAATGGTGAGTGACGAGTAGTTTGAAGTCAACGACCTTAACCAGTCGGCAACAGATGTTCGTTTGATATGTAATTGCAAGTATAGGTAAACTTTTGTAAGAAAATGTAGCTACAAAGTAAGACAAACCAAGCAAGTATATTTCTATTAATGTATTTATCAACTGTACCAGACTTTGCAATTCAAAACATAGGATATAAAATCTCTTTAAGAAATGGTACAAAAACACTACATAATAAATTGTTAAATCATGTACAAAACAAACATAATCACTGGTACATAATGTAAGTGAAAATGGTAACAACAATATATCAAATATATACATTACACTAAGAGCTACATGTAGGAACAAGTATTCTAATAGTCTCCCCTTTTTTCAATAATGTGCAGTTTTATGTACATCTAACAGTGCAATAGAGCTTAACAAAGCTCGTTCTTGAGCTTAACATTTTATGTGACTAAAAATTATCAGAATACATAGCTCAGTTTTATTTCAACTAAGCAATATACAGATATTCAAGAACATTTTACACAATCTCTTCAATTATTCATAAATCTATTTTTAGACATAAATGTGTCTATTTTTAGAAACAAAATTTAATAAAAGATATCTATTTTTAGTATCATTTTTCTACTTCCAAGTAAAAATGTCAAATTTCTCATATAAAAAAATGCAAATTTGATTCGAGTATCAATTAAAATTCATTACAATTTTATCCATTATTCATTTCTGTATGAAAGTAAAATCAACAAGTATAATTACATATTCTAGTGTTTTTTCTCTCTCTTAACAACATAAAATAGTTGACTAGAATAGATTTGTCAGTTAGTGTTAATATAAACACATGGTTAAATCAGTCTATATGTTTAGTTACTATGTTATTAGTCACTTTCAATAATGTTGATAAACATGTATAATTATATATATATATATATTAACAAACACGGAAACAGAATATCAAAGTTAGGTAAAGAAAAAATGATCGACTTTGAGGCAAGCCGATATAACTCATGTGACATGATATATTTACAAATGTATGAAGAATGTTGCACTGTAGGGTATAGCACATTTGTCAAAATTGTCCCTATATATATAGTATATATTATATATACATACACGAACCTAGAACCTAAGCTGGACACGAGAATACTGAACTAAAATCAGAGACTTTCACATACAAACAACAAAACTTGGATTTAAAACATAAAAAGAACTGGTAAGACAACTAATTATTAAGAAGTGGAATTTTAATGTAATATAATAAACATATTAAGTCTATCTGTTACAATATAAAATTTGGAATTCACAGAATTCCATTTGTCAGTTCAAAACTGGATCCCAACTAACCCAATACAGATTTTGCATATAAGAAAAATTCTAAATTCTTAAACATATATTCAACTAACTTGCAAAGACGTAATTCTAGATATCGCCAAAAGAAATTTAAAAATTAAGTTTATAAACCTGTATTATACATGTATTAATTAATTCAGAAATAACTTTCTAAAGCTGTAAGAACTACCTAACTAGATGAAATAAGTATTGAATATTTCAGTCAAAAAACATTCTATTCCTCAAACTGAATTGTAGCTGATAAATAGAAAGATTGTCCTTATATGAAGGCCCCAACCCTGTGTTTTATAAAACAATACATTTTACATGCCCTTTTAATATCTATTCTGCACAAACACCCCTAAACCATTGGCTTATTATTCCACTCACAATATTAACTCTTTTCAAACCATATTTATTACATAGTATTACAAAAACAAAACAGAAACAAAAAATTTATCAAAACAAACCAAAATATACAAATTCACCTCCCTTAACCTATATTCTAAACTACATAAATTACTTCCCTTGATCATAAAGGTACACAACTCTAGTTAAGACTTTGACAAACACAGTAATTTCCCTTGTTCTAAATCCTTCCTGCTGCCTCGTTCAGAGATAGGAGATCAAATTCCATGGAATAATTGCAAGTTTAAATAACTTATACATGGCAATATATACAAACATGATAATGAAAGATGAAATACTACCTACTCTTGCAATGTTATAATCAAATTGTATTTCAAACAACAAACAGCTACAAGATATGAACTTTACCAGTATCTTCAAATCATAGCAAAGAAACCAAATTAAATAAATGAACACAAAGATTCTGCACTAATTACCTGCATGGATTTGGGAAGATGAAGAATAACAAAATACAAATGTAGGAATAATAAAAGATGAAAAATTTACCTTATTTTCAAAATCAAATTTGCTTGGGAACGATAAAATCAGAATTGGATTCAACTTTTTTCGAAATTATTTATATTCAATAATTCAAAAAGGAATATTTTTTTATCTCAAGTATGATCATTGTAGGATATATTATTTTAAGCGCATTTTGTAAGTAAAAACAAATGAAATTGCAGTCAAAAATTCATGTTGATTTTTTTTAACAAAGATGTATGCATGGAAAAATGAGTTTTATTGCTAATAGTTATACAGCATTATATCAATTTTAACCGACTAATCAGCACACAAACAACAGCCCAAATATGTACATACATTTTATGATTATGAATTCAAATAGGGAAAATGTTGGGCATTTTATGCACAATTGTTCAAATTATTGCTCTATGTGTTATAATGCTCATTAAATAATACTCCTTAAAATGTTAACTGTACCATTTTAAGTGTGGTCATTTGCATAAATATTTATAAACAATTATTATATGACACAGTAATTTATCTCATTTCAATATTCTATTCTATAAAAGTGAAAACATAAGCAAATTACGAAGCAGAAAAAAAAATCAAAATCACCAGCACAAAAAAATATCAGTCTTTAAAGTATTCCTTCACTTCCCAAACACAATAGCACTCAATCTGGCAAATAAATAAACACATAATAAAACCAGAGTATTACGATGCACAAAAATCAAAATAAGACAATCACAAAAAAAAAAAAAAAACTCTTGAAGAAAAATAATAAATTTTCAGAATGGCTAAAGTAATAAGGTCAATTTTATTTTAAATCCTTTTTCCCCAGGAGTAAATACCTTCACATACAAATTGTTAATTCACATAATGCTAGTCATACCCATAGGCAACTTTACATAAAGGTCAACGGGAAAAACACCAAAAAAAGCAATGCTTTGACCTTTTACCTTTTTGGACCTGACAATTTAATGACCTTTAATATAGGAAAACTTGACCTTTAAATCCAACCCCCCCCTTCCTGCAATTTATAACAAAATTCACTATTCCCAGAAAAAGCCTCAAATCTCTTTTGAACAGTTTCCCTTTATCGGGGCGGACATATCAACTCAATAAAAAAACACATTAAACCCTTTAGTGCTAGTTCAGCCATGTTTAAAAAGACCTTGAAAGTACAAATTTTTTATTTTTATTTATTTTTTTAATTTTATAAAATATACACTGTAAATTGCACAAAATGAAATATCGAAAACATATTGAGGATAAGAAACTAATACCAGTATGTACATATTACTATCTATACATAATTCTGTTGAATTATAATACGAAAAAACAACTACATTTAATTTATAAGTCACAATTATATACACCAGTTTTGCACTGATACAAACTCCACTAACAATGGCATTGCCATGCCATGTATTACTTATTTTTTCTGAGGTAGTGCTATTTACAAATGTCACTCTTTTGAACAATAACCTCTAACAAAAGATAAAACAAAACAACAAAAAATATGACACGAAACCCCAACACAAAAATTAACAGCTTTTTCAAATAATCAAAACAGGTCCAAAACATGTCAGTTGATATTTAATGTCTAAATATATTAATTATTTTATGTTTATTTATGATAATTACATTGCTCCTTACAAATTATAACTTCATAAGACTTATGCAAACATAGTCAAATCAATCTGTTGCTGAAGAAATTCTTAATTCTTTAAAACCTTCCCCACATAAAATGCAAGTCAATAAATATATCATGTATTCAATCTTTTTTTTTTTATATAATAAGCAAAGTCTAAGATATTAACATCTACCAGAATCTAAACATTATGGCCACAAGTTGACGGGTGTAACCTTTTAATTCATCCATTTACGGCAGTTCCAGGCTCCACAATTACACGGTATCTTGTTGGCGTCGTCTTCCACGTCAAATTGGTAGTCATATGACAGCTGTAAATACCACAAGCGTGTTACGTATGAATTATCACAGAATGTATACCCATTTAACATAAAACATCTAAAATTAACACACAATTATAATGATAACATATACTCACAACCATATTTATTGCATAATTGTAATTATTCATACATTTATAACTGTTACTCTAGGTTGTTGAGAAAATCACCATGACAACAACATCATGTGACTATACCCTTCAAACCATTAGTATGACAATATCAGAATTAAGTTCACTCGTACATCATTAGACATGTATATTTTATTTGTACATAAGTCAAGCCATTCAATATTAGATTGCATAGCAACCAAATTATTATCACTATGGCAACAAAGCTCTCATCAATGTTGCCATGTAAACATATATTGATGCCACATCAGTCTCAGTCGCCATGGCGATGTGCCAAGCCACCATCACTATGGTAATGAGGTCACTTAGTTCATCCATTTACGACAATTTGGAGCACTGCAGTTACATGGTATTTTGTGCTGATCATCTTCAAAATCAAACTGATAGTCATACGTAAGCTGTAACAAGAATGAAAAAAACACAAGCTGCAGTAAAGTTAGTCTGAACTTCTCAATGAAAATACCCATCACCAATTGCATGTCTTCTTTTGTTACAAACAGGTAGAACATTAACCTAAACCACACTTCCCCCCTCCCCCACCACACCCCACTACTTTAAAACTGTTCTACTTTTTCTTCATAGAACAGATTTAATTTTAATTTTCGCATCCTGAACAGTAAGCAGCTAAAAGTATTTATTCTCAACAAAACATGAAGAACCCAAATGAATCAAATATTGACTCTTGAAGTTTCTAATCCAATTTCTCTATGAAATAATAGAATGTGCAGTTATGCAGAAAATTAGACATTCAAATAATTCATGAATTAGAAATGAAAATAAGCACAAAGTAAACACATTTAAGCAGAACAATACATGCAATTAGAATTATAATGGATAACATTTAAACAATTTATATTCAAGATAAACTAGAATTGCTTCTACTTGCACAACTTTTTCATTATTTTAACTACCATGTTCACATAAAGACATTCTATTGAAGCTTGTAAACATACATGTAGTTAATACACCAAGCACACAGATTCACAAAAGCTATATGTTTAAGTTAAACGTTCAGCTGATTAAAGAAATTAAAACAATGCAAGTAAATCAAGTATCACTTTAATCTTATGATAAGTTATACTCATGTTAACATGCAAAGAAACTCCGAGGGAAAGTTCTGCAAGTTTGTTGCAATATATAAGCAAACATGCAACATCCATGTCCCTGTAAAAATCACACTATTAAACTGATTTGATATACATGTATTTTTTCATTTCATATAAGACTAATTCCAAAAGTCTTGGTTCAAAGCAGAAGAAATCTCTGCTTCTTTAACCATCAGAAACAAAATGAAAACTTAGAACACATCTTACTAGTACAAGTGTGTTTAAAAACACAGAGACACTATGAATGTCATATGGTGACCCTCGAGTCCAATGTGGAACAAGACAATATTTCATTGCTCATGCAAGCACCTGAGTAGAACCACAATCTTGAATAAGTTGGCTAAAATACAACTTCCTCACATGAAAGAATTCTATTTCCAAGAGTTTCCAGTTTACAGATGTCACAGTGATGTGACCTAAAATCAGTGACCTTTACTGTCACCCATGGGACACCCTAGCCTTGTCTAACAAACATTTTTTATATCCCCTATTCTACTCACCTCCTCTCCTTTTGAAATCCTCCTGTTTGTGATGATGATAATTTTGCCTTCTTTATCTATCTCAACAACCTCGGCAACACAATTAGGGTCACACGAGTGATTTATGTAACGTGCTGGCCCACCGGCCATTGTAGCGTCACAAACGGTGTCATTGTCTATCCTGAACATGTAAACTCCACGATTCTACAATATATGTAAATATACATTGTTATATTGTACCATAACAACATTTTTAAACATTATGTTTAAACATTATGCTTATATTATCCTTCTGTATGAAACCAAAATTGTAGGTTGCTTTTCTCATAATTTTTGTATTTTGTTGTTGTTTCTTTTTTAAATCTACTCTTATATTTACAATTAAAGCATTCACATATATTATACATCATCCATGTTGAACGAACCCAAACGTCATACCTCAAACTGCAAGGAATCTATAAATAAGTTTATTATATAAATTCAGTAAGGGTAAATTGTATTATTTTGACTGAATTAGAGTAAAGCTTTGCTAATCTCACTAATTAAAATATCGATCTAAAAAACTTGCAATGTTTTGCAGATGTAAAGAACCACAGTCTTAAATATAGAGAGATGGCCCTGTCAAACAGTTTTACTGTCAGGACAACTATGGTAATTGATCTTGTAATTCTGAACATAATTATACCAATTTCACTGACGGCATTGACAGTACAGTGTAACTTCCAAATTCCGGAACTTCTGAAATCCGGAAACTTCTAAAAACCGAACAATTTTTTTTCGGTCCCGATTTTTTCCCTTCTATTTTCTATTTATATAATACTTCTGAATTCCGGAACTTCTAAATTCTGAATTCCGGACAATATTTTCATAAAATTAGAGTCAAATCAATGCAATTTTACCTCCAAAAACCGGAAATATTCAAAGGTGTGAAATACATTTTAAACCCTGCAGGAAGATTTAATCTCCCTATCAATTGTTTACTAGTTAGCGGTGATCGTGTAATTTGACACGCGTTAAAATCACAAACTGTGAAACGGTATGTTTGAAGTGATGCGGGTAATCAAAGTAATTTACGGCGGTCAGTTAATTTGAAGTGTTTATTAGCGGATTAAATGACAATTAATTGGACAATGTATGCATCAAACGTATCTAGGGATTTTATTGCATTTGATGTAATAGTTTATTAACTAGCATCGGACGATATGTAAGTTTATGCAATAAACAACATTTCTACAAACTGATAAAAATTTAAAAGCAGTTGCAAGTAAGATATAAATGTATTCTTTTCATTCACATCTTTATCTTGATAAAAAGACTATTATATATGATATTACAGTAAAGGCCACTTCTTCCTTGACATTTATTGATATTAATTAAGTGGCTTAGTCTTGTCCGCATTATCATAAACCTCTGAATTCCGGAAACCTCTGAAATCCGAACTTTTTGACAAGTCCCATGGGTGTTCGGTTTTCGGAAGTTACACTGTATATACTTTGATAATTTTACCTGAGATTCATAAGTTTTCTCCCTCCTGTTGGCAACTTCATTCCTAATCAGATCTCCTATATACTCTATCACCATTGTGTGCATGTCCAAGTCTTTAGCTGCATACAGTCCTAGACCCTACAGTCACAAAACCGAATACATTATACGTTATTCTTTTATTGTAAATTTGGATGAGGAAGAGGGATGGATGAAAGCTAAACATGGGCCTGCATTTCAATGTTGCAACTTACGTTTCTTTGTGTGAATTGTTATTTGTTATGAAAGGCCGATTCTCATGAAGAGCTACCATATGCTCTCCCTATTGAGCTAAGTCTAAAAAATTCCAATTTTCAGTAATAAACAAAATACCATCACACTTCAAATAGTAAAAAAGGAAGTCTTGATAATATGTGTTAAAAGCTACATGTATTATGACAAATTTTAGAGCAAGATATTAACACAAAATTGAGTCCAGTTTACCTTTATCGTGCTCAATATCTTAAAAGGACTTGTCCATTTTTAAATCTGGATTCAGTATTTAAGAAAGTATTTCAAAATATGTACTGACTGAACAGTAAGCAGTAGTGAGCAGTGCAGACCATGATCATAATGCATGAATATGCCATCTAAACTAGTCCCATGGTAGAATCTATTGGCCCTGGCAGACTGGAAGTCAAGCCCCTGGTGTACACTTACCTGAATTCTTGATCTTCCAAGGTAGACAAGATTCTTCCATTCTGTCTTCAGTCTACGGTATTGTTGAGATTTGGAATGCACGAAATGTTTCATGTATGGTGAGTTTACATCTCCAGTAAGACTTGTTACAGTAGATGGCAGGGAATGGGTGTGGCTTGACTGTAGAGTATGCGGTCTAAAAATAGATCAAAATAACTTATAACATAAAGGATATTTCTAACATAAGCATGCTTTAATGTGCTGTTTATACGCAACACAAATGATGTCACATCAAAGTGTTATTATACAAGTATAATATTGTTTTCATTATATGACTTTATTACAACCTGGGTTGTAGTTTATGTGATAATAAAAGGTATACTAACAGAGCAATACAATATTCTTAGGCCTTGAATAACAACATTACTTGGTTTATACAAATTTATTTTAGTTTGATGGTGTTGGAAGCTACAAGCTTATTGAAACACTCTCGAATCCGTTCCTGGAACCAACCAGTACTAAGCAATGAATGTAAAGTTTCTTGCTCAAGGAAACAACAGCTTGCCCCTGACAGGGTTTGAACCCACTCGGTCAGCAATCCTTAGATTACTAGTCTGACGCGTTAACCACTCGACCACGCCGCCACACTTCTTCAATCAACAACATGAACTGATCTAATAACTTTAATTACAAGGATGTTTTACTATATATACTGATATTGATCAGTCTTACTTTTTGAAGTGTGTTCGCAGTTTTGGCTCGGATCTTGCACAGCCAGATGGATTAATGGTAAGAGGTAGGTCAATCAACTGGCGACGACCAAACTTGAACACATATTCCCTCAACAGATCTGTGCCTGGAAGCTGTTATATACAACAAAAATTGTATAAAAAATATGTTTATTTAACCGGTTTTCAATTTAACAAGGTGCAAAAATTATCATGGAGTTACAAAAAGAACTTGTTTGAAAAATTGTTTCATTATTATTATTATCTTGTCCAACCCTTTTATAGAATAATACACATATTTTAGTTATGTTATAAAAAAAGCAACAAAAAATATCATGTTTACTGGTAACTCCATCATCAAAAGACATATATAGAGCAATTAAATCTTAATCAAACAAAATTTTTACAACTAATGTCTCCATAGGACATAGATTCTGCAAAATTCACTGTTTTGTCAGTGTACAGATGAACAGTGGGGCAGACAGACAAAGACAATTCTATATTCAATCCCTACAAGTAGTCGGGGGCATTAAAGGGTACTGTAAAGTTCATAATATTACTGTTATATTGAGTGATATATATTGTAAACTCACAGATTCCACCAATCTGACAATATTTGGATCAGTCAATCCATACAGCTCCTCTCCTGTGGTAAATGTAGGGAACACTTTCACAAGATCTGAATCCCGTCTCAGCTTCTCTAGGGGCTCCAATATGTTACGCCAGACACCAGCACAGGACGGATTCTTCAAGACAATGTCTTCATGACCATCCTCTACGACCTTGACACTGAACTCTGGTTGACCTTCGTTGTCTTGGATACTACAGATATACCTGCTACGTTTATATAGTTGACGCATACTCCAGTAATATCTAGAGGCCTTGTACCCAACCTGAAATAATAAATGTCAAAATAACAAACAGTTTACCATCAGTTTTAAGGAAACCCATCTTACCTGTAGTGTACTCAGAGTAGCTATCACAAGATAACAAGTTCAGACAGACTGGCAAGTGGACAAGCTGACTCCAGTATAACCCCTTCAAAATTAGTTTGCTGGGTTATAGTAGATATCACAAGAACTGTCGGAGGACAGTAACGCTCGACTATTCGAAAATTTGTCACAAGGGTGTTTCATTGAGTATAATAATGCTTACCTATATGAATACATAAAATTGTCCGAAAAGGTACAAACTCTTCAAGTTTCAATACATTCCCTTCAGTAGTTATGGAGAGACAAGCTTACATGCAAAAACTTAACCAAGAATTCATGAGTCAAAAAAGGGGCATAATTATGTAAAAAAGCAAATCAGAGTTATGGGACTTGTGCCAATCATCTTAGATAATCACAGAGACCAAGTGTGTGAAGTTTCAATCCATTCCCTTCAGTAGTTATGGAGATACCAGCTTACACGCAAAAACTTAACCAAGAATTTCTAAGTCAAAAAAGGGGCATAATTATGTTAAAAAGCAAATCAGAGTTATGGGACTTGTGCCAATCATCTTAGATAATCACAGAGAACAAGTGTGTGAAGTTTCAATCCATTCCCTTCAGTAGTTATGGAGATACCAGCTTACATACAAAAACTTAACCAAGAATTTCTAAGTCGAAAAAGGGGCATAATTATGAAAAAAAGCAAATCAGAGTTATGGGACTTGTGCCAATCATCTTAGATAATCACAGAGAACAAGTGTGTGAAGTTTCAATCCATTCCCTTCAGTAGTTATGGAGATACCAGCTTACATACAAAAACTTAACCAAGAATTTCTAAGTCGAAAAAGGGGCATAATTATGAAAAAAAGCAAATCAGAGTTATGGGACTTGTGCCAATCATCTTAGATAATCACAGAGAACAAGTGTGTGAAGTTTCAATCCATTCCCTTCAGTAGTTATGGAGATACCAGCTTACATACAAAAACTTAACCACAGGGACGCCGACGCCGACAAATGGGTTACTGCATTAGCTCGATTATTCTGCGAATAGTCGAGCTAAAAATCATTCTTAAATGTTGTTGTTGGGTTTTACGTCTCACCAACACAGTTGATGTATATGGTGATTTTCCAGCTTTATTGGTGGAGGAAGACCTCATGTGCCCTTCTGTGCATTTCTTGCACAAGCTGGCACTCAAGTAGAACCACGAACATTCCATAAACTAGCTGGATAGGTTCCTCACATGAAAGAATCCTAAGTCCCTGGCTAGATAATTCTTAAATGACCAATAGTAAGATCAAGTCTAGCATTTATTCAGTAGTTACTAATATCTTGAATATCTTAAAATTCCGAGCTCTTAATTCAAACAATACCACTTTTACGTTGCAGACTGAGTCTTGCTACAGAAATTTGTGATGTTCAAATCTATTTACACTAAAAGTGTCCTCATTGATTTTAATGTTCTAACTCAATCACTTCAATCTATTAAATAAATCATGGAATAGATACATTATCATGTATTTATAAACTGCAAATTAGCATGTCTAAAATAAATCAATCTACTGAATTTTATATTATTCATTTTTCCTGTATTTGCTTTAAATTTGAAACTGTTCATTTCTTACTTAAGGAATTTCACAGCAATATTGGGCAACTAACAATATGGAGTTTGGTCTGACAACACAAGCATAGACTGGTCTTATATTAAACTAAAGTAAATATCGCAGCAGAAAGAATTCGAAAAAGTTCAGGGACAAAAATCAACTTACAGGATAAATATGATCCCTGGAATTGTACTTGCCACTGGCCATCTGGTGAGGTAGCAATTGACCAATAGAGTGTAAAACCATTGAGCCGAGACGTAATGTATGCTGGCCATCTTCCTGTAGCAACATGCTGTAAATATACAAAGATCATACTTAATCAATCAACAGGTAATATAATTTGAAAATATGATGTACATGTATAAACACATAGACAGATTAACAGTTTTAAACCAACTCCCTCTTCTTATCTACCTATTTCAGTTACTATAAAATCTTAATAATTCAAGACATAATTAAGACAGGAAGGGTGATAAATTTACATTTACAATGAAGAAAATTGTGTTAGGAAAACAGCAAATATACATGGTGAACATGTTTCAGTATATATCAACTTAATCCACAGCATTAACCCTTAACCTGTTCTAGCTAAAAGTGATTAACCTCTGCCACCAGTATAGAGCCAGGCACAGTCTGACAAGGCTTTATACTGTTTGTAGCTCAAGTTTTGTATTTTGTTACTGAAAACGGACAATTCCAAATTGAAAGCAGGGTGATTCAATTACAGAAATTCAGCAGGTTAGGAGTTAACATCCCACATCTTCTGAATGACATATATCAGCATGGCACTCACTTTAACAGTGAAATATTTTGGTAAACCATTATTGGTTATGCGAGTCCTTATTCTGAACAATTTATACTAATCAAACAAAACACACAAATTCCAGTAAAATTACCATGCAAGACAAATACAGTATAATGAATAGAGAAGAATATTAAAATCTTACTTGGCAACTTGCTCATCCTCCTCTCTGTTGATGTAAACTCTACGATGTACAATCAATGATTTGAGTACCTGCTCAAGTTGAACACCTTTTGGGGTGTGTGGTGGACACAGAATTGTCTGAAAAAGTTTGGAGTTTTTATAATAAATTATAGTGGTACAGCACATAAACTAATACAAATAACACATTCAATATAATTTCACATAAAAATATTTCAACTCTACATAATTTATGTCTTCATTTAAGTACTTGGCAATTTTCTATTAACCAGAAATACATCCATAGGATACAGATGTCCCCACATTCCACTGGTTTGTCAGTTTTCTGAAAGACAGCAGTCTTTTGATGAACAGTGTGACAGCAAACAGCTCGACAAACTGGTTTCGAAAATTTTTATTTTTATTTTTTTATTTAATTATATAAGTGGGATCATAGAAAGGATTTTTTTAAAGCAACATTTTATGCTTTTCTACTTTATTCTATCTTTCCTTCCTTTTATAAATCTTATATTCTCATATTTACAAACAATACACAAAGTGATAAAAAAAAATCCCAAACTTTTAGGACTTGTTGACCTGGATTATTTTTTTTATTTGAAATCAAGTCAATTACCTTGTCTTCAAAGAAGATACAGCCCACCAGCTGAGCACATGCTACGTGATAGATATTGTTACATCTTTGCTTAAAGCAACCCAGAGAAGCTCCAGTTTTGATACAAACAACACATTTCTGTTTGGAGCTACGTTTATATGCCTGTTGTACATTCATTAGTGCACCATTCAGTGTCTCATACACCTCCTGGGACCACAGGGCACAGTTTAGATGAGCCCATTTGTCTATATCCATGTTCAGAAGCCTGAAATAAAATTACATTTGTACTATTAGTATCAACATACCATGTTCTGTCACAAACATGACAAAATCTAACTTATTTCTAATCTTTCATATAAAGTTAAGGAGTCACTAACACCAAGCACAGTATTTCTTATTTTTATATTTCTTATAAAGATCAGGTATCATAAAAAATGTTCTCTCATCTTATTCTTTCTAAAAGTCATGTTAATACATGTTGCATCATGTCAAGTCCTGTAACATCATGTAAAGTACTGCCATATCATGCCAAGTCCTGCCACATCATGTCAAGTCCTGTAACATGTCAAGTCCTGCTACACCAAGTCAAGTTCTGTAATATAATGTCAAGTCCTGCCATATCATATTAAGTCCTTCCATTGTAACATTATGTTCAGTTCGGTAACATCATGCCAAGGCCTTTAAGATCATGGCAAGTCCTGTAACATCATGTCAAGTCATCTAACATTATGTCAAGCCCTTTCACATCATGTCAAGTCCTGTAACATCATGTCAAGTCATCTAACATTATGTCAACCCTGTCACATCATGTTAAGTTCTGTAACATCATGTCAAGTCTGTTAACATCATGTCAAGTCCTTTAACATCATGTCAAGTCCTGCTTATTAAGTAAAGTCCTGCAACATCATGTTAAGTCTTGTAACATAATGTCAAGTCCTGCTTATCAAGTTATGTCCTGTAACATTATGCCAAGTCCTGTAACATCATGTTCAGTCTTGCAACAACATGTCCAATCCTGTTATGTCCTGCCACATCATGTTAAGTCTTGTTACATCATATTTAGTCTTGGAACTTCATGTCAAGCCATACTTATCTTGCTTCTGACCACCAAATCACAGACTTGACTTACATATCTGAATGCAAGTCTAATAACATAAATTAGTGACTATAATACCCACCTTCCAGAACCATTAGTGTCACCATCACTGTATTCCTGACAGAATTCACATATTCTCTTGTCCTTTATCTTCTCTTTATCATGTCTTATAGCCACAGAGAAACTATGCCATAACTGAAATATATATTTCATATACATCAATTTATATGTTTCTTAAGTAAATAAACTATCAATTTGCCGCACACTTTAATTTCATACAGAGTGTATATATATATCAGAATTATCAATTTTAATATACAACAAATTAATTTCTGATAAATATAGCCATGTTTATTTCTAATGACAGTAAATAAAACAATATACTTGTGGGAACATATGTTTCTAAAACTTCTTGCTTCTAGAGCTCTTTCATTCTAGAGTGCCAACTTACACACATGATTTATATTAGCTAATGATTCAACTTAAAACAGCATGCCTCCAGATTCATGCTAATTTTTCATGAATTTTTTTAATATGTACAGTGAACAAAGAAAATAATTAAAGAAACAAACTTTAGCCCCATAGCCTGCTGGCAGCAACTGAATCAACCCATGTGACCAGTGCAGACCAAGATCAGCCTGAAAATCTGTGCTGTTTGGTCATGCTCTGCACTGTTTGCTATTCACTTAATTTTCCCCAAAATTGATGAATAGTTATGTCCGGATTCAAAGATAGACAAGTCTATTTAAGATATTTAGTGTGGTACGGGTACACTACCTGATTTTCATCTTCATCTTTCTTCATACTAGTGTACACCTCTGGGAACATGTTCACATCAAACCTCTTATATCTTATGTCCTTCCATTTCTTTACCAGTGGCACCTGAAATAGATAAATCAATAATCTTCACAGTTTCTAGATTTCCTATTACAAAATATCCACATAATTATTTTAATCCCTTCCTTTTAGTGTAATTTGATTGTTTTGCTGTTTTTGGTTTTAGTCACATTGGTGTAGTTAAGGCCAAACAGAGTCTTTTCAAGCTTTCTTGTTGTATAAAACTCCCATCTTTTATTTTGGGCATGCAACAGTGCACGATTAGACTCACTGACCAACTGGAAGGGAGCTTTTTTGATACATAATTTGTTTAAATGCAAATTATTTGCTTCAAATGAAACACAAAAATCTTGACCAAGCGTGCTTTATGTAGTTAAAATTATTACAAGTACAAAAATTTGAAATGGCATTAAGTGGGAAAATAGACCTGTGCATACATTCCTCAAATTGTTATGGTGAGCACTGGCTATATTTTACGTTTTCAACAATTCTTAGCTGGTCTCCTTTCATTTTTCTATTCCTTTATAAATGTTTACTACATGATCAGATTTATAATAATCATACCTTTGGCTCTGTAAAACTACTACTTCTTCTATATGGACGTTTGCCTAACTCTGGTCTGCCTCTCATTAATGTAGGACTGCCTAACTGTGGTGTGGGAGGTCCTGACTTGTTGGGTGTGGTGTCCATTGACTCCATACCCATACCTGGGGATGGTGTCACAGAGGGCGTGGCTGTCAAACTTGAGGAGGGTGTTAACTCCCTTGGGCTCATCAATCCTTGATCTGTTATGTTAAAAATAACATAAATTTTAAACACAAAATTTGAGAAAGACAATCAATATTGTTGAAAGACAACTATATGTTGAAATGGTTGAAGACTAAATTTTGTCAAAATGAAGTCTTTAAATTAAGCATTAGATACTTTTTTCGAAAACATGACAAATCAAACTACCTACAAAACTTATTTATCAAATCATTGTTATATTCTGGAAATTTTATTTCCACTACTTTTTTTGGGTAAGACACTAGTTTACCAATTTTTTAATCAGATACTGCAAGCAGTTCTTCAATAAAATGTTCCTGGATGGTCATTATTTTTTCCAACACTAACATCTTTTTGTGCCAAGTGAAATACCGAAACCAAAATGATATTTGCAGTAGGGAAAGATTCAAGGTCTGATGACTTCTTAAAAACTTGAAATTGCAAACTGGATAGCCCTTATACCAACAACTGACTGCTCCAAATGGCTGGAAGCCAGGGACAAGTCTATTTAGATAAGGTTTAAGAACTTACCTCTATGTTGTGAAAACAAGGCTAGTTGACTATTTTGGTCTGTTAGATCCGGTAGTTCTGGTTTATATGTCATCTGTCTGGTGATGGTGAAGTTAGCAAGACAGTTGCGGCTACAGAATGTCATCATGTCTCCTTCCCCCTCCTATATCACAGAAAATAAAATACAACTATCATTTTATTTTGTTATATTATGGGGATTACATGTTCCAGAAAAAAGGCTTTAGCCCATCAATAACAGGAAGAATTGAACCTGATTTTATACTTCTATTTAAAATACGAGTATAACAAATAAATGCAATAGATTTGCAATTAAACTGGTATTTTAACCAGTCATTTCAATCAAATTCCATGTAGATTTTGTGGGTAAAGACGAAATAATTCCATTATGTTACTAAGATACACACCATTAAAAACATCAAAAAAGTATGTAAAAAAAGATATTAAACAGATTTATATACACCTCTGTAATCTTTTTGGTTAATAAAATCTGACAAATATCTTATTTAATGTTAGGAAAATTTGGTGAAGGAATTCTAAGGACATACCAGTTCTTCCTTGGTGAGCAGAGGTATCTCTGACTTTTTCTTCCTGATACCAGCATTGACAAATGCCACTTCACAATGTCTGCAGTAGGTCTGTTTTGATTTGGACAAGGAGTGAATCTTGAGGGCTTCTTCTTTGTCTGCAATGATGTGTAAGAAAACAAATAAATTACATGATAAATAATAAATATAATTGTTCAATTAAATTCTCAACTACATTACTTTCAAATCAGACAGTAAAATTAGTTTGTACTCTGACCAGTTAGTTTTATCAATGGAAATCAACACAATCATGATAAAAATTTGCCTTAAAAAGAAAACTTCTTGTGAAATGTAAAATATGGAAATCAATGTCACATGCCATCTTGTGCAAAATCATTGTTTACATGGGAAAATGATATGCTAGACCCTTCAATGTGACCTTCATCCTAAGGCAGTTACGTTTCATACTTTATTTTCATCAAAATTAAATTTCTTTCAAATTGTTGAGTATTTCAAAACTAAAAGTTCACTTACGTTTCAAGTTGGATTTAAATTGTTCAGGAGATGGACTTCTACTCTCCTCATAAGTTGGTGGTGCAGCTATCTTCAGTAGGTCTGCAATAGCTGATAAAACACCTCCAATATCTTCTGCTGCCTTCGCTGACAAGGTCAAGGTCACTGAAACTTCTGCGTCTGCTGCAGCATCTTTGGATGACCTTGCTAGACCTGTCATGGGATCAATGTCACGATTCTCTTTGCCAGCAAGGGCAGATAACGCAGAGTCCAGCTCCTGCTTTCCTTTCTGAGCAGGTATTTGTACATTCAATGGAGTTTTAATGTCTGTTAATGGACTTTCCAATCCTGCCTCTTGTTTGACCAAAAATGGCGGGAACTTGACTGGAACTGGTTGTAGTAACGGCACAGTGGGAGAGGTACGAGTCTCCTCGTCTAGAGCAGCAGGTTCTATTGGACGTAGCATTGGGAAATCTGGTTTTTCCTCGTCACCAAAACCTGCTTCTGGGGAGGAGGAAGATATCACTGATTCTGGACTTCCAGATGGCCTAGAAGAATAGATGCAAATTGTTTAAATATGTGCTACATAAAATGACTGAACAAGTCTTTGTAAGCAATTATAAATATTTGTTTCATAATCTAAGTTATTTATGAAAATCATGTCCCATTGTTCTTAGTGCTCGATAACAAAACAACCTGGACATCCTAACTTTTTTCTAAAGATACGAGGGTTGTCCAAAAAATTTGTGCACTGCAGTTATTGTCGTGAGAGTTATTAATAAAAACAAATGAATTATATATCACTTGAAAGAGAAATCTGTCTCAAATAAGAAAACAAAAGAAAAAGCCGATTAACCGGCGTGTTGTGTAAAAGAATGGTCATTGAGTTACCTTAGTAATGTAATAACACGGCGCACACACAACAAAAAATTGGGTTAGTTCATTACTGTAATTGTATTAATTGTTTGTTGCTTTTGTAAAGTGGTATTTGCTTTTTATGTTATAATTTGTTTTACTGTCAATAGAGGAATGATTGATGCAAAGTATTTGTGTAGTTTTTATTGTTTTTATGCAACGTACATGTAGCATATTCCACCAGTGCACAAATATATTGGACAATCCGCGTCACATGCGCCGGTATTACGGACGGACGTCTGCCTGACCAGTTATCATCGTCTACCGACTCTCTTTCTCTTCCACAGAGCGTTTGTGCCATTTAAAAACCAGCCTTCGTGACAGACACTGAACTTGTCCCGCTTGCCCTTTTAAGTTCTTTGTAGGTATCTGTTGGTGTTTACCAATATTTGCACCAAATTTATTGATCGTCCGTATTTCCAGACGTTTAGCGACTGACATTTCCACGTAATTACAGAATTGACGACCACACACAAATGTTTGTTTACGACTGTTACAATAGGGCAAATGACGCCATATTTTCTAGTGAAGAAGTTAAGAATACGTACACACACTTTTCCCTGAATTTTAACGTTAATATGTAGTGTTTAAAGAATACCGTGATGTATCAAAGTAATGAACTAACCCAATTTTTTGTCGTGCGCCGGTATAACGTTACCAAGGTAACTGTATGACGATTCGTTTTCAGGACATGCCGGTTACATGTTTTTTTCTTTTGTTTTCTTATTTAAGATATATCTCCCCTTCAAGTGATATATAATAAATGTTTTTCTATCGATAACTCACACGACAATAACTGCAGTGCACGAATTTTTTGGACAACCCTCGTAGTAACATAACAACCTGGATATACTAACTTCATCCTAAAGATAGTAACATAACAACCTGGATATCCTAACTTTATCCTAAAGATAGTAACATAACAACCTGGATATCCTAACTTTATTCTAAAGATAGTAACATAACAACCTGGATATCCTAACTTTTTTCTAAAGATAGTAACATAACAACCTGGATATCCTAACTTTTTTCTAAAGATAGTAACATAACAACCTGGATATACTAACTTTTTTCTAAAGACAGTAACATAACAACCTGGATATCCTAACTTTATCCTAAAGATAGTAAACAAACAACAACCTGGATATCCTAACTTTTATTCTAAAGATAGTAACATAACAACCTGGATATCCTAACTTTTATTCTAAAGACAGTTAACATAACAACCTGGATAATCCTGAAACTTTATCCTAAAGATAGTAACATAACAACCTGGATATCCTAACTTTATTCTAAAGATAGTAACATAACAACCTGGATATCCTAACTTTATTCTAAAGATAGTAACATAACAACCTGGATATCCTAACTTTTTTCTAAAGATAGTAACATAACAACCTGGATATCCTAACTTTATTCAAAAGATAACAACATAACAACCTGGATATCCTAACTTTTTTCTAAAGATAGTAACATAACAACCTGGATAGCCTTACTTTTTTCTAAAGATAGTGACATAACAACCTGGACATCCTAACTTTTTTCTAAAGATAGTAACTTAACAACCTGGATATACTTTTTTCTAAAGATAGTAACTTAACAACCTGGATATACTAACTTTATTTTCAAAAGATAGTAACATAACAACCTGGATATCCTAACTTTTTTCTAAAGATAGTAACATAACAACCTGGATATCCTAACTTTATTCAAAAGATAGTAACATAACAACCTGGATATCCTAACTTTATTCAAAAGATAGAAACATAACAACCTGGATATCCTAACTTTTTTCTAAAGATAGTAACATAACAACCTGGATATCCTAACTTTATTCAAAAGATAATAACATAACAACCTGGATATCCTAACTTTTTTCTAAAGATAGTTACATAACAACCTGGATATCCTTACTTTTTTCTAAAGATAGTGACATAACAACCTGGATATCCAAGCTTTTTTTCTAAGTTCAATACGAAAAATATTTTTAAAATTTTGGTTTTTAAAAAAAAGGGGCCCTACTAAGTATGTCTGGGTTTTCGTTTGGGAAAAAATAATTAAAATTTTTAAATTTAACTACTTGGGAACTTCTTTTGTCTCCGGGGGGTTTCCCCTCTTGGGGGTTGGCGGAATTACCCGGGATATACCCCCCTTTTCTGGGCCCAGGTCCCGAAGACCAAAGGGGGGTGCTGATGACCTCGACCTTTCATTTTTTGGAATACGGGCCATTTATCATAACGAAAACCTTTTTTCTGAAAATTTTTCTTTTCAAAAAAGTGGGGGGAAGATAAGCACTTTATTTCAAAGTAATGTTACAATGGGGTAATTTTAAAATTTGAGAAAGCCATCAAATTTAAAATTACTTTTATTTCAAAATTTTTGAAAAAACAAAAGGGTTTTTTTTGTTTTAAAATTTTTAAACTTATGAAAATTTTTCCCGAAAAATAAGAGGACTAAAAGACTTTATTTTTTCAAAGGGAAAACTAAATGTAAAATGGGGGAAAAACAGAAGAAAAACGTTTTTTTTGCATATTCCCCTTTTTTTTCTTTTTTACCTGGGTTGGCAGTTTTTTTATAAAAAGATTTAAATAATTCCAAAAAGCAACCCAAAAAAAAAAACGCCCCAAAGCAGATAAAAAAATTTTTAAAAGGTTTTTTCACTATCTTTTTTCTATTTTACTTTTTAAATTGGCCCTTTTTTCTGAAAACCCCAACTTTTCCCTTTTTCCCCAATAACTTACCCTTAGATTTTTAAAAACTTTAAAGGGAAAAAAGGAAAAATAATGAAAAAAAATGCAAAATCTGGCTTAATTCCCCTGGTTTTTTTTCTTTTTTTGCTCAAGTTCTCTTTCCAGTACAAGGGGGTTTGGGGGAAACTTTTTTTTCCCAAATAGAAGTTCCTGATAGGGAAAACTGTCCTTAAATTTAATCAAAAAATCTTTTGTTTAAACCAAATTTGGTCCAGATAGAAAATATTTCCCTTGAAAAAAGCCGTTTAAAAATATTTGAGATTTTCCAGTTTTTTTCTTTTTCCCAAAAACCGGGGTTTTGTTTACCTTTTTAGCAGGAAATATAAGGGGTTATTAAAAATGAAAAAAATACCCAAAAAGTTTTTCACGAAACAAAAAACACAAAAAACAAAGGTCCAAGGGGAAACTGTAAACATGTATTTTACAGCTGTTTACGGAAAAAACCAAAAAAACCATAAATTTTAATCTTGGAAATTGGCCCCTCCCCTTGGCCAAGTCGGGGTTTAAACTTCCTACCCTTTTGGGGTTTTAAACCCTATTTATTTAAGCTTGATTGCAAAACCAGTTCTTGCAACTATCTTCCTACCTTCGAATTGTTAGCCCTAAACAGATCTGGGTTCAAATCCTATAAATGATTGTTTATTTCTCTTATGGTTAATAAGGGGTATCCGATTTTTCCCCAAAACAAAAACCTAAAGGGGAGGGGTTTGGGTGTCTTTCTCCCGCTGCCCAAAAAATGCCAAAGGGGGCACCTGGATATTCTCCAAAAGTAAAGGGTGAAAAATTTTTTAAAAGGAAATACTTTAAATGATGTGTTTTTCTTAAAACCCAAAAAACGGGAAAAAACATCAACAAATAAGGTGAGCTTTCCATTTACCCCTTTCCGTTTAGACCAAAAAGGAAGGAAAAACAGATTTGTGTATGTTGCCCCAACATCCCCGGTTCCCTTAAAGGTATGTGGGCAACTGTTTTACGTCCCGGGTTGAATTCCCCGTCCCTAATAATATCCACATTCTCCACCCCTTCTCGCTCCACCACCTTTTCCTTCCTTTCCCGCTTTTTCTTCTCTTTCTTATTTGTCCGGACATACTGGGGGGAAGCTTTAAAAAAAGGGAGGGTCTAAAAATTTTGGGGGCCCAAGGGTCCCCGGAAAATTTTGGGGGTTTTTGGGGAGCCTGGGGCGCCTGGTTTCTCTTGTTCAAAATAGATCTTTCCCCTTCCCTTTTTTTTTTTCTTTTCTTTTGGTGTTCCAAAACTTTGGGTTCTTTCTTTTTCTTTTCTGCGGGGATTTTTCCATTTTTTTTCCCACCCACGCTAAACTCCCATCTTCTTTGCTTCTTAAACACAAGGAAATAAAAAATATTAAACTAAAGTTCTTCTAGTTCTCAACAAAAAAGATTGGTAATTTTGATTGTCTTGTTAACAAAGCAACATTTCTAAAATTTTGCAATACAAACTCAATTCAAATTCAAAATTCAATTTATTGTGTCAGTAACACATTTAATTCACTAGTGTAAATATCTACCAAAGGAAACATTACAAATGAAGAAAAAGAAGATGAATCAGATCTGTAAACAATGTTCTTTTATTTTGCTAGTCAAAAAAATAGAACAATTCATAGGAGAAGCCAAACACTGTCACTACTTTTTTTAATTATTTTCACAGTTTTGATATCTTGAGACAGGGTGACAAACAGACAAGGTAAAATCTATCTCCCCCTTCACCTCTAAGTTGTAGGAGCATAAAAAACTATTGAGACTTACCGACATCTGGATCATTGGAATCAAGTAGTAATCCAGATTCAGATGGGGGGCGCTGTGTTGTCAAGGGGCATTTTTTTCTCTATTCTCTTCCAAGTTGACGCCTTTCTGTTTTTGGTGCTTTTTCCGAATTTAGGAAAATTCAAAATTTTGATATCCCGATAAAAATGAGCAAAAATTAACTTAACGTATTGCCCCTTCCCAAAGGGGGTTTCCCAAAGTTAGAAAATACAAAATTTAATTCCCCGAAACTATTTTGTTTAGAACCCAAACATTTTATCAGGTATTTTTAAAAGCTTTGCCCCTTTAACTTGTTAAGAAAGCTTATATTACAAATTTTTTAAAATTTATGCAAATTTTTTTACCCTTTCAGAAAAATTTAAGGTCCCTCTAATTTTCCCCTTTGTATACATCAAACATTGTTTTTAAAAAAAACAAAATTTTAATTAAAAAATTGATTTTTCCTTTTAAAAATTCAAAACAATTAAAATTTTAAAAATACTTTTTTTTTTATACCGGGGGAAATAAAAAAAAATTTTTTAAACAAAGGTTAAATTTTTTAAAATTAAAAACTTTTAAATGCTTTTTCAAAATAGGAAATTTTAAAAAAAACATACAAGGGGAGTTTCTGGTATTTTTTTAATATTAATATCAATAGGTTTCATTTTCAAATTCAAGCTTTACTACAGTAAATGATAGAGAAATTAATTATGTTATAAGCAAATATCATCAACCATTCATTACACATAATTCTACACTACACTGTATAATTATAGTTGTATGAAGTTGTAAGTTTTTGGTTAAATTACCTCAGAGTTGTCTGACTGTGGTGTAATATGTCCAGCGGCCGCAGCAGCTGCAGCAGCAGCAGCATTACTTTTGGCAAGGAGTTTCTTCAGAAGAGCATTTTGACTCGGATCCAAACCTGGTGGTAATTCTGGTAAAATAAAACATATTTCAATATTAGTCTCCTTCATTTATATATCTTTTTATCATGTACAACGTTAAACAGCTCTTTTAACATTTGTCCCATTCTTTAACAGGTTTTATAATTACATTAATTATATATAATTCTGCGGAAATTCTTTCTCCTACTTCTTCTAGGAAAACAACCCAATTTAGTGGAAAGTTTTAACCCAATAAATTGACAAGGGTAACCAGATTTAGTAACCAAAATTGAACAAGGGTGCCATAGTCACAAAATACGCCCGTTTACGAAAAAGCTTTAGATGGAGATGGGGGCATTATGGATAAGTGTTATCTAGCAAGCAAGTTTTTATTCTTGGCACTGTGTTGTTAAATGAACCTTAAAACAAATCAATAGGGAAGATATGCACAGAATGTGTGACCTTGACCTTGGTCGCAGGGACCTGAATTTTATGCACGGCACTCAGCCTCACAATGATGAACATTTGTGCCAAATTATATTGAAATCCCTCTATGCATGTAGAAGTTTTGCTCCAGACAAGTGTTTTTCAATGAGCTCTAACTGTGACCTTCATCTTTGACCTAGAGACTTGGTTTATGTGCAGGGCACTACGTCTCATGGTGGTGAACAATTCTATAAAAGTAACATTAAAATTCCTCCATGCATGTAGAAAATATGCTCCGGACAACATCTGGATATTTAATCATCTCCAGTGACCTTGACCTTGCAAGTATTAACCTAAATTAAATGTGTAACACCTGTAGTCATGATAGTTACCATTTGTGCTACAATCCATCAATAAATGATGACTAAATGGTCCCTATAACCATCTTCAAATTTTTATCTGAACTTTGACCTCTATGTGTAACCTTGACTTTGTTCGCAGGGATCTGAATTTTGCATGCGACACTCAGCCTCACAATGGTGAACATTTGTGCCAAGTTATATTGAAAACCCCCTATGAATGTAGAAGTTTTGCTCCGGACAAGCGTTTTTCAATGAGCTCTAAGTGTGACCTTGACCTTTGACCTGGAGACCTGGATCATGCATGGAGCAATACATATCATGGTGGTGAACATTTCCATAAAGTATTATAAAAATTCTTCCATACATGTAGGAGATATGCTCCAGACAAAATCTGGATATTTCACCATCTTTAGTGACCTTGACCTTGCATATATTGACCTAAAGTACATGTGTCACAGCCGTAGTCATTATAATGACCATTTGTGTTACAATCCCTCAATAAATGATGATTAAATCGTCCCTATACACATCTTCATATTTTTATCTTTTTTTAAATGGGCGTATAAAAAGTACATGACTTTGTAATTTAATAACTAAAAAATTCTGATTTAAGATTTTATTCTAGGGAAATACATTTCATTACAATTCTTAATCTTTGAATGAGCTGAACTGATATTTACTTGAAAATTAAAATATAATTAAATTTCTATGAGAAAGTATTTACATTTGATAAGGTAATTACTGTATGATCTTTATGAACAAATACCAAGTCTACAGAACACCATAGTTATCACAGTTAAGAATCTTGACCAATGAATGAAACATGTGTAAATAAATGTTACATTCTTTAGAACATACTCAAGTCTAAGAAAGAGGATTATTTCATGCCCTTTGATTAAATTCTATTTTTAGAATTGAAAGTGAAAATAGATCAAGGGGAGTAATTGTGTAAGTCATTTATGAACAAAGTAATAACTTTGTTGTCTCCCTTTGATTAAATTCTATTTACAAAATCTGGATATTTCATCATCTTTAGTGACCTTGACCTTGTATATATTGACCTAAATTATATGTATCACAGCCATAGTCTTGATAATGACCATTTGTGTTACAATCCCTCAATAAATGATGACTAAATGGTCCATATACACATCTTCATATTTTTATCTGAACTTTGACCTCTATGTGTGACCTTGACCTTGGCCGCAAGGACCTGAATCTTGCACGCGACACTCCGCCTCACAATGGTGAACATTTGTGCCAAGTAATATTGAAATCCCTCTATACATGTGGAAGTTTTGCTCCGGACAAGCATTTTTCAATGAGCTCTAAGTGTGACCTTGACCTTTGACCTAGAGACCTGGTTCATGTGCGCGACACTGCTCCTCATAGTGGTGAACATTTATATGAAGTTTCATTAAAATCCCTCCATACATGTAGGAGATATGCTCCGGACAAAATTGGACGCCGCCCGCCCGCCCGCCAGGGGCGTTCCCATAATACGTCCCGTTTTTCAAACGGGCGTATAAAAATGATTGTTAAAAAGAACTCTTCATAAAACATCCCAAAAAGAAGGCAGTAAAGTACATATAATATTATATCTTTTATAAGAAACAATAAGAACAAATTACAGCCACTTCATTATGTTGTACCTTGAAAAGTGTTAAAAAAGTAAAGTATTATCAAAGCATTTTAATTCTTGTGTCTTAAAACTATATTGAAAATATGAAAAATGATCCTAAAGGGATAAAATTTAAGTACCTGTTGGTTCCTGTTTAATGGAAGTTACAGGACTCGGTGTAGAAGCAGTGCTTGGAGCTTGTGAGGCATTTCTTGGAGGTCCACCACTCTGTGAGACACTCATTACTCCATGAGGGAGCTGTCCAGGCGCAAATCTCCTCATGTTTTCATCAAACTGACCATGGCTGGTCATTGGCTCATGCCCAGGACCTGGTTTACCTTGAGGAAAACCAGGAAACTGAAATCCTGGAGGAAATCTTGGACCCATTCCTGGTGGTGGCTGCCTTTCTTCTGAACCTTGTCTTGCATTTGGGTCAAACTGCATTCTTGGATCCATTTGCATTCTTGGATCCATTTGCATTCTTGGGTCCATTTGCATTCTTGGATCAAACTGCATCCTTTGAGCACCAGGCATTCTGTGGAATGGGAATGGTGGTCTGTTTGAAACATCTCCAGGGAAACCTGGGGCAGAAGACACTGCTGCAGAATTAGGAGGCATGACACCATGTGGATACGAGGCTGGAGTAGGTGAAGGAGTTGATGGCACTGAACCAGGTGTTGGTGGTGCCCCTGGCCTATGTGTTGGTGATGGCAACTCTGAATTAGGTTGTGCTACTGACATGTGAGGAACTCCTGGCGGTCCCATCATTGCCATGCCAGATGTTGACATATGCATGGGTGGAACTCCTGGGTGGGGGCTGGTTGGTGACATCTGACCTGGATGCATCTGAGACATTGGATGTACCATGGGCATGCCAGGTCTCATGCCTGGATGCCTCATACCAGGCATGCCCGGATGCTGCATCATACCGGGGTGCCTGGCAGTTGGAGACATTTGCTGCATACTGGAGGATGTAGTCATTGCTTCTCCTGGGATATGTCCACTTGGCATTGGAAATCCCCTCGGTCCACCAGGTTGCATTGCCATAGGATGGCCTGGAGGAAATCTCATTTGCATTTGTCCTACAGGTCTTTCTTGTTGTTGTGGGTACATTGTCTTGTTGGGTCTCATGTTCATGGATAACATTCCAGCCAGATGGGGAGGTAGATTACTTGGTAGGGTGTATCTCTGTTGCTGAGCATGAGACTGCTGTTGTCTTGGACCCCTTGTTCTTGGTGGATGTGGAGCAGAGGATGATGGTGGCTGCCCTGGAACTGGTCCATACATCCTTTGTCCTCCAGGCATGCCATGAGGTCCTGCTTGAAGCTGTGGAACTTGCTGTGGAGACTGCTGAGGTGATGGTCGCTGACTAGTAACAGGAGCATGAGATGCTGATGAGACGGTATGAGGTCCTGATGTATTCTGGTTTATTTGCATTGGTTGGGAAGGTACTCCCTGACTAGCCTGAGGAATAGGTCCTTGGGCTGTACGACTATGAACTGGAGTTTGAGTTGATGCTGAGGAACCTACCAAAGATGCTCCAACACCTTCTGTTTTAACATATGTGCTTGGAGGTAAAGACACTTCAGTTGGAGTTGTGCAGTGTGATGAAACTGCCTGGCCTTGCAAAGGTGGAAACGATACTGTTGAGACTGCTTGCACTATAGATGACACTGAAGAGAAAGCTGGACCTGAACCAGATGAACTTGGAACAGGGGGTCTAGTCATTGAATGATATGGCTGTTGTGGTGAGCCTGTCATTTCTCCCAGTCTCATCATTCCTGCAGCAGCAAATGTGGCTGACACAGATGGAAGTTGAAGGTCATCTTGAGATGTTGTCTGCATAGTTGAGTGACCAGGAGAATGAGCTATACTTCCTTGGCCAGGAGACTGCACTGGGTGGCTTGGGGATTGTGCAGGAATTGAATGGCTTGGAGATGGAGGCACTATAGAGTGTCCTGGTGACTGAGACTGGGCAGGGGAATTTCTTTGACTTCCAGTAGATGCTCCTGGAGATTGTCGCTGCACACTCGGGGGTCTGGATAAGGGCGTTGATCTGTTACTTCCTGAATGACCCGAGTGTCCACCTGCTGATGGTGGTGTTTGAGATTTAGGCCTGGGACTTGGCTGAGGCACTGCCTTTGTATCAACTGAGGCATGCTGAACACCTGTGGCTTGGTTTAAAGAAAAGTCCTCGTGACCCTTTGATTCCAACTTCACACCAGGTTCTTGTTTTATCACTGGCTCTGTTTTTACAACAGTTTCCTGTTTCACACCACCATCTTGAGCAGTAGTAACTGGGAGGGATGACATTGGCAATCTAGGTCCTTGGCCAGGCATAACTGAAAATTGTGGTCTCTGTTGAGCCTGTTGTAGAGCATGTTCTGGGAACTGTCCTCTTTGCATTGGCTGCATTCCTGGTCTTTGCTGAAAGAATGGATGCCTCATACCCATTTGACTCTGAAAAGGATGTCTAGGATCATGCATAAAATATCTCTGTTCTTGACTGCCAGGCATAGAGTAACGCTGGTCTTGTAGGAAATACCTTGAATCTTGGACTCTACCCTCAGCAGAAATCGGTGATCTTTGTTCAAAGCCTTGAAATCCTGGCAACTGTCCCTGCTGTCTGACTCCTGGCATACTCAATCTTAAACCTGGTTCATGAGCCATTCTTGGGTCCTGCCCAGGAGCTCTCCTTCTAAACTCCAACTGACTCATAGCTTGCTGTTGTAGCTGTTGTGTCATAATTTCATGTTGTCCTGGTCTAATAGTGGCCATATCTGGCCGGAAACCTCTAGTGCCTTCATGAGCTGCTGGAAACCGTTGCCTTATATCAGGAACAGCAGATGGATGTGATGCGCTTGTGACAGCTTGCTGTTGTTGGCCTGGTGTATAATGTAATCTTCCTCCATTGGAAGGAATAGGGTGAGGGAAACTTTGAGAAAGACTTGGTGGCCTCTGCATTGGGTCTGTTGGCACTGCTGGTATTGGCCCATAGTGTTGTGGCCTTGGTACCGTTGTTACAATTGGACCTTGTTCAGGAGCAGTGGCAGTTAACTGTTCTACAGGCTTTGGAGGAGCACTTGGTTTTTGTATGTGTGATATAGATGTTGTAGGAGGCAGGTTTTGTTGCACTGTTTCTGATGTAGCTATTTGTGCTTCTGTCACAGAAATCTGTGTTTCTGACAATGATGTATCAACTTTTTCTAGCCCAGTCTGTACAGGTTGAGAAGACAATGGTGTAGGATTAAGGTTTAAATTTTCCTCCTTTACTGTTACTATCGTGACATTGCAAGACTGATCCTCACGAGGCTGATTTTTATAGGCCTGTTGCATCTTTTCAATATCGCCAGATTGTGGTGTGCCTCCTAGTTCTCTTACATTTGAAGTCAATGGCTCTTTTTCTTCAGGCACCATTGAAACATTCGCTGCACTTTTTGGTGCATTTCCTGAGACAATTTGTTCAGCTTTATTTCCCTCTTCTTTTTCATTTTTAGACACAGCTGTGTCATGAAGTGGTTCTGTCCTATTATTACCAGCTTTTATAGAAGGAACATGTTCAGAATTAATATGTTGAGCATCACTTTCTGGGGACTTTCTTGAAACAACTGGATTTGTAAAGGCACTGTCTTTCGAAGAAATAATACTTTGCGATGGGTTTGCAATCTGTAGAGGCTGAGTTGTGGTGGGACATGCATCATTTGATCCTGTGGCTACAACTGGTGTTGGTTTTAATGCTGGAGGGTTTGAAGACATTGTTATGTATGGATGATCAGCATGAACAGCCATTTGCTGTGGCGAAAGAAGAGATGACTGCAAAGGAGGTGGAACATCTTGACTTGTGGTTACAATGGACAGAGGTTCGCTCTGACTAGTAGAATTGCTGGCACCATTTGATGATTCAGTATTTTGGGGTGGAGGTGTTCCACAATTGACTCCATCTGAGCACTGTACAGTTGGAGGTGGTGTACCACAATGAATTCCATCTGTACATTCACCTGTTGGTGGAGGTGTACCACAATGAATTCCATCTGTGCATTCACCTGTTGGAGGAGGTGTACCACAATGAATTCCATCTGTACATTCACCTGTTGGAGGAGGTGTACCACAATGTATTCCATCTGTACATTCACCTGTTGGAGGTGGAGTACCACAATGAATTCCATCAGTACATTCACTTGTTGGAGGTGGGGTACCACAGTGAATTCCATCTGTACATCCACTTGTTGGAGGTGGGGTACCACAGTGAATTCCATCTGAGCATTCACCAGTTGGAGGTGGAGTACCACAGTGTATTCCATCTGTACATTCACCTGTTGGTGGTGGTGTACCACAATGAATTCCATCTGTACATTCACCCGTTGGAGGAGGTGTACCACAATGAATTCCATCTGAGCACTGCACAGTTGCAGGAGGTGTACCACAATGTATCCCATCACTGCATACAATTGTTGGAGGTGGGGTACCACAATGAATTCCATCTGTACATTCACCTGTTGGTGGAGGTGTACCACAGTGAATTCCATCTGTGCATTCACCTGTTGGAGGAGGTGTACCACAATGAATTCCATCTGTACATTCACCCGTTGGAGGAGGTGTACCACAATGAATTCCATCTGTACATTCACCCGTTGGAGGAGGGGTACCACAATGAATTCCATCTGTACATTCACCAGTTGGAGGAGGTGTACCACAGTGTATCCCATCACTGCATACAGTTGTTGGAGGTGGTGTACCACAATGAATTCCATCTGTACATTCACCTGTTGGAGGAGGTGTACCACAATGAATTCCATCTGTACATTCACCCGTTGGAGGAGGGGTACCACAATGAATTCCATCTGTACATTCACCTGTTGGAGGAGGGGTACCACAATGAATTCCATCTGTACATTCACCTGTTGGAGGAGGTGTACCACAGTGTATTCCATCACTGCATACAGTTGTTGGAGGTGGTGTACCACAATGAATTCCATCTGTACATTCACCTGTTGGAGGAGGGGTACCACAATGAATTCCATCTGTACATTCACTAGTTGGAGGAGGTGTACCACAATGAATTCCATCTGTACATTCTCCAGTTGGAGGAGGTGTACCACAATGAATTCCATCTGTACATTCACCAGTTGGAGGAGGTGTACCACAATGAATTCCATCTGTACATTCATCAGTTGGAGGTGGTGTACCACAATGAATTCCATCTGTACATTCACTTGTTGGAGGTGGTGTGCCACAATTTACTCCATCTGTACACTCTGGTTTATTTTGGTTATCATTTAATTCATTATCTTCTTTTAGGGCACTTACTTCTGTCTCCGACTGACTTTTCTCTGTACTATTTGTTTCTTGTTCACTTTTTGATGAACTTTCTCTCAATGCATCGGTACTTGCAGCATGTGCTACTTCATTTATTGATGGATTAATTTGCTGCTCCTTAGTAACAGTTGTTTCTGCGCTTTTTGTTTGAAAACCTCCAGATTGTCCTAACATCTGAGACTGGCTTGTTTCTGTCGTTGTATCTGAAGATGACATCACTTGGTGGCTTAATGTTGTTAATTGACTAGCTTGTGTGGCACTTGAAACACTTGTTAAAGTAGTTGTCACTTTAACAGTACTTGGTGGATTGTTATGGGGTAATGTGGTAGCAAGAGTTACATTTGTTTCTTGTATTGGAGCAGCTGAAGTAACTTGTGTATGTTGCACTGTACCTTGTTGCTCTTTACTAATAACTGATTGTCCAATGCCTGTCATTGGTCCCTGAGGAAAGTTTGGATTAGGCTGCAGTCCCATTCTTGGCACTGGTCCAAGGCTTGGAGCAGCTGGTCTTGGTGATCTTCTGGCCGGGGTACTAGTTGCTTCTGGAGCCCTCCAGTGTGGCTGCATAGGTGGCCGGACTCTTGGCTGACCTTGTACATCAAAAGGTAAAAAACCTGTTGGAAATTGGGGTGCCTCACCTCTCTGTTGCATGAGATGTCTGATATGAGCAGGGTAATTGGCAAGCCCTGGTGGCAGCCTTGCAAACCTAGTTTGTTGACCAGGAAAAGCTGGATGATGTAGTTGCCCTGGCATGTTTATTTCAGAGCCTGGTAAAGCAGGCCTATGAGCATGATCCATGCCAGGGCCATGTATAGCTGGATGCTGTCCCTGGAGACCAGTTGACATTGACAACTGGCCTTGTGATGGTCTCACTTGTGTCTGGCCTGGCAATGGCGCTGCTTGACTGCCTGTTACTGTATGAGGTTGCTGACTTAATACTGGAATGTGACTCTGTAATGATGATGCAGATGACACAATATTTTGACTTTGAAAAGATGATGGCTGACTAGAACCTGAGATTGTTTGATTGGATGTATGACCAGGTGGTATTGATGTAGGCTGATTTACGTGTGCTGATCCAAGTACTTTGCCCTCATTCTGGCAAGTTATTGGCTGTGGTCCAACATTAATGGATTGTACTGCAGGATTTGTTGTTGACATCACAGACACATTTACGTTGACTTGCTGGTTTGGTCCTCTCGGGGAAGAAGCTGATGCAATAGGCAAACCTGAGGGACTCTGAGCTGAGACAACCTGCTGTGTGCCAGTCTGGTCAGTAAGTGGTGAAGGGATTCCCTTTGGTGACTGTGCAAGGGGAGACTGTGCCAAAGGTGACTGAGCAGGTGGACCTGGAGATGGCACTGCTGATGTGGCTGTTTGACCTGGGGTTAGCCGACCTTGTGCCCCTGGAGTGAGCCTCCCCTGAGTCCCAGGCGTAAGCCTCCCTTGTTGCACTGGAGTTAGTCTACCCTGAGAGCCTGGTGTGAGCCTTCCTCCCTGTCCTGGTGTTAATCTTCCTTGAGCTGGTGGAGTCTGAAATAAAAAAAATCAATCAAATAAAAATCAAAATCACAAAAACTACCTCATTTATTTACAAACAGAATCTTAATATAAACTGATCAATGGATGTTCAAATCAACTGAATCCAGACCGGCCTTTTGTAATAACATACTAATCCTTTGTTTCATGACCATGAAGCCTTGAATATAGAGTATTGGTGTGCTGTTTTTACATATTTATAGGTACTCTCACTATTGGCTTTCTAACTTGGCTACACCAAACACTAAATGAAGGGTGTGTGAGACAAACACAGCTATTGTCAATAGCTGAATACAAATGAAAAGCTATAGAATTGAGTTTGAACTATAAGTTTTACTTTAAAAAAAATTCTTATTTTTCAATAAGCTCAGTTGTAAGTTTGATTACCTTTGAAGGTGGTGCACCAGGACTCGGCACTTGACCAACTTGTGCTGCTAGCTGAGAGGTTAATATTGCTTGCTGACCCTGAGACAGTATTGTTGGCTGACCTTGACTTGCAATGGTCACTTGCTGACCCTGAGACAATACAGTTGGCTGACCTTGACTGGTCAAGGTTAATTGCTGACCTTCAACTACACCAGTTTGGGGGACAGTTCCAGCAATGACAGACTAAATTAATAGATAAAGATTATGTAAAATAATCATCTGTTTTCAACAAATATACATTTACATACATATTTTAATGCAAGAGTTTTTTTTATATATATATTCAATATTTTTTCGACAATTCCTATTATAATATTCAAAATTATATAGAACTACTGTTTTATACTCCGAAAATGGATAATTAAACAATAAATTTAAATCCTTAAAACTTACAAATTTCAACATCATTTGATTATTACAAGACATTTTTATTTCAAAAGCTGCAATCAAAATCATGTACACATTACATAGATCTAGAGACATTGTTCTACTCACGGCTGGACTTTGTGTACTTGGTGTGGTCTGGCCAGATGTAGCAAGTGAAGGTGACTGACCACGCTGCATGTTGGCTGTATTACTCAATATTTCCATGATCCGTCTCTCAGTCTCATCTTGGGGCTTGAACTGCATCGGCGGTGGCTTACTTTGTGCCTGTTGACTTGATGCTGGCTGTGAACCTGAAATCACATCATCTATATTAGCATACAACCATTTCTAGGCATTTTATAACACTCTACTACTTTGTTATATAACAAGAACATTTGTTCTTCAAAACCTGTCATTTTACATTTATGCTTTTGGAAATAAATATGGAACAATTTAAAGGGTTCACGACTTGGTCTTTTAAGGTGGTAATGCCAGTATAAGAAACCAAGCTCTCTGAAATCAAACCTTTGACCTCTATTTCTAGACACAAACTTTATACCAAGAATCATAATTATTATCTATTATGTTATGTTTATGGCATCAAACAAGGTAATTTGATAAAATAGAGTTATTATGCAAAGCCTTAAATATCCTCAAATATCCCTGAAATATTTGTTTCAGATGCAGTCCTGAAAAGGAATAGCTTTTTCATTAATACTCAAGTCGAATTTTGTAATATATCTTAATTAATGAACAATTACATATACTGTACAGCCAAATTCACTAGATTGATAAAATAATTGAATAGCAAGTTGTAAACATTTGTTATTTATCCATTTGTTTAGACTACATCAATATTATCACCACCATGTACATTATACGGTTAAAAAACTATATTTATATCAGTGGTATACTGTTAACAGTAACTTACTGTCCTACAAAGTTCCCTTAAACTTTGCAGATGTGATCATTATACTATTAGAAAATTAGAAAATCCATTAAATGAAATTTGTAACATTTTCAACTTTAAGATTTATAAAGCTAAGCCCCAAAAAGATTACACTGCTTGTTTAACAATTCAAACGCTGTCGTAACTAAATATAGTTAGAACAAACTTTTGTTCAGTGAACCTTTGAAATTCCTATTGGAATAAAATATTTTGTGTTGACAAAGAAACTGCATTTTGTCTAAGGGAACTGTATAGCAATAAAATACATGCAGTGACATATTAAAAGTATTAACATGCAATTATTGATATTATATTATACATGTATATGAGATATGAACAAAATACGGACAACATACAGAATATGCACTGATTGATTTGTAAATGATGATATTAATAGAAACTTCTATGTGAAATATCAACACGCCTTTGAAATGATTAGTTCAGTTCTCAATTTTGTGCAGACAAAGACAAAATATATTACAGAAAAAAAACTCACAGAAAAGTTTGTTTTGTGATGATACAATAATCAGTGCCCAAGATAAAAAGAACTCTGCGCCCAAGAACTATTTAAAATGGATGCCCATGGCAGTTTCTATTATTTCAGATGTATCTAGAATATTCCAAAATGACAAATCTCTCCTAACCTTTAACCTGCTGAATTTCCTAAATGGACTTGTCCAGCTTCCATTCTGGAACTGTCCATTATCATTTATGGGGAAATCAAGATGAAATTTTGAAATAAGTCGCAGGCTTTCTACTGCCTCTACCAAAAAAACTAGGGAACAAGGAACATCGCAATGCGATGCAACCAGGTTTTCAGCAAAATATTTCACAGAAGCTTCGTCATGCAGGGGCATTTGTTTTAAAGTGAACACCCCGCCCGCCCACCCAAAATCACAAAACCCCAATGATATGCACAAGGACTCTCTTGATGAGAAAGCTTCTGTGAAAGTTTGTCAAAATAGTTTGTAGGAAGAGGTGTGCAAATAAGAATTTGTTCACTTTATATTCTATATATGGAACAAAAACAATATATTTCTATATAAGGGAAAAAAATAAATGGCCATAATTAGGTCAAACATTATCAAATCTTATAACCCTGACAACATGCAGCAAGAGTTGATGACAAAGCTTCTGCGAGAGTTTTGTCAAAATCCCTAGAGAATTGTAGGAGTTGCGCACAGAATTGCGCAGAGAAGAAGTGTTCACTATATATTATTCTGTATAAGGAAAAAAAACAAAGGGCCATAATTAGGTAAAAAATTATCTAATCACAAAACCCCGACAATATGTGCTATGGCACTTGATGACAAAGCTTCTGTGAAAGTTTGGTCAAATCCGTTGAGAAATGTAGGAGAAGTTGCGCACTGTAGAAATTGTTCACTATTATATTCTGTATAAGGAAAAAATACACAAAGGGCCATAATTAGGTCAAATATTATCCAATCACAAAACCCCGACAATATGTGCCAGGCACTTGATAACAAAGCTTCTAAGAAAGTTTGGTCAAAATCCGTTGAGAAATGTAGGAGGAGTTGCGCAAAGAAGAAATTGTTCACTATAATATTCTCTATAATGAAAAAAAACAAAGGGCCATAATTAGGTCCAATATATACCAATTGCAAAACCCTGACAATATGTGTCAGGGCACTTGATGACAAAGCTTCTGAGAAAGTTTGGTCAAAATCCGTTGAGAAATGTAGGAGGAGTTGCGCACAGAAGAAATTGTTCACTATATATTCTATATAAGGAAAAAAAAACAAAGGGCCATAATTAGGTCAAATATTATCTAATCGCAAAACCCCGACAATATGCGCCAGGCACTTGATGACAAAGCTTCTGTGAAAGTTTGGTCAAAATCTGTTGAGAAATGTAGGAGGAGTTGCGCACATAAGAAATTGTTCACTATATATTCTATATAAGGAAAAAAAACAAAGGGCCATAATTAGGTCAAATATTATCTAATCGCAAAACCCCGACAATATGCGCCAGGGCACTTGATGACAAAGCTTCTGTGAAAGTTTGGTCAAAATCCGTTGAGAAATGTAGGAGGAGTTGCGCACAGAAGAAATTGTTTACGCCCGCCCGCCCGTCCGCCATCCGCCCGCCGCCCGCCCGCCCGCCCGCCCCGCCGACATACCTCAATCTAATAACCAGTTTTCTCCTTCGGAAAACCTGGTTAAAAAGTAGGGCATTTTTTTTACCAAAAAGTAGGGCAAAGTAGGGATTTCTGATGTTAAAAAGTAGGGATAAAGTAGGAATTTTCTTACTGTTTTATTTAAGAATTAGCAAAACATACCATCACCAAGACCACATCAGGCTGTGTGTATCTTCAGTTCAGTCCATGCTTGAAAGACAGGCAACTCATAGCCAAAATGTTGCTTAATGTTTTGCCAAGGCACCATAAGCAGAGCTGCATCAGTACTAAGGGTGTAGTACTTAAGTACCAGTACCAGTACTTGCCAAGATTTGCAGTACCAGTACTTGATTTAAGCTTGGTACTGCAGTACCAGTACTTTTTTGGGGGAAGTAATTAAGTACCAGTAGACTACTAATACTTTTATATATTCATCAAAGTTTGAATAAATACACAGTGTCATTCTAAATAATTGCAAACATTATTCAACAAAGAAATTAAAAATCATATACTTTAAAGTTGACATTACATTTTTACAACTTAAATGAACGAACATACATTTTACAAACAATAATTACAACATATATTCATGTCATATGTTATTGTTTAGTAACCAGTCAACTGTAATACAATGCAATAATCTTACATTTTAAACCCACCAGTCTTTTTGTTGCCTTCACACCTCTGTTCATTTTATACCAAAGTAAATAACAACTTTTTATGGTGCTAACAATATCACTTGAAATAGGATTATTTAGAATAGAAGTAATTAATTAGTGTTTATTTTGCTCTTTTTTTTACTAGTAAATACAAAGTAATAAGATTGCAATAAGGATATTTTATCAGTAAAGAGTTATTGACTCTGTTTATCTCAATTTTAATTTTACTTTAAGTCTTTGGTGCTTTTTTATGATAAATACTAAGTTAACATTTGAAGGAATATTGCAGCAATTTATTTATAGTTTGATAACTTACTTTTTCACAAAAATAAAATAATACATGGAATTTACAGCTTTACTTTATGAGTAGAAATAATGACATTTTTATCAAAACCAAAAATACTGCCTAATGTAATGCAGTAGCAGTACCACCTTTTAAAAGTTTTAAGACAGCAATGCAGTACCAGTACCTGTGTAGTAGCAAAATTTTGTAAGAGTACGGTAATTCAGTATCAGTACCAGTACTTGCAAAATCGCTGCAGTACATACTGCAGTACCAGTACCAGTAATGCAGCTCTGATCATGAGTCTTTCAAGGATGGACATCACAAGGAGAACAAGATTGCATTTGAGAAAAATGCTATGCCACCGCATTAATACAACACTAAATAGTAGTGTAGTAACAGATTTTTTTTGTTTCTATACAATTTTGAAGATTGTCATAATGCATAGATCCCTGACCTATCTTATTCTTATTATCAGATTTGTGGTTAAATCTGTTGTTAACTCAATAAAAGATCAGAGTAGGAACATATCAATGCACTCGAGACTAGTGAATTTGGTGGTGAAGGTCATATTTCACACAGCCTAAATTTCATGACTACATCAAAAGGACAACACAGTAAGACACTTTGTCAAAATCTAGGTCAGCTGAAATCAAAGTTTACTTTACATCTTAATCTGTGCACATGGTGCAAATTTCATAGCTGTACATCAAAGGACAAGAAAGTAGGTCACATCATCAAAATCTAGGTCACCTGATATCAAAGTTCAATTTTACAACTATAACTGTAAACATCGTCAAAATTTCATTGCTGTACATCAAAGGACAAGAAAGTAGGTCACTGTCCCCTTGGGCAAGGCAAAATTTTGGATCCAAGGGTTTAATTCAAAACAATCTTGACACAGGTCCACCAAACAAAATTGCAAGTCAAATATCTAAGCTGTAGCTTTCTCCCATTCAGAAAACATTTGTTTTATTTTCTGTTTTTACTATGTGTACATAATGAGAATCACCGCCCCCTGGCAGGGCCAATTTTGACACCAGGGGAAAAATTTGAACAACTTTGGTAGAGGACCTATAGATGATATTATATAGCAAACATCCAAGCTCTATGCCTTGTGCCTTCAGACAAAAATATTTTTTATTTTTTTACTATATGTACATAATGAAAATCAATGACCCCCTGGGCGGAACCAATTTTGACCCCAGGGCTATAATTTGAACAATTTTGGTAAAGGTTCACTTTGCAAAGTCTCATGCCATATATTTAACCTCTAGCCTTTGTCAATTCAGAGAAAAAGATTTTTCAATTCAGAGAAGAAGATTTTTCAAGTTTTCACTTTATACAATCATATAAGGAAAAATATCACCTCTGGGGCAGGGCAATTTTAACACTAGGGGCATAATTAAAACAACTTTAGTAGAGGACCCATAGATGATATTATATACCAAATATCAAAGCTCTAAGCCTTGTACCGTCAGACAAGAGGATTTTTTAATTTTTTACTCTATGTACATAGTGAAATCAATGACCCCTGGGGGTGGGGCCAATTTTGACCCTAGGGCTATAATTTGTACAATCATGCTAGAGGTTCACTACATAATGTTTCATGCAAAATATCTTAACTCTAGTCTTTGTAAATTTAAAGAAGATGATTTTTTAAATTTTTTACAATATACATATAAGTAAAACCTATGGCCCCCGGGGCGGGGCTAATTTTGACACAAAATTTGAACAACTTTGGTAGAGTTCCTATAGATGATATCATTTAACAAATATTAAAGCTCTAAGCTTTGTACCTTCAGACAATAAGATTTTTTATTATATATATATACTGAAAATCAATGACCCCCGGGGCGGGGGCAATTTTGACCCCAGGGCTATAATTTGAACAATCTTGCTAGAAGTTCACTTCACAATGTTTCATGCAAAATATCTAACCTCTAGCATTTGTCAATTGCTAGAAGAATTTTTTTTAAAGTTTTACTATAAGTTTTTACTATATACATATAAGGAAAACCAATGACCCCCCGGGCGGGGCCGATTTTGACCCCAGGGCTATAATTTGAACAATCTGGGTAGAGGTCTACCAGACAATGCCTTATGCAAAATATCTAAGCTCTAGGCCTTTTGGGTCTTAACAAGAAGGTATTTTAAGTTTTTACTATATGTACATATAGTGAAAATTAATGACCCCCGGGGCTGGGCCGATTTTGACCCCAGGGCTATAATTTGAACAATCTTGGTAAGGGTCTACCAGACAATGCCTTATGCAAAATATCTAAGCTCTAGGCCTTTTCGGTCTTTACAAGAAGGTATTTTAAGTTTTTACTATATATACATATAGTGAAAATCAATGACCCCCGGGGCGGGGCTGATTTTGACCCCAGGGCTATAATTTGAACAATCTTGGTAGAGGTCTACCAGACAATGCCTTATGCAAAATATCTAAGCTCTAGGCCTTTTGGGTCTTTACAAGAAGATTTTTTAAATTTATTCTTATAATTCCTTATGGTTGCCATGGCAACCAGATTTCTGCATGGAATGAAATTCTTTGAACAACTTTTGAACCCCTTCACCCAAGGATCAATCCTGCCAAGTTTGGTTGAAATTGGACTAGTGGTTTTTCACAAGAAGATTTTTTAAAGTTCACTATATAATCTATATAACACACACACACACAAACAAACAAACAAACACACACACACACACACATACACACAGGTGAATCGCTATATGCCACCGCATCGCAGATGCTGCGGTGGCATAAAAACACACACACCTGAACTACTCATCAATTGCAACTGAAAATGCAACTGAAATACCACTTTAAATATCTTCTTTTTTTCATTTCATTTCAAAATGAAAAAGTAGGGATAATAGGGCTATTTCAGAAAAAAGTAGGGCAAAGTAGGGATCAAAAGAAAAAAGTAGGAAAAGTAGGAAAAGTAGGGACCAGTAGAAAGCCTGAAGTCGGCCTACAGTATTGAGGTTGATCAAACAGCACAGTAGTACAGGCTGGCCTGGTTCTATACTGGTGGCAAACGCTAATCACTTGTTTTCAACAGGTTGTAGGTTGCCGACAATGTTCAGTCAGCTTTTTGTGTAGCATAAATTATTTATACAGATTCTGTTGCTGATAGAATATAATTATGCAACGATATATAATATTATATAATAAATATTAATTCAAAATATAGAAATATACAAGCTGCATGATACATATCATTAATGGATTATCTTATAGTATTAAAATTCCTATTTATGTTGTACAGAATAAATTTAAATGTGAATTGTAGTAGAGTTTAATATTTTATGCAAAATTTATTTCTAATTAACATTCTATCACTCAGAGTAAGCCTGACGTTCTGTACAGTGTAATCAGACTATAATTACTGTATTAGCAAAATTTATTAAAATGAATTTTTATTAAAATGGTAAGAGATGTATAAAGTCTCTGGCATGCATAGGTCACAATGTCACAAAAAAATATTGAAGACTGGCTGAAAAAACAAAGACTTTCACCAAAATTGACTTTTTAAAGCTCTGAAATCACATCTAGTAAATTGCTTTTAAGGGGAATAAAAAGCAATCTTAATCAGTTTTTCAACTCTAGTTTAGTTTTAAACATATTCATTTAAGCTCCATTATACAAAGTTCTTTCCCCAAATAACAATAAAGTATCTAAGTTTAGCTCTTTTATTTAGCAATGCCGTCTCAGATTAAAAAAAAAAAAGTCTGTAACCCCAAAAGCTTTCAACTTTAACTTTTCATAATCTGATCTTAATCAAAAGCTATATGAGCCGTGTCACGACAAAACCAACATAATGGGTTTGCGACCAGCATGGATCCAGACCAGCCTGCGCATCCGCGCAGCCTGATCCGGATCCATGCTGTTCGCTATCAGTTTCTCTACTTGTAAAAGAGTTGGTAAGCGAACAGCATGGATCCTGATCAGACTGCGCGGATGCGCAGGCTGGTCTGGATCCATGCTGGTCGCAAACCCATTATGTTGTTTTTGTCGAGTCGCGGCTCATATGTCTTTAAACCAAATGCTGCCTCATCACAACTTATTATTTTGATTCCCCTTCACTTGTTAGTTGTATTACATATTTATTTAACTTATAATTCTTTTAGTTTCATAAAACAATTACTTTTATAATCTTTTTTTAGTATTATCATTCTTTAAATAAAAACTTATTCAAAGAATACAAACAAAAATGTAATACAATATAAAACTGGGGTACAACATAAACAGAATGCATATACTACAAAATAGGCTGGATTCACACACAATATAAAGGTGTTCTTCAAACTGCTGTGATATATAGGTTATGTAATGAATACTCGTGAATATGCCTACATAAACTACATCAATACACGGCATATGTGCTAGGAATCAAAGATTACACAACGCAGAGAAAATAACACTCCTCGATTGATTTTTAGAATCACTTATCACTGAATGCTTAAGTGTCCATTTTATATACTAATGGATTGTTAATATCGACTGCTTATTCAAGAGAAATTGATTCTATGAAAGTAAATGTGAACATGTACTAACTTTGATGAAATTAGTTATTTAAATTGATATTTTAACTCTTAACCAATTAAGAAAGGGGCAAAATGCAAAGAACATTTTGGTTTTCATTTCAGATATCAAAACTATTTTAAAGGAAAATGGACTGAAATAATGTCTTCAAAAAGATGGTAGAAACATTATCATTAAAATATAAGACTTAAACAAACTTATTATATCTGAAATTCTCTTTTAGTCTTGCAATTTAGGCTTCCTATCATTCTCTATAAAAAAAATGTCAAAATTACAAATTTCTGTCAAGCGGGTTCAATATGTGTCCATCACCTTATTAATAATGCTGAAGTTTTTTTAACCCCATTGTACAATATACATGTATAATCATACAATCATACAAATTATATACATTTGTATATATATATAAGACACTCTCTATGCATATATATAGAATATCACAGTCATTTGAAGAAGCAACAACTTAAAGTGTCAGTAAAAAGCACACTACAATATGAAAAATAAAGGTCACAATTCTATTTTTTGTATTACTATCAGTTGGTTTTTTCTTCTTTTTTCTCTTCTTTGTTTTTTCCTTCGATTCCGTAGTGTTAGTCACAGCATCCAGGGTGTGGGGAGGTGGGTTAATTTCTGCAACAGCCAGCTCAACTAATCAAATTCAAGCAAATTTTACCCTTGCCCAATATGAGACAAAAAATATCACCATTCCCTAAAATATCCATGCAACTTACGCTTTTTTAATAACTTAATTTAAATGAGTCTAAATAAACATATTTTTCTTTTTGCTGATACAGATAATGTTGTGTTGTAAATTGACTTAAATCTTTATTCTAATGAAGTATCTAAATTATATTCCACGGGATATTTTCGATCTATTTTAGCTTAGGTAATTTGATCACAAGTAACGGTAACAAGAAATGGAAAGAGAAGGATGTTTTATAATTACATGCCATTATGGAAGGATTATGTTAATATACTTCATCCAGAAACTTCATTGTTCTATAGCAGATACATTTGGAATGATCAGTATTTTAAAATGAAGGTTAGTAAGGATTGAAAAGAAATTTCAAACAATTTAACAGATATCATGCACTGATTATCAACTCCCAATACGTTACATTAGTAATCAAAACCTCATTCGAACAAACAAGCAAAAATGCAGGTAAAACCCTGCCCTAACAGAAACATTAAATCAAAAAGTAGTCCCTTTTCCAAATAAATACAGTAATGTATGAATACACTTGTTATAGATCTACCTTGTGCAACGGTCTGTGGGCCTGCTTGAGGTTGTGGTGGGAAGGTTCCTGGTGGACCCTGGAACCTAATCTCACCGCCTGGGCCTGGAGCCGGCAGCCTTGCTCCTACAGCTTCCATGGGAAATCTTTGCTGCTGTTGTTGTTGTTGCTGCTGTATCCAGGCTTGCTGACCTTCCATGGGTCCTGCTGGGAATCGAGATGGATGCTGACCTTCCATAGGAGGTCCTTGGAATCGTACAGGGTGTGGCTCCCGAGGACCAGGGAACCGATGGTCAGCAAACACAGGTTGGATTGGTGCACCAGGGGTCTCTGTAGCTTCCCCTGATAATTATACAATTATACAATGTACATACAATATCATACATGTAACTTCTATTTTTTGAGTGACTAATTGGCCTTTCAAACATAATTAGCAAACACAATAAGTTAACAGTCTGGATTGCTTGTACCAAATTAATGTCATGTTTTCCCCCTAAGAATGATTTTATACATATATCAAAGTTCAAGGTCAGAAAAGATCAGATCAAAGTTCAAGGTCGGAAAAGATCAGAACAGTAATTACATTAACATGCAAACTTAAATATACAAGACATATCACTAAAGGTAATGAATGCTCCTCAAACTAGAATGTTTATAAATGTATATCATTGCAAAGTATAGATTTATTTTAAGCATCCTTGACCTTGACTAAAATACCCTCTCGCTCCATCCAAAGTTAGAGGACCATAATATAATAGGTAGCGGTCAATAAATTAAATGATTGGAGAAACTGTACGAAAGCCTGACTGAAGTATGAAAGGACGAAGTGGTGAATATATGCTCAACAATTTTTGTGTGTGTGTGTATGCATAAAGATCATGAACTAAAGTGTCAGAATTTCAATAGCATAGATATAAAATGATCATTTTGTTGTTGAAGATATCTATTTTTCAGAGATTTTATCATAAACAGGTAAGAAATCATCTCACCTGGTGGTTGTTCCCCTTGTTTGATTATGTGAGTTTCTCTCAACTTCTCTATCTTTTCTTGCTGCTGATACGTATCACTGAATGGATTATTATCCTGTAACAAAAATTCAAATTACACATTAACAATCCAAAAGTTTAACTCGATTTATATAAGTTATCCAAGTTCTTTTAATAAAGTAACAACAACTTAAGTCTATATACTGACTTATTCAAATTATCTTAATCAAAATTTGGCTGTTCCTATATATTTTACTCAGAGGCTGCAAAATCAATAGTCTGTATTGCCCAGTTTGTCTCACAGCCTGTATAGACAAAAAATTTCTAACTATTTACTACATAAATATCATACAGACAAGTTAAGAAATGCTTTAGATAAAGATGGACATGTACATCAAAATCAGAGTTTGCAAGCCCAGTCTTACTCTTGATTTGTGTAACAATCTATATTTCCTTTGGGTTTTTTTTGATAAGGTATTACTTACACCAAAGTTTGCCATTCTGGGTTGTGGGGATGCCCCTGGGGCTGTTGGCATCATAGGTGGGCGAGGTCCAGGCATTCTAGGCCCCATTTGACGCAGTCTGTTCTGCATATACTGTTCATACTCCTGCCTCATATCTCGCGTCATTCTAGCAGAAGCCTGGTTCCCAGGCATTCTTACAGGAGGTGGCTGCATCTGAGGTCCGGCTTGAGGGTTTGAGGTTACTGGTGGAGCACCTGGCATTGGCCCCATCATCTGAGGTGGCTGACCAGACTGGGCCATCTGCTGATTGAATCGTTCCTGAAACAAAGAATTTTCATTTACTAAAACACATATTAAATTCAAAGTTCTGAATACAGAAAACACTTTTGAGTTCCTACCGACACACTTAACCAAACTTACAGCATTCCTAGAAATACAGCTAAAATAACATTTTGAAAGACTTATTAATCATTTTATTATAAATTAAGAGTTTATAAAGATGTATTATGAAATATTCTCTCAAAAACAAAAACAGAAGTAACAGAAACACGATCAATTCACCAATTTGACTATAACTTAATCATGAACAGGTATGAAAAGAAGCCTATAATATCTTGGGTCACCCTCTTTATCCAGTGATCATGGGCTCTGGCCGCTGCAGCTGGGGTCATGACCACCTTTCCCTAATTGGTTTGTTTCAGCAATTGGAGTTGAGAGATTAAAAATTTTAAACTTTCATAACAACAGGTCTAAAATAAATATGTTTAAATCTTAGCCTGCTAATGACAACTGAATCTACCGTACGACCAATGCAAACCAACAAAATCCAGCTCATCCTTGCAGGCTTATCATAATCTGCACTTTTAGCTATGTAGTCAGTTTTTTTTTTTTTTAAATCTTCCTAAAACTGATGAATGTTTTTTGGGCATGACTGACAGACAAATGGGTTTTTCAAGAAATTTAGCATGGCAAGGTTTTAATTAAACTAAAACAGATTATGTCGTCACCTGTTGTTTAGTCCTATAATCTTGTATGGCAATCTGATGTTGTCTATTCTGTTTCCTCATTTGTTCAAGTTGTTTCTGTAACATAGACTGTTCCTGGCTGGCTCTCTCTAACTCCATTACATCCTGAGCTGGCATTTCCTGTCCATTCTTCTTCGCCTAAAATAATAGTGAACTTAATATTCAGTTAAACTCCTACAACAATCTGAATTATAACTATATCACCTTTACTTAAACCCCTTACACTCCTGAATTTTTGAAATGGACTTTCCCTGCTTTAAATTTGAAACTGTCAAAAGTAGGTTCAATATAAAAAGGATAAAATATAGCAGTAAACAGTTTATATTCTGGTCATAGTAACTAAGTATGTTGACTGACCTGACATTGTATTTGAAGCCTAGGTATGTAAATTTCCAAGCATGCACTAAGAAGTCATTTTTCAAGTTATACAATACTATAGAAATTATTAAGGTAACTGATGATAATTCTGTTATGTTTTTCTTTATGGATTACATATGATTTTTATTACATAGATGACTATATTCACAACTTTTCTTTCATGCAAACTGATTTTATATAGTGACATAAAACTGCTTTTAAAGCTGTTGAGACTAACTGCTTTAAGTTCTAACCCCATGCCTTCATTTTTAATCACATGCATCCTTTATCTTTCAAATACAAACACACTGCATTTGAGGATAAAATACCTCATTTAATCACAAATACCAACAAAGACACAGTGTAATACTTTACCTGTCTATTTCTTGCATTAATGGCTTTCTTTGTTCGTTTTTGTTTCTGTATTTGTTGTTCGAGGAATTTGACTTGCATTTCAAGGAATTCTCCATGTTTCATCAACCAATGTTCATACTGGTAATATTGTCTATCAGAATCTGGTGCATTATCAACTGAAACAAAACAACAGTAATTTATATGTACATTTGTATTTACAGTGAATCTTGGTTATAAGAAACTCATTCGGACCATGAAATTTAGTTTGCTATATCCGAGGTTTCTATGTAAGGAAACTGTATCTTATAAGCAACTTATATACAGCAAACATAAATATATAACAAACAGCTTTTATGTTTGATGATTTGATAGATATAATTGTTATTTACTATATTTGTCATAAATTTATAGATCTGAACCAAGGTATTACCTGGAGTTGGAGGTTTAGGTGGAGGCATTGGACCAGGTGGCCCTCCAAATGACTGTGCTCCCTGGGTATGTGGACTCAACTGTCCAGGCATTCTGGGTCTCATACCTGGCATATCCGGCTGAGCAAAAATACCTGGCTGGCCAGGATGTCTGGAAACACAATTGTAAAATTGCTATAGCTGTCTACATGTTTACGTTTAATCATATTATGACAATATTTTTGTATCTATTACCATCATTGACAGGAAAATGCAGAGAAAATAGTGATAAATTATAACAATTATATAAATGTCTACAGACATTTTGTTAAAAAAGGTATATACATGTATATAGATATACAATGATAATCTAGCAAAATATGTTTGTGAAGACTTTGAAAATGGATGACTGCAGATACATATATTCATGCAAGTTGGTACAAGAGTTGTTTATTTTTAATCAATAATAAATCTGACATATCATGGAAAGTTTTCCTGAAATTTTTTACCTGACGGGAGATTCCATCCTCTGTGGCATACCAGGTGGCATACCAACCATACCTGGAGCACCTGGTCGCGCTCCCATCATGCCCTCGGGTCGTATTCCACCAGTCCTCTGTAACATAACCTGTTGTTCTCGCTGTCTTTTCTCTTGCTCTAGTTTCTCCTGCAAAGATAGGGATAGACTTACAATATACTGATAAATTATTTAGTATTACAAACACAAATGCTTGAGTTTCATTTACAAGTTTTAAGGACAGCCTTTTTCTTCATATATACTGTACAAATAGGTCCACATCTTTAAAATAACCTATAAATGGTAGACACTCAACCCATTTAATGCAGGCTTCAACAGTTTTCTTTTCACAGTTTTAGTTCACATATCTTTATTAATTTTTAACTTTGTATTAGCTAATACAATCTTGAGTTACATGAATTACTGGTAAAAACATGGTTTCAGTTCCTTTAACTCACCACAGATTTCAACTGTACCTGTTCAAGAAGGTCTTGTATCAATAATGGTTGGTCTTGCAGCAACGCTGTACGACCTTGACCTGTTGATGTCGTCACTGTTGACCCAGTTGTTGCCATGGTACCCATGCTCGCAGAATGAACAATATTCTGTTGAGACATAAATGACTGTGGAGGCTGAGAACCAGGAGTTGATGCACGCATTCCAGACATGCCGGGAAACACACCTTGAACTTGACCTGGTTTCCCTGGTGATGATGGTGGATGACCTTGAAATGGTGGTCTCTCCAGCCTCATCACTGGATGCATTGGTCTCATGCCTGGTGTGGTCATATCACCTGACACTTGAGGCTGACCGGGCATAAGTTGTTGTTGTGATAATGGTAAAGAGGTTGGGGGTCGGATCCCAGGAATCTGCTGTCTCATGCCAGGCTGATTGAAAGGATGACCTGCCTGGCCCGGTACCATTCCACGTGGAGGTGGCTGTCCCTGCATGTATCCCTGCTGAAACTGTCCCTGAGGATATTGTCCAGGTTGACCTTGAATATTTGCTCTCGGTGACCTTTGCATTGGAAAGGCTGCAGGTGGAGTATGTGAGGGACTGTATGATGTAGGCAATGGTGATCCTTGACCCATTAATACTGGCACAGATTGTCCAGCTGTCCCTGGCATAGCAAATGGAGATTGGGTCCCTGGGTTGGCACCAGCATAGGGTGATTGTGGAGCAGAAGCAGGAGTAGTTGCAGACGGTGAAAATGGAGACTGTACTGAATGCTGTGAGAAAGGTGATGGCTGCTGTGTAAGCTGACCTTCACCCGGTGTCCTTGGCGATGGCTGACTCTTTGGAGAAGGCATAACCTTTGGAGAAGGCATACCAGAGGGAGATGGCTGCCCAAACAATGCAGCCTGATGAGGGGATGGAGCCCCTGGTGTGTACTGACCACCACTTATGGATCCTGCTGGTGTCATGGGTGTTCCTGGGGCAGATGGAGTTCGAGTCTCAGAAGCATCAACACTTTCAGTCTTTATGACCTGTGGTGGTTTCTTACCGACATCTCCAGGCTTAACCTCTTCTCCCTGCTTTTTCTGGCTGAACTCCAGGAATTTGGCTTGAAACTCGCTTACACTCTGTTTGTCCCCTTCTCCTTTCTCTCCTGAAGTAAGAAATATCGCCATGTAATACAGGGTATAAACAAAGTGATACTTAATTTATGCAATATTGCAATGTAATATAAGGTTTAAATACTGCAAAACTTGAAGTATGTAATATTGCCATGAAAACTCAGGCTAAAACACAACCAAACTTGTTGTTAAGACAATATGACAATGAAAACTATGTAATACACTTAACCTGCAAAAAGGCAGCATTGGACTTTTTTTATTAATTTTGTAAAAAATTATACAAGTTTATCTTCTTTAAGGAGCTCCTACCTATGTTTAAGAATGCTCATTTTTTCCAAGTGAAAATATACAACAATATTAACAAGAGCCATGTCAACATGGCCATCCCCCACCGAATGTGTTTGCTCATTGGAAGAATGTATAATTTTTATGTAGTAGAACAGAATAATTCTATTTTAAGAGGTCTTTTGGTAATGAAAACTGATGGCTATAGTGATTACAGATTTGAAACCTATGTGAATACTGATGAATGAAAATAACAAAGGGCAATAACTGAAAAATAATGCAGGGTAGGTTATCATTCTTGTGTGCTGCATCCCTCCTCAGTAAAATCTATCCACCTATGAAGTTTCAAGTTGATACCTCAAATACTTTTTGAGAAAAAAATTGAATTGAAAAATTAAGTATGAACAAGAGGGCCCTGAGGTCGCTCACCTGTATATAGGCCCCACCAACCCCCCCCCCCCCCCCCAAACATTGCAGGGCCAATCTAACCCAAGGGCTTTTATTTGCACAAACTTGGTAGACACCCATAAGAAGATGTTTCATGCTAAACATCTAAGCTCTAGCTCATTGGGGTTTATAAAAGAAGATTTTTTTAAAGATTTTACTATACACATATAGTTAAAAACAATGACACCCCTGGGGCCGGGCCAGTTTTGACCCCAGGGCTTTTATTTGAACAAACTTTGTAGACACTTACTAGAAGATGTATCATGCTTAATATCTAAACTCTAGCTATTTGGGTTTTTCCAAAGATTTTAAGTTTTTGCTATACACATATAAAGAAAATCAATGACCCCCGGGGCGGGGCCATTTTGACCCCTGGTCTTTTACTTAACAAACTTGGTAGACACCTATTAGGCCACAGAAAATTAATCTTTAGACTCTCATCCCCGCCCGCCCGTATCAAAATCTTTCCGCCCCAAAATAATTTATTTTCATAAAAAAAAAAAAATGTTCATTTCCAGGGTTCCCTCTGGGTCAAAATTAGTTTCATCTTCACATGTTCCCGAAGTGTCACACAATTGATGACATAATTGATTATACGGTACCCGATTATACAGTTTGGTAAACAAACTAATAGTGCGTGACCTTTCACATTTGGGCCGCTTATGTAATTGACGCGGCCGCTTATGACATTTAAGTGTACTAGTTGTCGGATGCTTTTATCTTACGTTGGCGCCAGTTAAATTCGCAAATTAAAGATTTTATGCGCCAGAATTAATATTTTGTCGCATTTGAAGCCATTGGCGATCGACAGCGGGAACCCTGCATTTCGCAGACGTCTGTGGACGAAAATTCGTCCGAAAATCGTGGTTGAATATTCGCGGGACGAACACATAAAAATCAGACTGAGGTTTACAGCGTCTAGTGATCAAGATTTTAAATACGTTCGTTTTCGATCAGTAAAATTGTCAAAATGTTCGTCATATGTGAAATATATGATGCAGTAAACAAGAAAACTGTTTGTGATTGGTTTGGGTTTAGTTTTGATCAAAATCTGGGTGGAAATGATGCGACGTTCATCAATATATTCATACATTTCTGTTTTTTTTTTCAGGTCTTAAAAGTGCTGGATAAAATAAATTATAAATTATAAATTCCGCCCACCCGCCCCAATTATTTCTTGAACCTGGATGAGAGTCTAAAGATTAATTTTCTATGGCCTTAGAACATGTTTCATGCTAAATATCTTAGCCATAGCTCTTTGAGTTCTTTAAAAGAAGATTTTTTAAGTTTTTACTATATGCATATAGGGAAAATCAATGACCCCCCAGGGCGGGGCCAATTTTGACCCCAGGGCTTTTATTTGGACAAACTTGGTAGACACTTATTAGAACATGTTTCATGCTAAATATCTTAGCTCTAACTCTTTTGGTTCTTTAAAAGAAGATTTTTTAAGCTTTTACTATATGCACATAGGGAAAATCAATGACCCCTGGGGCGGGGCCAATTTTGACCCCAGGGCTTTTATTTGAACAAACTTGGTAGACACCTATTAGAACATGTTTGATGCTCAATATCTTAGCCATAGCTCTTTGAGTTCTTTAAAAGAAGATTTTTTAAGTTTTTACTATATGCATATAGGAAAATCAATGTCCCCCCGGGGCGGGGCCAATTTTCACCCCAGGGCTTTTATTTGAACAAACTTGGTAGACACCCATTAGAACATGTTTCATGCTAAACATCTTAGCTCTAGCTCTTTGGGTTCTTTAAAAGAAGATTTTTTAATTTTTTACTATATGCATATAGGGAAAATCAATGACCCCCCGGGGCGGGGCCAATTTTGACCCCAGGGCTTTTATTTGAACAAACTTGGTAGACACTCACTAGAAGATGTTTCATGCCAAATATCTAAGCTCTAGCTCTTATGGTTTTTTAAAAGAAGATATTTAAAGTTTTTTCTTTCGGTTGCCATGGCAACCAGAGTTCTGCATGGAATTAAATTCTTTGAACAATTTTTAAAGGTGACCACCAAAGGAACATTCCTGTGAAGTTTGGATGAAATTAGTGGTTTATGAGGAGATGTCATTTAAAGTAAAAGTTTACGGACGGACGGACGATGGACGGACGAACGGACGCCGGACGAAAAGCGGTCACAAAAGCTCACCCTGTCACTTTGTGACAGGTGAGCTAAAAATAACAAAGGGCAATAACTCAAAAATTATAAAAGGTAGAGTTATTATTCTTGTGCAGTGCACACCTCCTGAGTGAGATCTATGCACCTATGAAGTTTCATTTTGATATCTCAAAGGCTTTTTGAGTTATGCTCTGGACAAAAATTAATTTTGAAAAATAACAAAGGGCAATAACTAAAAAATAATGCAGGGTAGAGTTATCATTCTTAAGCACTGCACTCCTCCTCAATGAGATCCATCCACCTTTGAAGTTTCAAGTTGATACCTCAAATACTTTTTGAGATAAGCTCTGGACAAAATAGCATAACAAAACAAAGGGCAATAACTCAAAAATTGTATAGGGAAGAGTTATCATTCTTGTGCACAACATTCCTCCTCAATAAGATCTATCCACCTATGGCATTTCATGTTGATATCTCAAACACTTTTTGAGATATGCTCCACTCAGGTGAAAAATTAGGTATGAAAAATAACAAAGGGCAATAACTCAAAAATTATGAAAGGTAGAGTTATCATTCATGTGCACTGCACACCTCCTGAGTGAGATCTATGCACCTATGAAGTTTCATGTTAATATCTCATAGGCTTTTGGAGTTATGCTCTGGACAAAAATCAATTTTGAAAAATAACAAAGGGCTATAACTCAAAAATCATGCAAGGTAGAGTTATCATTCTTGTGCACTGTACTCCTCCTCAATGAGGTCTATCCACATATAACATTCCTCCTCAATAAGATCTATCCACCTATGACATTTCATGTTGATATCTCAAACACTTTTTGAGTTATGCTCCACTTAGGTGAAAAATTAGGTATGAAAAATAACAAAGGGCAATAACTCAAAAATTATGAAAGGTAGAGTTATCATTCATGTGCACTGCACACCTCCTGAGTGAGATCTATGCACCTATGAAGTTTCATGTTAATATCTCATAGGCTTTTGGAGTTATGCTCTGGACAAAAATCAATTTTGAAAAATAACAAAGGGCAATAACTCAAAAATCATGCAAGGTAGAGTTATCATTCTTATGCACTGCACTCCTCCTCAATGAGGTCTATCCACCTATGAAGTTTCAAGTTGATAACTCAAATACTTTTAGAGATATGCTTCGGACAAAAATGTCGGACGGAAGGACGGAAGGACAGAAGGTCGGACGGACAGACGGAGACTATTTCTATATCCTCCGCCGAAAATTTTCGGCGGGGGATAATAATAATAGTACATTTTTATGCCATCAGTTTGGAAGAGACATTAAACATATTCTGATTTAGGTTTCTTTGGGTTATCTGTATTAAACATAGACTCTAAAATGCTAATTTTGTTATTTACTGGCCATTTCAATCACTTCCTAGTTCTTTCCACAACTATAGTCTGTCCCACCAAATTTGAATATTCCATTTTTTATTAAATATAATAGTAAAATCATTTAAATTAATGTCATGTTAATCCTGACGTCAATATCTCTAGGCATGTTTTTCATTTTTTTCATAAAGTCAGTAATATGGTCAAAATGTTAAAATTATAATTTTTTCCCGTTGACTTACGTTGTAACCTGACGTGACGTCCATTTCAAAATGGCGGCGCCCATACAGACGTCATTTAGGGTTCGTCTCACAATTAGCGTGAAATGTACTCGGTAATTATAAAAAAAATGATTATTCTTATTTACTTACTGATCAATAGCTGAATGTTATCATTAAAATGAAAAATGGAAACAAAGTTGGTGTCGAAAAGGCAATTTTACTAGCAAACCATTATTTAAAATAATCAATTTAAAATCGTTTGAAGTGAAATATCAGTAACCGCTTTATAAATTATAACACACAAAGATTTATATAATCATATAATAACCATGATACACTGTCGTATTTTATATTCTTTTTAAGAGAAAAAGAGCAATATTATGAAGTGATTTGATTAGATAGCTTTTCAATCAAGCGCGTATGTTGAATACTGCAACGCGTCGTAAGGGAACGGGAACACTAGCCAGAAGACTAAAAAAACAAGAGCTGTCCGTAAGACAGCGCGCTCGACTTTTTTAGTGCTTGCCTATAATACAAAACATTGACAGTTAAGGGCCATAATTCAAATAAAATCTTTGACAGAATTACCTTCTCCTGGACATGTTTGGGAATCATGATTGTAAACAAGTATTCCAACTTTCAAATTAATATCTCAAACAGTTCAGTCAAAAAGTGGACTGGTACTAAAAACTTAACCAAGATTCTAAGTCGATAAAAGGCCTTAATTTTTAAAACAAATCCTTGACAGAGTTACCTTCTCTTGCGTACAGATGGGGGTAATGATGTGAAATAGCATTAAAAGTTTCAAAACAATATCTCAAAGGGTTAAGGCAATAAGTGGATTTTACCCATATTCAATGTATTGTCTAAGTCAAAAAGGGGCATAATTCTGTCAAAAACCTTGACAGAGTTATGTCCTCTTGTCTGTTGATGAAGGTCGTGATGGTAAACAAGTATGGTCAGTTTCAAAGCAATACCTCCAATGGTTTTGAAATAAAGTGAGGTGGTACAAAAAACTTAACCAAGATTCTAAGTCGATAAAAGGCCTTAATTTTTAAAACAAATCCTTGACAGAGTTACCTTCTCTTGCGTACAGATGGGGGTAATGATGTGAAATAGCATTTAAAGTTTCAAAGCAATATCTCAAAGGGTTAAGGCAATAAGTGGATTTTACCCATATTCAATGTATTGTCTAAGTAAAAAAGGGGCATAATTCTGTCAAAAACCTTGACAGAGTTATGTCCTCTTGTCTGTTGACGAAGGTCGTGATGGTAAACAAGTATGTTAGTTTCAAAGCAATACCTCCAATGGTTTTGAAATAGAGCGAGGTGGTACAAAAAACTTAACCAAGCTCAATACACTTTTTAAGTAAAACAAGGGCTATTAATTCTGTCAAAAACCTTGACAAGAGTTATGTACTCTTGTCTGTAGATGGAGGTTATGATGGTGAACAAGTATGGTAAGTTTCAAAGCCATACTTGTAATACTTCTGAAATAAAGTGGGGTGGTACGAAAAACTTAACCAAGGTGTGACGCCAACGCTAACGCTAACGCCGACGCCGACGCCGACGCCGGGGCGAGTAGGATAGCTCCCCTTTTCATAGAAAAGTCGAGCTAATGATTCTTCGCTAATATTTAATTAACATAATTCTGTAGTTGTCTGAATGCTGTCCATTAGTATGTATCACGTCTATTTAAAAATAATTAGATTAACCAGGTCCGATGGGATAAAAAAATATGTTACCCTTCTTATTTCGGGTGCGATGTTCGTGCGTTAAAACTTTTCGTAGGTTTTAACTTTCACAACAGAAACCTGACGTTATAAATCGCCAACAAATATAACATATTAGCATGCAAATTTTAAAAGAAATATATAGAAAGGGGACTGATTCACTATATGTTCAGTATTGTTTTGCACAGAGTCTACTTTAACTAGCTCATTTGCTAATGAGAGAACACAGACTCGCGTGCGAGGAAAAATGTAAATTATAAGAATATAAAAATGCTTTCTAGTTTGAGCAACCAAACGTTGGCCTATACACTTTAAGCTTGTAAATACAGATTAATTTTCCGTCTCATAATTTAACAAAATGTCCAGAAATACCGGCAGTGATTTGATATTATTAAGAATAAGATTGAATTGGAGCGTTTAATCAGGGGCAAAAATTTTTTTTTGTAGACTCAAAGTGTTACATACTATGTTAATATGAAGGGGAGATCGAGTCAAAGAGAAACACAGAGTGATGTCCTAAATAATTATAGCCTTCCTAAAATTTGAAAATATTCAGTGAAAAAACAATAGCTATACTTTTTCCATTTTCAAGAGTTATAAACATTGTGCTGTCGAACTAAAATTGATGGGCCGTTCTTGAATTATGGATTTGGAACATACTGGATTATGATGTGTTTCATTTACATATTTCATTTGCTAACCCAGATAACTGCACAAATGGAACAATGTTTTAATAATGAGACGGATTATGAAAAAATCTGGATCATCATAAGTGTAAATGTCATGCCATTCAGGAGTTTCAATGTAAAAAAATGGGATCTACGGAACTGGATATAAACTGGCAATGAAGTGATCTTCAGAATGCGAATTTGTCGTGACGTTTATAAAGATTTATTTCGAAACTCATAGGGATTCTATTTAGCTTAAAAGTAAGTGCAATTTCTACTCCATGTCACTCGATGTTCTTGTTGCTTATTAATATTATTCATATTTTAAAGTTTTCTATCATGCATTGCAACGAAACTGTTACATCTTGTAGATCCAGCTTTGTAAAATAATCATGAAACGACCCCGAGAACATCATGTACATTTTAGAAACATGACACGTGCTTTCTCCCGTTCATCTCCAAATGAAGAGTACTTGCCGTAGAGAAATGAAACTTTGCTTTTACAAGAAAATTAGACACTTTAGAGAAAAATCCTGAAAAATCTCGAGGGTGACTTTTTTTTAGTTTACATAAAAGTTTTAATTTTTATTCAACGTGTTTTTATTAATTCATACCAGGCAAAAGATCATTTCCATTTTTAATGGGACAGACTATAGTTGAAATTCTTATCACCAATGTGTAGGTAAGATTCACAATTTTTCAAAAGTTCAAATAATAGTCTACCTTCATTTTCTTGTTTTGGTTGCGTTTTTATTTCAGAAAATTCATCTTCCTTTTTCACGTCTTTCTTCTGTTCATCCTGAGGCTTTACATCTTCCACAAGGTCATCAAAAATGGTCTTGTTATCAGAGCCAAGGTCAAGGTCAGGGTCTGCATACTTAAGAATATCAAATGTTCCATCTGCACCTAAAACACAATCATTGGTTTTACACATCTTACATTCTCTTTAAACAACATCTACCTGTGATAAATCCAGGTCAGCCTTGTAGCCTATTTACTAGCAAGGAACACAATAGGCAAAAACTAGTTCAATTGTATACAGTTAGCTATATTAAGAAGTTGAAGTTTTATAAGACATTAATCTACACTGGAATTAATCCATCTGCAAAACTTTGGTTTTGCTTAATGTAACACAAAGTTAACAGTTCTTCCCCAGAGACTTGCTGGATTTTTTAACCAGAACAAACCTGTTTATGTTAAACCTGCTGCAATCTAAGTTTACAATGAAACAAGAGGGCCATGATGGCCCTGAGGTCGCTCACCTGTATATAGCCCCCCCCCCCCCCCCCCAACGTTGCAGAGCCAATTTAACCCAAGGGCTTTTATTTGCACAAACTTGGTAGACACCCATAAGAAGATGTTTCATGCTAAACATTTAAGCTCTAGCTCATTGGGCTTTTTAAAAGAAGATTTTTTTAAAGTTTTTACTATACACATATAGTTAAAAACAATGACACCCCTGGGGCCGGGCCAGTCTTGACCCCAGGGCTTTTATTTGAACAAACTTTGTAGACACTTACTAGAAGATGTTTCATGCTTAATATCTAAACTCTAGCTATTTGGGTTTTTTCAAAGAAGATTTAAAGTTTTTGCTAAACACATATAAAGAAAATCAATGACCCCCGGGGCGGGGCCAATTTTGATCCCTGGGCTTGTATTTGAACAAACTTGGTAGACACCTATTAGAACATGTTTGATGCTCAATATCTTAGCCATAGCTCTTTGAGTTCTTTAAAAGAAGATTTTTTAAGTTTTTACTATATGCATATAGGGAAAATCAATGACCCCCGGGGCGGGGCCAATTTTCACCCCAGGGCTTTTATTTGAACAAACTTGGTAGACACCAATTAGAACATGTTTCATGCTAAATATCTTAGCTCTAGCTCTTTGGGTTCTTTAAAAGAAGATTTTTTAAGTTTTTACTATATGCATATAGGGAAAATCAATGACCCCCCGGGGCGGGGCCAATTTTGACCCCAGGGCTTTTATTTGAACAAACTTGGTAGACACTCACTAGAAGATGTTTCATGCCAAATATCTAAGCTCTAGCTTTTATGGTTTTTTAAAAGAAGATATTTAAAGTTTTTTCTTTCGGTTGCCATGGCAACCACAGTTTTGCATGGAATTAAATTCTTTGAACAATTTTTAAAGGTGACCACCGTTTGGATGAAATTGGCTTAGTGGTTTATGAGGAGATGTCATTTAAAGTAAAAGTTTACGGACGGACGACGGACGGACGAACGGACGCACGCCGGACGAAAAGCGATCACAAAAGCTCACCCTGTCACTTTGTGACAGGTGAGCTAAAAAAAAAACCTAGCCAAATAATTGTGCATAAATATTTGAAGAACCAAAAACTTGCTATATGGCTTGTTTGGAGGAACTCTGAAATACATATTTAACACACTGTTAAGAAGTGAAGAAGACTAAACATGTATTTTTCATAAAAGAAAGTAATGCAGCTTTCATATGTTTGGTGTAATAACACTATAAGCTCAAAGGTATATAAATATATAAAGAACTTACTAAAGAAGTCCGCCAATTCATCAGTATCATCAGTTTTCTCCTCTTCTGAAGAAGCAGATACTTTGTGTCCACCAGGACCTATTCTTACACCTGCTGCTTTCTTCTCACTAATGCCTTCTGCTGCAGCAGGGACTGTCGTCTGCTGTGGTGTCTTACCAGGTGGAGCTGCACCTCCCCCCTCATGTGGCTGCTGACCTGGAACATAGCCAAGTTTTTTCGCCTCTTCTTTGATCTTTTCTTTCAGTTCCTGAAGGATTGTCTCTTGGCTGGGCTTTGCCTCACCTGGCTGAGGTGATGGTCCTTGTGCTGGCTGCTGGAATGCTTCCCTTGGGACCGGAGGTCTTTGAGGTCTCATCCCAGGTGGAAAACCTTGGCCTGTCATCTCAGTATAACCTTCTGCAAAGAAAATTCTCTTCAAGTTATAAAGATGCTTACTTTTATCTAAAAGTTCATCACTATGCTACACAATTTGAAAGCTACAAGTATATAGGTAAATGGCCACTTTTATTCACATTTTATCTGTTAATTAAAGTCTTGATCAAAAGATTTTAAAGACTTGATCAAAAGATTTTAAAGACTTGATCAAAAGATTGATGTAAAAAGAATTTGGATCCAGAAAACAAACTGAATATAAAACCCCTAAAATGAACCTATTTTTATTGATGGGGGAAAACCACATTCCCCACAAATTTCTATATGAAGAAATGAAGTATAGAAAAAAATGTATCAAGTACAGATACCTTGTTTTTTCCTCTCAGCTTGCTGTTTAAAGAATTCCATCATTTCATGCTTCTGTGCATCACTCTGAGTTCCAGTCTGCTGTTATAAAACAAGTGATATATAAATGAATCTTTACTTTACTAAACAAACTTTAAAAGTAAGTTAAGCAGTGTTCCCAAAACCTTTGTGAATAATGATGCAATATAAAAATTTGATTGAAAAGTTATTTTAGAAAGGAAAGCAAAGTAAGTTTTGGTGCAATTTTTTTTTAACTTTGTGCAAAACGTTGTAGCTTTAGTGACCTTTCTGTGTATTATTAAAAACATTTTACATAACAAAAAGCCCAAAGAATCTGTGTAGTGTAGAACCACAGATAATCCCATAAGCTATCTGAATTTTATTTTAAAGAAGGAGAATCTGACTGAAACCACTTAACCAGGAAAATACATGTATGTGGTGCAAGCCACTTAACTAGTACAAGCCTACTTGATAGGGTAAGCCTCTTAACTAGGACAAGCCAATTACCAAGGACAAGCCATTTAAATAATCAGAGTAAGCCACTTAACTAGGACAAGCCACTTTAAAAGGAGAGGCTACTTATCTAGGACAAGCCAATTTACTAGGACAAGCCTCAAAACCAGAGCAAGCCACTTCAATAGGACTAGTCTCTTAACAGGTCATAACTAGAACAAACTTCTTCACCAGAACAACCATTTAACGACAAGGACAAAACCACTTAACTAGGGTGAGCCACTTAATCAGGTCAATGCACCCTCACTATGCTAAACTGTGTATAATGAACTTGTCCTTACATTAATTAGGAACTGCTCAAACTAAATTACAGGGATTTAAATATCAAAATGATTTAATTTGTCAATCAACAGTATTCAGTCAGGCTGCAGGACAACTTTATACTTGAAGGCAAAGGTTTATCCTCATTCAAAGATAAAGCGTCATATGTTCGCAACAATCTGCAAATGTCTACACTGCAATACCTTTTTATAAGACTTATTTTGCTAATGTGAAATGTTTATTCAATGCAATTTTGAGAATGCATATTGTCAAATGTAAGTATAAGACTCAAGATATTAAACATTATACACAAATAAAACATTTTAAAGAGGTGTAATATAAGTTTTTATCTCACATCAAATATTGAAGTTCTGAATGATCAAAATATAATTGTTATCAAATATGTATATCAAACTGAGTTTATATTTGCAAATGTTCCCCAAAATTTATACGACAAATAGAAAATTATTATCATCTTTCCTGAGACTCTGCAAAAAATTATGAAAATTGTTTCTACACAATGTATTATTCATCCCAGTACCTCCTCACAACAGTATAAGAAAACCCTCCAGAAAGTTTATTGCTCATTGTAATGCAATAACTGCTATATTGACCCATGCACACATTTTATATAAGTTATATCGGTCATGCATTAATTGAGATGAAATGCTAACATGGACGAAATGTTTAAATACATGCAAAAGGCTTTGGCAATCACCATTCAACTCTTCATGTTCAAATGTCAATCCAGCCAAATTTCTTCTTCTTAACAAATTCCAAAACATATAAAGCTCAGCTTCATGATATGAAAGGAGATGTAGCAGGTCAAAGGTCAATGTTTAAGGATATAATAGCAGGTCAAAAAGGTCAATGTATAAGGATATAATAGCAGGTCAAAAAGGTCAATGTATAAGGATATGATAGCAGGTCGAAGGTCAATGTATAAGGATATAATAGCGGGTCAAATGTCAATGAATAATGATATGATAGCAGGTCAAAGGTCAATGAATAAAGATAGAATTGCAGGTCAAATGTCAATGAATAAGGATATAATAGCAGGTCAAATGTCAATGAATAAGGATATGATAGCAGGTCAAAGGTCAATGAATAAAGATAGAATTGCAGGTCAAATGTCAATGAATAAGGATATAATAGAAGGTCAAATGTCAATGAATAAGGATATAATAGCAGGTCAAAGGTCAATGAATAAAGATATAATAGCAGGTCAAATGTTAATGAATAAGGATAAAATAGCAGGTTAAAGGTCGATGAATAAGGATATACTTGGTAAAGGAGCTTAAATGTGATTCCTATGAACAACAAAGTATGTGGATCAGATATTAATAGTCTGACAAAAAACTATCATAAAAATGCAGACTTTTTTTGCAAATCAGAAGTAACAAATATGGAAATTTCTGGTTATTCCTTTAAAATAAATTGCTCTTATAGTCTAACTGCTAAAGGGAGAGCACCTTTACTATGAAAAAGGGCCGTAATTACAATTAAGCAGTATCCAGTAAAAACAGTATATAAAAGGTTTGACCCAGATGTAATGTTTTCAAGTTCTTATTGAACTACTCAGACCTGATTAAAACATACAGATAATAGCAGCTGATGATGGTGTTAGTACATTGACAAAGCAAAAGTACAACAGTGCATACAATACAATAATAGTTATATATATTTTTATTCAGGTTGACCAGGAGTAAATTCACAAGTTTAGACACACAACATATAGCATTCTCTCTTTTATATCATAATTCCAAATACATCTCTCTTCAATAATCAATATCATTACTGTAAAGAGCAAAAACATTTTCTCACTACAAAAATGTAAGATACATGATATCATAAAATGATGTCTCAGTTGTCAGACCTGCAACCTTCTCCTCCTTTGACAAATTTATTTATATACCTTTAAATACCAAAATTTTAGAAAGTAGTAAAAATATCAATTAACCATGCTCAATTTATAATAAACTGGCTAAATTAAACTGAGCCTACAACATTGTCAATTTTGCAGTTTTGAAATTATTTGTGGAATTTATCTTCTCATTTTCAACATCAATCAAGAAAACATACTTGTGAATAAACTCCTGACATCCCTCTGTCCTCCAATTAAGATTAATGAATACAATTACAAAGTGTTCATCTAAGCATGCATTTGGAGGTGAGTATTAATGGATAATGGTTAAGAGTTTATTGAAAAATTATAAGCATGCAAAGTTTAAATTGTTGAGCAGTAACGGGTTAAAGCCTCCAGTCTCGTCGTGCCACTTACCGCAGCTGCATGTAGAGACTGTGCTAGATTGGGCGGAAACATCCTGGACAGCGGAGAAAACTGTTGTCGGTTGGCGACGGCAAATATCCGCTGAAGCTACCAGGAGGGCAGTGTGAGAGAGAGAAAGATAGAGTAGAGAAAATAGGTTTTAAATAACACAACACCACGTGACATGATACACTGGGAATCAGCCACACAATAATTCTCCTTTAGTCCTCTTCCACAAACTCATCTATTTTTAATAAATAATTTTCTAGCAAAAGATTTGAATTTTTCTAGCTTATTTCAGTCAAGTTAAATTTGTCAATAATTCTGTGATGTAATATTTTTTTCCACATGGACGATCGCCATTACACATTGTCTTCAACTAAATTTAAATGTTTTAAAAGACATATTTTAGCTGTGCATGGAACTCAAGCCCTCAAGACTCGGGCACTTTCTGTTTTCCATAGTGATGATAAAAAGCACAGATACAAGACAAAAATCGTCAGACATTTTTTATCAAAACACTTAGTGCTCAGGTGAACAAAATATTTACAACTTAAAGAGATCCCATGTTACCAGATTAAAGTTTTTCTTCCTTCAAACTTAGTTAAGAAAATAATGTGCTCATGAAATTTTTTTTTAAAAATGTGTAGAAAAAAAATCAATACAAACTTAAGAAATGACACAAAAAAGTATAATTTTGTGGTAGTGCAAAACACTCTATTTTCAGTAACAAAAATAAAGTATGTGTTCTGTGGAAGATTACTTAAGAAAAGAAAATAAAATATTAATATAGCTTCTAGTTTTGTTATTGAAAGAATACCACTTGTTGAATGTAATATTTCAAAATAAATTTGTCAATTTGATATTATGAGCACATAATATCACACTTGACGTAAAGTTAACTGGTCGGACTAGTAATCTAAGGATTGCTGGCCATGTGGGTTTAAACCCCACCTGGGGCAAGCCGTTGTTTCCTTGAGCAAGAAACTTTGCACTACTTGCTTAGTTAGTACTGGTTGGTTCCAAGAAAGGAATCGAGAGTGTTTCAATAAGCTTGTAGCTTTCAACACAATCAAACTAAAATAAATTCATCTAAACTAATATCATACTTATATAATAAATGCATCAGACATTGTTGTTATGATCAACATTTTTCTCAAGTTTGACAGTAGGGGATGATACTTTTAATTTATACAACACTAAGTGTACTCCATTTCAGTTATATTACCTTTGAAATAGTACACATTTAACTCTTACTAAGCTTCATTTGTATAAAAGACCAGTACAGCTTTGAACTTGGAATGCCGTCCCCTGTTATGGTTTTAAATTAATATCAATATAAGCAGCTGACAGATTGGAGACTGCTCAAACTGCAAAGAAGTACAGGCCGGTCTGGCTATATACAAGTAGGATAATCTTTTATCATAACCAACATTCAAAGGGTAAAGGTAAAACCTTGTAGCTTTATACATTTACAGATTTATATAGAATTATCAATTCCATACAAAGCAGAAATATTGTTTACTTTATTTTTCTTACAACTTTCAAGAAATCCATTAACATAGTACTTATCAAGTGGTATTCTTTCACAAACATTCTAATATATTAACTACTGTCATTAGATAGATATATTATCACACAGCTCAAACTGTTGCTAACATGACCTTTACAGAACAACAATTGCCAGCTTGGCTATAAAATCATTATTTCTGCCATTTGAAAATCTTGTTTCACTGTCAGTCTGTTTGGAGCTAGTAATTCTTCCTATGCAACCAGTGCAGACCAACATCAGCCAGAACATCCACTTGGTCTGATCATGGAAGGAAATGTTTGCTATTCAGTCAGAACATAATTTTGACCCCCCCCCTCCCCTCGCCTTCTCTCTAATCCAGATTCAAAGATGGCATTTACAATATTAAGATTGGCAAGGAATTAATTGCAACAAACTGCTGCATGGCTCTTTTAAAGGTCATATCTACAACAGTTTTTGACTGTATTGTTAAAAATCTTGGTTTTCTATAGGTTGCACAATTGAATCTCTTAATAAATAATATACAGTATTGTACAATCATTTGCTTGAAATATTTTGACCTCTTATATTATAAACAGTTTACTTGGGTTTATGTTTATTTGAATTTTATTGGACATTTTGCACAACCTAATTATATGCTACATATTTACCTATGTTGAAGGGCATTGCTTTCATTTAGATTAATCATTATGGGGAATATATAATACTTCATAATTATTTTCTTCATTTCTTTTTTTAATCAGTAATCAATTCATCAACAACACACTTGTTAACTGAAATATGTGCTTAGATTTGAACTTTTTGTGTTTCCACAGTAGAAAATGCTGTTCTTTACATAAAACAGAATATGTACTAATTAAGAACACAATGGCAGGACATTATATAAAATATATTTATATGCTCTTTGATTCTAGCTGTATGGATTTCTAGATCAAGATGTGCTACATAGAAAAATTCAGGTAGTGCTTTCATTATTAGAACTATTATCCCAGACATGGACAGTAATTTAAAGATGGAATCTCAGAAATATTATTCTGAAATCAAATCAAAAGGTTCTTTACCAAGACTAAGTTAAACATATCCCGATTATAAATGATTAGCAAACTATAAAGTTACTATAAGTTCTTCTACAAAACAACAATAAATAAATCAGGGTCCAAAGTCATTCATTTATTATCCTTACCCTGCTGGAATCGAAAGTGATCTACAAATTCAGCAGGTTAAGTATTAAAATGAAGACCAGTCTAGCAACTCTGTCATTTGATTGGCCAATTTGAATTATACATTTCAAATTGACCAATGGCAGGGCTACATTTCCAGACTGGTTTCAAATTTTCAGAAAAATTACTTTGGAACCTGTTTGACAACAAATAATTAGCAGAAGCAACCGTTTTAAAGAGAGGAAGGTAAATAAATTCACTCATAGTATATCATACTGGGTTTTGTTATATTTATATACATAATATAATATTGATATCTTGTCCCATTTCATTTACCTTGGGATCCTTGGGTCTTTTGACCAACTACATGTGCAAGAAATATGAAACATTAGTAAACATTTTAATCAACTTTATGTTATATACATAAATATACTAATTTAAATTGAAAACTCTATGTTTTTGTCATCATATTCAGTGTTTCCTAACCCAAACAGTATAAAACTGACAATATCATATTTACAGCCAAACCTGTTTTGAAAACCTATTCAGAAATGATAGTTTTCAACCTCTGAAGATGTATTTCATTGTAAGGTGATACTGTTTCTATATAGTATATTATAATTTTTCTACCATGAAACATGCGAGAATATCCAAAATTTACTTACAAGTTTTAAATAAGAATTTTAAGATATGATTCCAAGATGGTCTATAAGATTTTAATACAAGTTTGACTGTAATTTCTATTCTAACAATGTATAAACCACTTTGTTAATCATATAAATGTTATTGTTTTTATATGATCTCCAACAGAAGTACAGTTACAAGATGGTATTTTAAAGTATGGGTTATCAGAAAACTATGCAAGAACCGACACAAAAAGCATTATCCAAATATTAACCACACGTCTTTAGTGTTTAAATATAGAAATGAGAATATCATCTTGTAATTGTATTTGTAAGATGTTGGAAACCTGTGACATATTTTAACAAGATTTACTAAAATCTAAATGTGATATAATAGTTTAAAATATTATGATTATACTTACAGCTGAGGTCTCTGGTGGAAGTCTCATTCCTGGATGATGGGGCATCTCCATTCTAGGTCTCTGACCTCCCTGGAACATCTCAGGAGGCATCCCTGGGGGCCTCATCATGCTTGGATGGGGTGGACGGAATGGATGTCTGAACTGTTGACCTGGTAACATATGACCTTCACCTCCCGGCATAGAGGACATTCTCTGCATAGGAGGCCTCTGCATTCTATTATGAGGAGCACCTGGAGGTTGTGGGAACTGATCCATGGCCGAGGAAGTCTCTGGGCGATCAGACGTTGGTGGCATGTTAAACTGCTCCTCTGTACTGGCAGCTGGTTGAGGGGCACTCATTTGCCTTTCAAACCTGTGTGGCATCTGACCGGCTTGGGGGTGCGGTGTTCCCGGTGGATGTGCATATGGATCTTGTTCAGGCCCTGGCCACATGCCTGGTTTCAAAGGTGGCCTTGGACCCATTCCTGCCTGTGACCGCGGAACACCTGGTCCGAATGAATCCTGCTGAAGCCCAGCATTTGGTCCATAAGGATCAGGTCCTCGAACAGGGCTTCTAAACTGGTCTTGTTGGGGTAGATGCTCCCCTGGCCGAGGTGTTGAAGGAGGTTGACTGTAAGGATCTACAGGTTTTCTATTTGGAGACTGCCCCATAGCTTCAGCTCTAGGAGTTCCAGGTGGTACATTGTACTCAGCACCAGGCTGGCGTGGGGTAGTTGGAGGAACAGCATATGGGTCCTGGGAGCGAGGTGTTGGTGGCATGTGATGATAAGGATCCTGTTGTGACCCTGGAAACCCTTGAGGACTAGGTTGACCAGGTGAATGACCTATAAAATATTTAAGAAAGGTTTACCTTTTTAAAAACATTAAATAACTTTTCTTTACACTTTTTCTATTTACTACAATACCAACATAAAAGCTATGCATGGAAACACAAAGTTATCAATTCCAGTGAAACAAATGTACTCTTCTAAATGAAAAACAGATATTTTTCAATAATAAAGTTATATCTCATTGTGTGAAATTAAGAATTATGGCTCTTATTCATGAAGTTTAATAGAATGCTCAGTACAGAAAGTTTTCCATAAAGTGCACTGAGTAGCATTTGGTGCCAATTTTAATAATGATTGACCAGTTTTAGTACATCAAAGTCAACCAAATATTTTTCATGATGAATCGAAAATTTGTTATTTCTGATGACTATTGTATTATAATTCTATAAATCCTACCATCAGGAGTGCCTGGCATCATTTGTGAACCATGCCTCATTGGAGATTGTATTCCACCTGGGCTAGAATGTATAGGGCTCTGCATCCCTGGTGGTCCTACAATTCAAGCATATACCATGTAACATACAGTGTATATACATAAAACTTCTGGAGAATGGGAGTAAAGTACATTTAACAAAATTAAACAGTGAATTCATAATTGCAGACTCCAAATCAGTTCATGACAGATAATGCCATGTGCAACATTTCATTATCAACGCATCTCTATGATGTATGTAGTAATGCATAATGTTGAACATCTTTGACTCAGTTCAACAAGAAATGCAATGTTTACTGTTATATAACCAATTCAATTTAGGTTTAAGAAGAAACAATCTAACTTCATTAATACTAATACATTACAGTACAAATTTTAACTATTTTGTATTCCAAAACATTGTCCAGTTGGAAACTTTAATAAATTTGTTACCTTCAGGACTTGGGAACATCTCAGGTGCCCTCATCCCTGGCATACCAGGAAGATGACCTTGTTGTTGTTGTTGCTGCTGTTGTTGTTGTTGCATAAGGGCTTCGCTCTTCTTCCTGCGTTGTTCTGGAGTAAGTTTCGCCTGAGCTTTTGCTTTAATGTTACCTCTGTTCTTTCTTGCCTTCAGCTGAAATATAAACAAATTATATTGCACACTTGTAACATCACTTTTCATTGGACAATTGAAATGTTAATATTATCTATATATTATGTAGGATATAGGATAGAAAAATCAACAACACATGAATTTTAATTGTTATTTATCATTGTTTCGGCTTAATAAATATTTATTAAGTATAATAGTCTATATATTATCTATATACTATCAACACTGGCATTACTAAGAAAGGAAAACACTTTGAAAAACTTACCAGATAAGGTTGCTTTTCATCTGGTGTCAGTTTTCTCCAGATTTTGGCAATATGCTTCGATCTCTCAGACCAATCTGTAAGGTAATAATTACATTAAAAGTTAGTTTTATTTCTAACTTCAAGCCTTAATTTAAAGTTTCAAAAGGAAATTTTATTCTGTGAAAGAAGAAGTTGTGGAATTCAGTACTAAGAGATAGAATGAAAATACAGTATTGTTTTATGTCAAACCTATCACATCCCTTAAATTATTTTCTTTTTTATCAGTTTAATGTTTTATTCCAAAAAAAAAATGTATTATAACTAGAAAAACATACCTGGATATTGTATTTTAAGTTCCGGATGGCACAGATTACAGTACAGTATAGGGGAGATGGTGGCATTATCACCAAGGTCTTCATCTGACTCCCATTTCTGCATATTGCGTCTGCTACTATCATTTATTGCTGGGTCGTCAGGCAGTTGATGCCATCCAGTTGGTGGCATAAAATTTGGAGGGAATTGCGCAGCTTGAGGTGGTGGTGGTCTTCTGCAAGGAAAAAGAAATAAATTATAGATAAGAGCTCAGTGCGTAAAACAATTCAAAAGTATTATAGATAATTTTCAATATTCTATGACTTTCCTGCCTGTACAACAAACAAAAAATCTTACACCATTAATCTGTGAAATGTGTAGGACTTGACAGCATAATGGACATGCATGGATAAAACTTTATGCCTCTCCCCCCTCAGAAAATTACGGACAAAGATACTAATAAGTATTAATTAGGCCAACAGTATAAGGTTTGGTACAACTTATCAGATGTGCAGATGAGGCTTGCAATATAATGGTGACATAATGGGAGTCCTTATAACCACTGACAAACATCTACACATATACATTATTTAGGCTGACAACATTGTATTCTTACAAGACAATGACAATACTGTTAGAACAATTTCTATAGTAACATTATTTCCCAAAATGTGTAAAAAAAACATTTAATCAGTAATCCCTAAAAATATTGAACAGGAGCTTCTTAATTGCAAAACCACTATCCATTTTATATTATATCAACTGTTATTTGTTTATGAATTCAATTATTGCAAAGAGAATGCACTATTAGAATGTAAATTCTACTCATCTATTTATTTGCTTTAATTTATATTGAATATTGTGTATAATTGTGTATACTTACTGGAAATTTTGTGGAGGAAAACCAGGAAATGATGGTCTGATAGGCATTTCAGGTAAACCTTGGCCATGTCCTGATGACATAGGTAACGGAAAACCTTGTCCTGCAAACATGAAACATAAATCTTATAAATAACTGTTAAATCAGTTCATTTCTTTTACTTCAAATACATTTCAAAGTTATAGACATCCGATACTTACAGAACCATAATCCTTTATTGATACGTACTTGTAGGGTTATTCTGAAGAGACTTCTCAATTCCATAACTTCATTTCATTGATTTTTGCTACTGATAGGTTATAGTAGATTTCAAGTAAAAATGGCATTATTATTGTTGTAAGAAGATTTCCCAGCTTTACTAATGAAGGCTGACCTCAGGTGGCCTTCCATGTACTTTCTTTTGGCACCAGCAGGTACCAAAGTAAAACTGCCAACTTTATTCAAGCTTGTTCATCACAACAAAGAGTCCAATGTACCTGACTTAATTTGAACCCATAGCTGTGAGGGACAAAAAATTTTAATCAGTGGCCGTCATCACTGAGTCAAAAAAGGCCCAGATTTTAATACTTGACTTTTATAAATGAATATTGATAACATAATATACCTTGTGGTGGTAACTGAGGGGGTTGTTGAAGACCAGGAAGTGGAGGTGCAGGCTCGTGTGGGTGTGCTGGATGTGGCACTGGTGGCAAGCTGGGTTGCTGGGCAGCCTGGGATGGACCTTGAACTGGACCTTGCTCACCTTCACCTTGCATAACAACCTTGAATACATCCTCCACTGTCTTACTGTCAATATGCTGCAGACCAGCTGATAACAAAAGTATACAAAATGTTACTATCTATAGTTCATGATAACATGCTAATATTCTGAAAATCTTCATATGAAATTAACATATAATTATATATTCTACAATTGCATAGTCAATATTTAACTCATAGCTTAAACTCTTCAATAGAAAGGGATCGTAAGTTTGAGCTCAGCTCCTGCCACAATGTGTCCTTCATTTCACACTAGTACTGGTTGGTTCAAGGAAGCAGACTCCAGGTGCAAATAAGCTTATGTTTTCTATACAATTAAGTTTAATTGTAATAACTTTTTAATCTAAAATAATTGTGTGCACACTACTCCCTGGTAATTAAGGAAATGTTGTAATTGAACTTGAAGGAACATAATATTATTTTTTCCTATTAAAGCCAAGGGCACATGCAGGTCAATAAACTAAACTTTTACGAAAATTTTATTCTATTTACTTATAAATACATTGTAACATGTAAGTTACAATAACAGACACTCTACTTAAAACTTTTGAAAAATTACCATGTGGAAACTATCTTTAAGCTAACTAAATAAACTTGTATGAGCTGTATTTTAAAAGTTTAAGATCCTTTTTAGTTTAAAAGCCATATATTCTTAAATATACATCAGCATAATTATAGAAGCTTAACCCTTAACATATTGAATTTCTTAAATGGATTGGTCCAGCATTCAATTTTTGAACTGGTTATGATCAACTTTAGGGGTATCAAGATGAAAATCAAAGTTAGTTAGCCAACATTATAGAGTCTGGTCAAACTGACCTGGATCTAGGCTGATGGCAAAGGCTAATTACTTACTGTTCCAGCAGGGAATTTGTTAAACATTTAAAAAAGTACAAACAAATCTAGCAACAAAATTATGCAATTTAATTATATTCTAACCTGCATTAAGCATAGACAAGGTATTCTCTACTTCGTCCAGATCACCAAGGTTTTCTGTATCGGCAGGTTTAGGCTCTGGTGGCTTCGGTTCCTGCGCCTGGGCTGCTTCTTCTTCACCCAGAAGTGCTGTGTTCAAATCTGTGATGCACCAAAACTCACTAAGCATTTTTTCCGATTTTTTTTTATTTGAAAATTATTTCAAAGAAAGCTAGTTTATTTTTATAAAATAGTAAGTAAATAAACATTTATGTCTTTTAGTTAAGCACCACATACTTGATAAATGTTTAATGTCTACTAAGAAACAAACAAGGTGATATATAACTGTGCATGAGTCATATGGAGACGAGTTTTCATAAGGCTCTATCTTGCTAACAATTTCATAAATGATACAACAACCACACATATATATGTGTATAGATATAACTTTCGCAGAATTTACATTTACACCTGCCTTCTTGTTATTTGTTAACACTAAATGCTAACATCAACAGGAAGTGGTCACTGACAGCCAAACAAGAGAAAGTTGTTAGAAGAGGATAGTTTATTCCCACACATTGATATTTCAATACATATCAAATGGCAACAACCACAAAAAGTACAAAGCCTGGATACGAGAGCTATTTACCAGCCGATATCCCTTGAAATGGTAACACTGGGCTCAAAGTTATAAAACATTTTTTTGAGCTCTGTCTCAAATCACAGGATTTTCATTGGTCAGTCTATATTCTGTGGCAGATTCTGACCAATCAAATACCTAAGGTCTGAGTTTGAGATTAGAGAATATATAACTTCAGACATTGCTCAAAATCAATGCAAAAGTAAAGACTAGAAATTATGTCTGTGTTATAAACATATTATGATCATTTTTCAAAATTGATTTTTATATTAAAGGTGTATAAATCACATATACGGAGAAATGCAATTCTCACAAATATGTTACAAAGGACAAACCGTCAGATCTTAAAATTGTTTCAATTTTCCCTGGAGGTATCTTAAAGGCTGTTTGCCGAGTTCCGTAAAAGGACAGAAACAATGCCCTGTGATCATATTTGAATTGAATAGAAAATGGCAATGGTTGATCAGGTAGAGCAAACACTTCAAAACAAATTTAGATTTCCACAAGTTAACATTTTCAATAAATGTCAAACAGATCATTTCACATTAACTTTATTTAAACTGCATGTATGCCCATTTTGTATGAATTCGTAACTAATCTATTCTCATAAGTTTATGTTACAATAAAGAAAAGATAACTCATTTTACCTGATTCTATATCATTATCCAAATGATTGCCTCCCTCTAATTCACTTTCTATCATCTTTATAAAATTATCGTCAATGTCAAAATCACCAACGTCTTCCGGTAACTGAAAGTCGGCTGCTTCCGGTGAAACGTTCATTCCGGTCACATGATCTAAAGGCTCTTTTATATCAGTTTCTTTTTCACTAGAAATGTCTAATGCTGAAGGTTTAGGCATTTCTGCCAGCTCTTTCCTGATTTGACTTGATATTTGTATAGAACTTTCATCTTTAACAGTAGTGTCAGTAAATAATTTTGTAGTCTCTGGAGCAGCTTTCTCTTCATCAGAATCCAGGGACTTGAGGGTCTCTTTAGGAGCTTCACGGCTTTTAAACAGAATATCACTCCCAAAAAATGCCTCCTGAAATTATGATAGCAGATATAGTCTCTATACTCTATACTCAAGCGTATCAGGCTTTTTAGTCAAACATTGGGCTTTTTAGTGAAACAAACAAAATTAATACCCTGAGATACATTTTTATAGATGTTAACTTTCAACATTACAAAATTATCTTAACTCAGTAAATGAAATTCATTTAGTCATGCTTGAAATTTCTTTCTGAAACAAGATTTCTTACCCCCTGAACTTCTTAATATTACTCCAAAATACACTAATATTTACATTTAACATAACATGATTTATGGCCAAATGACGTACCTGCATATATGATGGAAAGTTCTCCTGTAGTACACTTTTCCGTCTACCAGGTCCAGCCTTTCTCTGCCATTTCCGTGGTTTATCTTCTTCCATCGGCAACGGCATACTATCTTCACCATCCATAGAACTACCAGGTAGTGGTAAAGGTTTATCTATTATCCCTTCCAGCATCTGTCCCTCCTCCCCAGGGGGCCGACCACGACCATAATTTTTTCTTTTGTTCACATTAAACCCTCCAACACCTGAAAAACCACAAAAGTTTACTGCCTATATATTAAACCTCAGAGCAGTTTCATTCTTTAAATGTTAAGAGTAAAACAATTTCAGTTACATAATAGCTATGCTATTATAGCAATACTTATAATTTTTCTTTCAAGATCATCTTCTGGCTACTTTATATAAAATGTTCATGATACATTTCTTATTGCTGGGTTTTACATCCCACCAACAAAGTAGAGGTAATACGGCTACTTCCCAGTGTTGAGGGTCAAGTGGTTTGAGATCAACAACCTGAACCACTCAGTCATGGCTACCCCTGTTGATCATACAAGGTACCGGTTAGAATCCAAAATAATTCATAAAATGCGACACCTGACATCTACTTTTACCATAATATCTTGATTATCATATCACTTACATTTCTTATCCATCAAAAGCAATCAAGTAAATATACTCAATACATATTAATGATCTAAAACTGGTCTTACCAATTTTTGTAATATTTCTTTTCTTTTTCATTTTCTTTTCATCCTCTATATGTTTAATAGCCTCGGCCTCGAATTGTAGCCTCATCTCCTCAAAATCTGGAGACTTCAAGTCCAACACGTCTAAAATATTAACATACAAACAACCTTTTAAAGACTAACCTGAAAATATTTCACTACTTAAAACTTAATCTTGTATGAATATTCAGATTTTTATTTTAAACGAAAATAAAACTACAAATCACAGATTTCAATATATTAAAATCAACTTTTGGACTAATGTGACAGAAAATTATCATCCAGCTTTGTTTAAATTGATATAAAACAAAAGTTAGTTCTGTTAGATTGTAACTACTGATGATATGCAATAAAAAGATGCCGAAGGTTCGTATCAAAATCATTTCATATCAATGTAAAAGCAACCATAAAATTAACAACATCTGTTACATAAAGCAAAAAAAGACAAACCAACAACGAAAGAATTAACAGTGAATTAGTTCTTCTACATTAGTTAAATGTTAATTCAAAATCAAAATAGAGTATTTTAGTACAAGGGAAACTGCACCGGCAAACATACACAAGTACATACAATGTTAACATGGTTAAATGTTAATTCAAATAAAACTGGGGAAACATTCAAAACTTTTCTAATATTTTTTTTATGGGGAGGGGGGAGGGGGACAGCGGGCACAATCCAAAGTCTTTTTTTTATAAGAAACATGGAACTTCATAATAATAACACAAAAGTGGGAAATTTCCAAAGAATAATAAAACATTCACTTTTTTTCGAGATGAACATACATTCATAAAAGGCCATAAAAGTTGAGATGACTGGGGGAAATCCTCCCTTTTTGGGAGAATTTATTAAATTTGGCAAATGCATATATTTGGTCTCTATATCATGAAAGTAAATCAACATCAGATCATTATTAACTCTATAACTATGTATAAGCATGTTCTTCAGATAAAACATGGGAACAACATGTATAGGAAAAGGCTTGGAGCGAATCAGGAATTTAAAGTTTGAATATTCCTTTCCATAAATTTCGAATATATTCTCTTTTTCACTTAGCTTAGTAAGAAGACATTTGATTGATGTAACCCGACACATTCAATTGATAATGACCAAATAAATGTGGATATATTTCAAACTAACACTACATCAATGAAGTAAAAAAATCAGTTATTTTAACAAAACAAAACAAGGAAAAACAACAAAAACAAGGAGGAACAACCAATGCAAAAGAAAGTGCAACAAATCAAAACAAGGGTGGAAAAACAAATTAAGGCAAAATTTATAGCAGAAAACAAAACAAAAAGGTGGGTTAATTGTTAATTCAAACAAAAAAAACCACACAAACAGGGAAATAAAACAACAAAAGCAAAGCTAGAGAGATAAAGATTTAAAGATACAATGGCACTCCAACCTTTATCATCATCTTTATCTGACCCAACAGATAAAAGGCGTGACAAGGCTGGTGTGGACGAACCCTCTGAATCTTGTGAATTTTGTCTCGCCATTTTTAACTCTTCAATCTTTTTCTCAATCTCCTCCTTTTTCTCATTCCAACCTTCCGGTTTCTTGCTCCACCGTCGGTTCCGCTTGATTTTCGGTGCTTCCATCATCGTCTTTTCGATCTGTCGTTTGGCATGCTGGGTAATATGAACTCCGTCAAATAGATAGTATCTTGGTGGTTCCGGCTCACGCACCGGAGGGGCAGGAAATGGGAACGCCAAAGCAAAATCATCATATACTGGAGTTGGGGGTGGTGGAAGTGGAGGTACTGTGAATACATAAATTTGACAAATTACTTTTGCCATCAATAAATTGAAAATTTTCATTGAATTGTAACAATTCTACATCTGATATTATATACTGACAGTTATTGTGTCCAAAAACAAAGAGATAATTTTTAAGACCAATAAATTCTTATTTCACATATTACATCTTTAAAAAAAAACACTCATTTAAATCACAATTACTTTTCTTTTAATTAAAGAGACTTTATTTTTGATGCAGACTCTTCTCACTTTCTTAAAGCAAGAGGTGGTTGTGTGGTTGTTCAATATATATGTAACCCAAAATGGCAACCAATAAATCATGTCACCAACCACCCCAATAAATCTGAACGTGTAGGGCAGCTTATGTGGTGAAGGTCACCATGAACTTTTGACCTGCTGATGTCTTTTTACATGTAAAGGTCATCTTAAGGTCATGATGAATGACCCTGAAAAAGCTGGAGAATATACACCAAAGCATTCTTTAATTATTATTTGGACAAGCTTTCAGTGGTGAAAGTTACAGTAACCTTGACCTTCGACTTACTTATCTAAAAATCATTCCATTTAATCAACAAGGGTCATGATCAACCTTCCAAAAATCTGAGGGCTTTAGACATAGCGTTTTACAAGAAAGCTAATACAAGGTCTGGTCTAATGACTAACAGACCAACAGACTTGTAGGTTGCAGCATATAACCACTTTTTTTTAAGGGGAGGCATATCATATTATAATATAAAGCATAAAGTAACACTCACGAGGACCAGTCTGACCAGTTCTCGGCCGACAGAAGAGGCAATGATAACCATGTTCTGCTGCTCGTTCAGCATCATCTTCATTATGAACACCATCACAAAAAGAATGTAACCACCTGAAATATTACCTCATATAGAAGTTTCAACATCATAAAACATGTCAAGCAAAAATTCAACATCTATTTCATTGCCATATCTTTACATATCAAACATACAATGGATTGGAGGACAAATAAAAAACAATCTTCAAAAGGATCGTATAATATCTTAAATTGAGAACTACTCAGTTTGTTAGACAGATTTTGTACGTATATGTTTCACCTGTCCTTCCAGTAGAATAAAATATTAAAGAATAGAAAAAGTACATTTTTTCTTTATTATTTTATAAGACGTATTGCTTGTAGGACATTGACGGCTGAGGAACTTGAAATTAACTGTGGAGTGCAAGTTATAAGTAACTTTGCCATTCCAGGTAAAATACTTAAGTTTGGTTACATGTCAGTATTTTAGTTGGCTGATCATTTATGAACCTCTTGTTTGGTTCTTGTAAAGGGACCATAAAAAAATTATAATAGTGACTACCTAGCTCTTTAAGTGGAAAAAGGCCAAAAGTGCCAAAACTGTACTTTATAAATAATTTCAAACCATGGTCACACCAATAAATTTACAAAATTTATTACTTAAAACTATAAAGCTCACATATGGACTATCTAATTTATAACCTTACCCGAAATATAAGACATTTGTTTACCTGTAACACTGTACACATTGCATAATAAGGTCCTCCTCTGAATATTTCATCCTACAAACTGGACATGATATTTTACTATGACATGGTCCACAATGAGTATAGTTCCGTTGCCACTGACAACCATATCCTGGTGTCTTAGATCCACATATTATACACATCACACACCTGCACAATAAAATGTTATAAATTAAACAAAATTTCAGGCATTCTTTTGATGCATATATCTATATTTCCAAGATCTTAGCAAAATATGTTAAAGTGCACAAAGCTGTATCGTATTATTTTTAAAAAATTAAAAAACAGACAATCATAACCTTATGGTTGTTTCCTAAAGATTTGCATCTTAGAATATCTATTTAGTTAAACAAACAGGAATATTGTACATAAACAGAATAAAATGTTCCAAAACAAAATAATCCACTGCTGTAATCAATAAGTTTGGAGTAGAGTTCATACAAGCTCCAATCACTTCCAATAAAATATACTGACACATTTCTTTCATTCTAGTTCTTTTATAATCATTTCAATTGCAGAATAAACAGTAATTTTATAATCTATGAACAGCAAATATGCAGTTTCATTCACTTCAAGGGATATTCTTTAATTTTGATAGGATTTTAAGTAAAAATACTCACCCCCTTTTAAAATGCATTTACGACAACATGATGGAGCGCTTGGCAGGAAAAAAAAAAGTAAACATAAAATAATCAACATACCATTTACATTTCCATGTTCCCTTGGGTACATGGTCTAAAGGTGGATCTAAACAGTAAGTGTGGTAACTGATATCACATTCGTCACACAAGAGTAACCTCCCCTCATCATGTGGCCTGCCACATCCCTCACATACAGTACAATCTAAACATCGCCATCCTTTCTGTAGCACCACTTTTGTTACCTGTCATAGGAATATTTTATTACTTTATTGTTGTTGTTATTTTTTTTACATATACTTGACAATTAGCTGGGTTTTTTTTATACCTATCCATATATGTTTCATATTGTACATATAAAAAAATCTCAAAAACCCATTAAAAACATTAATGTTCCTGTTCATTTTAATGATTAATATGCATTTCCCAGAACAGATGCATATATTTGCCAACAAAAAAAGCTCACAAGGAAGAAAAGCAATTATTGCCAGCAATTATTTCTCTGAGACATTCTGAATAACAGAATTACAGGTGGTCACTTTGGTTTAATACCCTAGTACAAAGAATGTTTCCTAAGTTTCGAGCAAGTATAACTTATGACAGTCATTTTGGCGTACTGCCAAAAAAAAAATTAAACAGTCATTTTGGCCTACTGCTGCATGCTAATAACAACCCTGCAATAATGACAGAGTGACCTACCTTGATATTGGCACAGTAAGGATGGTAACATTGTCCACATTGAGTACAAGCAATCATACGCCCCTCGTCACCCTTACCAAAACTTCCACAACTCTTACATATATCCTGTAATACAAGGTAAATATATTACAAAGTGACAACCTTTTGTAACAATCATGCATATCAGGAAACCACTGCTAATTCCTGTATATATTCAAAAACTTGATATAAAAGTTAATATCACTTACATTTCAATTAATTAATTTCACCTAAATCAATTAATTCAACACAAAGGTCTTGCATTCACATGACATGAGTAAACAATTGTAGCCATAACGTACCTAAGATTGAAATTAACCTCAAACTTAATCATTAAAGTACATAACAATTATGTTTGTTTGTTTGATTGCGTTTTACGTCACACAGACACAGTGTGATGTTCCTGATTTTACTGTTGAAGACCTCAGGTGCCCTTCCATCCATTATTTCAGACACGAATGGGCACCTGAGTAGAACAATTATGACTAGATGGCACTACAAACATTTCTATATAACGGCTCTAAAGGTATAATTATGCTCAGTGACATAGGGACACCTAACCTTATCCTTCTCTATTTGTATATGGTTCTTTCTTTGAATATGGGAATGATCATCCGTAGTAGAGATTTTGTTTCCAAAATTTTAAAATTGAGGACTTAACAATACAGTATTGTCAGGCTGCACAAAAAGTGCAGGGAAGACCAACTCTGTCTACACCGGTGGTAAACACAAATTTAAATCTAGAATATAAGAAGAATATTGAACATACCTGATCAAAGGTAAATATGTCTAATTTATTGGCTAGCACTATTGTATTAGGATGATCATCATCGTCATCATCAGTATCAGCATTTGCTTTCTTGGACTCCCGTATTCCCATTGCAGAATGTATCTGTAAAAGAAGATATAGAATATTCAGTGTCATTAAACTATAGCCACACAACTTGCTGTTATAAATAATTCTCATTTTCTAACCTTGTCATTTTTGTAAACATGTTTTTGTTTATCTTTTATTTATCATACAGGCTCTTCAGCAGCATGAAAGAAAGGAAATACAAATAAATTTTATAGAAAATACTAACTACACTATATAATTTTTAATATACCTTAGGTTTAGGGCCTCTTCTTTTCTCTCCAAATGTTAAAGGTCTCTTTCTTTTCTCTGGTCCCATACTCCGACCCTGAAATAAAACATCAACACAATTCAGTGTTTACGCAGAGCAATAAATAATATCAAAAGTTCATTTCCAAGATTTCTACCCATTTCTTCTTTCAAATTAAATTAATATATTCAGATTTTTATTTCAAGCTTTCTGCCATCAGTGTTTAACATAACATATCTGAAATTGGAAAAATCTACATTAAATTTTTTTTTAATAGAACAATTTTCAAAATGGTATCAAACTCTTATACAACATATACATTAAATAATTGGTTAATACCTTTGCTTTACTGGCTATAGACATCTTTTTTCTTGCCATTGCCATTAGTTTTCCATGTTTCCCAAATTCTCCTTCTCTACCAGGTAAATAATTTGGTGACATCTAAACAAAGAAAACATTATTTTTTAATTCATTTCAATAACTAAAACAGAAACATCTGCTTAGTTAACCTCTGGTGACCATAAATAAAACCTAACAAATTAACATAGAACATTTTAGAAGAGTATGGGAATGTGAATGGTAATTTTCTAACATGTACACACTTCACTAACAAAATAGTACCATTGCATTTTATAGTATTTAAATGATCCAATTTAGAGATCAATCAAACAATCTGGGCATTACAGGTGTCTACATATATTTCTAAACCTAGTATAGATGAATAAGTTGAATAATTAACATTGAAATATCAACCCTTAGAATAATCAAAGCAAACAGCCTTTGCCACAATGATGGAACGAAATTAATATCCCACAATTATCATTAGAGTATAACTGGGTTATCTGCTTTTGTCTTACCAGATGAAGCATTCTTGCAGCAATATTCACAATATGTAGCATCTGAATCACTTTTCATTTTAATATCTTGAACTTGATAAATCATAGATGTTACACAACTCCAATAAATTCAGTTGGATAACAATTGACCCTTAGCCAACTGGAGGCGACTAAATCTATCATTACAACCGGTGCAGACCAAGATTTGCTAGCACATCTGTGTAGTATGATCATTGTCTGCACTGTTCTCTAAATTGGTCGGCACACATTTTGAAATTTTCCCTTAAATTGATAAATGGTTTAGACCAGCCTGAAAAATGGCGAGTCAATTTAAGATATTAAGAGTATTAAGGGGTTAAAGCCATACCTTGCCATATAATAAAGCAGGATCAATGTCTATACTAGAACAACTGTCCTCGTTGATGGGAAACTGTGAACTATGCTGGGAACTGTCTTCTCCAACATCGTTATCTGTCATCTCAGTATCCATCGTACTCTCTGTATATACAATAACAATAGATGTAAATAGGTCAATCAACTGAATCATATATTAAAATATAAAGTAAGTGGCAGTGTGGCCGCCGAGTGGTTAACACGTAGGACTAGTAACTGTAATCCAAGAAATGCTGACCACAATGTTTGGGGCAGGCCATTGTTTCCTTGAGGTAGAAACAGTCCATTCATTGCTTAGTACTGGTTCGTTCAAGAAATGAATTTGAATGTTTCAATATGCTTATAGTTTCCAACACAATCACATTATAATATATTTGTATAATCTAAAATATTAAGTAGAGACTAGTGGTTAAAAGCTAATGTCTTTCTGTGACAGAGAACAGTTAAACATTTCAAACTTACAAAGCCACATTACTGTTTCATGATTTTCATTCCTGTCAACAGATCTCCCTTTACTAGAATAAGTTTAGACAATGTTCAGTTACAACCCAAAACAAAATGGTAATGTTCAAATAAAACAAGTCTTATTCTTTGCTTGGAACAGTTGCCTTAATATTTATACATTTATTAAGTGACATTATGCTCATATTTTCACGGTCAAGTTGAGCTAAATTGACTTTATATTTGAAAAGATTGACTGTCAAAATGGTGTTTGACCAACAGTTGATATTGGAATATGTTAAGGATAAAGTTATAAATATGTCTAAAATTTAAAAAGACTGCCCCACTCTTTTTATAAACAAAGCGTTATAGGTAAATCCTAATGGATATTTACAGAAAATTCATTTGGATCTGTTAGTTATTTATTGTTTATGCAAACTTAATTAATTTAAAATGAAAACTTATTTTGCCTTGACCCGTTCACTTACTTTATACCCTTGGATTGGCATAATGTCAATTTATCATTACTTCATTTACAAAAAGACAAAAATCTTGATAAAGTTACCTTTATGCATATAAACACCATCACTTGAGTCTTCTATCATACCAGCAATAGGCATGGGAAATTCTGGCATATCCATCTATAATGAGGAACAAATTTAAGTCATAACCTTTCTTTATTGTTTTGTTCGAAACAAGGTCAATCAACTGGTGTCAACACAATTTCAGCATTTTCAATACACTTTCCCATCTTCCTAATAATTTTTAGACAAAGCTAGAAAAGTGTCTTTAAAACAAGTATGCTCTCACATTACATTGTTCTGTCAGTCTACAGACGGACAGCGTGGCAGCCTGACTGAGGCGAATGGACGAGGGCAAATCTTTTTGCCCTCACTCCCCCTCATGTGAGGGCATTAAAAATGACAGTTATCTAATGTTAATAAGTTAATTATGGATTGACATCTTATGGAGCTATGTTAAAACCACAATCTGTGATACATAATGTGTCACACTGTTACCTGATTGATACCCACCTCTGGATCTCTATTTCTACATATAGTACAGAGATAATCTGTAGCCTCTTCATTCTTCATCTGTAACAACATTGCTGCATCTATCTTTGGATCACATTCTGAATGTACTAGTCTGTAATTATAAAATTTTAATATATTATATAAATATATGTAAAAATTCTTGAAGAAAATATACATGACTATGTATTCATTTGTTAATCTTAAGAATGATTTTCAATATTGTTGTCATCATTATCAGAAAGCAAATAAAACCAAATATCAAATTTTAAACTCGTAGAAATAAACTTTTAAGTTCTTTATATGATTATATATATGACAAATGTATATAGCCATTACTTCAAATATGAACCTTCTAGCATTAATATGTTGTTATACATTAACTGTAATTGCCAGATTGCTTCCAATAAGGAAGTGACTTCCAAAGTCTTACTGGATATAGGGATATGGTATCGGCACAATTTCTTCTTTTCACTATTTGTTGCTGATTAGTGTACACAAGTGCAAGATGAGCAGGCTATGATATTTTAACCCTTAACTAGCTTGAACCTGGAAATATTTGTCATCAATATAGAGCCAGGTCAGTCTGCACATTCATGCTGTATAACCAGTCTATATAATATTTGTACCGCAATGATTATATTTTGTTACTGAAACCCCTTAAAATTAGTGGACTGTTCCAAATTCAGAGCAGGGCAAATCCATCACACAAAGTGGGCAGGTTAAGTTGTGATGTACAATCCTCAGGCGAACGACTACAAGTTATAAGTTCAATTAATGGATGATGCTCAAAATTACCTTACAGGTCTCAGTCAAAAGTCTTTAATTGAGACTACACTAATTGATGGCAGTCAAAATTACCATAACATGACCTATTCGTACTTACTTTTTACACATATTGCACTGAACCATGGCCTTCTGGGAGAAATGTCTGTACGCCTTCCCACACAGTGGACAGGACAGACCTTTATTACGTTGCTGATAGCAGCTATCACATACTGTATAATTGAGGTGCCAACGTGAACTACGCCCACTTCCAGGCGTTCTTGAATTACAATCCACACATATTCGGCAATTCTGTATAATAATACCGTATGATATACAAATAAAATACATCCAAATTTATAACTGAACTCATTCCGGCTAAATTGTTTTTCATAGAAACTCTTAAAAAACATGTCTTAATATTGGTTTCTTTTAGATAAATTCTTATAAAATCAGCTGAAAACATGCATATCCATTAGTTGCTTAAGGAAGCATGTAGCTAGAACTATTCAGAAAAATAAAAGTACTAAAATAAATCATAAAACAAACAGAAAGGTTTGACTTACTTTGCATTTCCAGCCGTTTTTCGGAATGGTCGTCATCACAGGTTTAAGACAGAAAGTATGGTAACCTTTATCACACATATCACATACCAACATCTTACTGTCATTCCCTGGATGTCTGTACACACAATATAAAACACAGGCATATTACTCAAATATACGATAATATATGATTTCCACACTATAAATATCTTGAATCAAGAGTCACAATATATTTTACGTTTGACCCAAAAGTGCCCTGTGAAGTTTACTGCATTTTTAGGTCAGACCCCAAAGTGCGCTGGACCCCAAAGTGCGTTGGACCCATAAGTGCAGTGTTACAAGGCAAAAAGAATCAAGATTGCTGAATACGAGTTAATACTTAGAATTCACACATAAAAGATACCTGCCAAAATCTTTATCAATTTATCTACAATGTACTGTTAAATGTTTCTTATTGACATAATTAAAGATTACAATTATTACTTTATTAGATGACATACCAACTATGACTTTCTCCAAGTTTCCCAGACATGGATAACAAACAAAAATTAATACATTTTGTATATTTAAATTACCTGCACATTTGACAAATTTTACAGTCTGGACACTGCCAGCCTGCTCGTACTGTAGGATTCACCTCCACTGCTGGATGTAGGCAGTTACCATGGTAATGGTGACCACAACTTGTACAAAATAACTGCTCCCCGATGTTACCCACAATATTACATACAATACATACAGCCTCGTCACCAGCTGAAATATATAAATAGTTGTCAATGAAAACAAAATACTGACTGCATAAGGACAAAAACTACTTCTCAATTTCTTTTTTTTTTCTAAACATAGAAACTTACTTTTCCCTTAAGTTTATTCTCACGTAAACAAAAGACTCAAGAAACACTTTTTCTAAACCTTCATTTCAGCACACATCATGGGTTCAAAAATTATTTTTCTTTTATACTTTTCCTTTAGCATTATTGTTCACAAAATAAAATGCAAAATTACAAAATTCTATTTAATTCATCAGAGATGGCAATTTTAATCATTGGGAATTATAATTGGAAAAGACCTACTGTATAAGTGATTAAGTCAGCGACAAGGTGAAATACATGAACTGACAAAAATCGCTAAAACTTTGTCTCAAGCTTATATATCAACCAAACTGTCATTAAACTTTGCACTAATCAATATTTTTCATCACACTAAATGTTTGAAATTAAAAAATCTAACTTTTCGACATGCCGAAATAGCCACTTATACAGTAGAATGTTCCTTTAATCTGTATTATGCATTTGAATTGAACATTTCCATTACACACATTTCTTAAGGCCATCTTAGAAATATCATTCAAAGATGCATTAAATATTTAGAAAAGAATAAGTAAAATAATAATATTAAGAAAAACAAAATCATGTTATGTGATTTTAGCATTGCAATAAAAGTTAATATTTAAATCAAACTGTGTCCAAACATATTACATAATATAACAATGTGTCTAAATTTTCTGCGATTATTTTTCTTGTGAAATATAAACATGTTCCCCGCAAAAATAAGTTGAAATTGTGACATCAGCTATTTTCAGGCATCTGTATTTAAGCTCTTGAATGGCAACCAAGGTAACTTTCATGGGGGCTGCCAATATACATGTACATGTATCTCTCTTTCTTTTCTTTTTTTCAAGAAAAAAATGTGCATCTAAAAATCAATTATGTACAAAATACCTCCAAATTTTGGTTATTTTCAAACATTTCTATTCAAAAATACAAAAGGTGTGACCAAAGCAGGTGATCCCTGTAGCAGGATATAAAGTACAAGACAAGTTCAATGTTGTACATAAAAGGGAAACAGACCAGACTCCTGATTGGACATATTTTAAAGAAATCAAAATGTAACTTAATTCATTTTAATAGATTTATTTAATGAAACTATGCTAGTTTTAAGGCACAACCAATCTATGGTATAGGTCATATTGCTACTTTCCAGCTTTACTAATGGAGGAAGACCTGGGTGCTCCATTGTGCATTATTTCTGGCACAAACCAGCAACCATCTGTAAACTAGCATGCTAGGTGAATTTATTTAAGAAACAGGCAACTTTCCATGACATGATTTTCAAGACTTCCTAATAAATACTTATAGACAAATATTATTATAAATTACAACCCACATAAGATAAAGTGATCACAAAAGATTAAAACCAATTGTGCCTTTCAAAAGAAAAAAAAGAACACCAAAACCCAACATTAGTAAACACTCTTATATTACCTGCTGAATCTGTAACAATATAAAGAATAACCATTCACATTGACAAAAAGCACTAGTAAATTTCATTAACACTAGAAACGGACAGCAATATGGTGTTGTCTATGCCACAAGTATAAAGCCAGGCCAGGCAACATTTCTGTGGAATCTGACCAGACTGTATGCTGTTGGCTGCTAAATTTTAGCATTTTAATAATGATATCCCTTTATCCTAATTATCTTAAATGATCAATCTAGACAAAACCAGTCATCATTTTTAAGGGACATTTTCAAAATATAAACTGACTTAATAGCTAACAAAGCCATGATCAGATGGCACTGATGTTTGCACACTGGTTGCATGGGTAAATTAATTTGCGGCTATCAAGCTAAAGGTTAAATTAATAAATGATGATTTTGCATTCCAACCAGGACTAGTCTCTTTAATGCCTTGAGACTTGCCTAACAGTTATGTATTGGCAATTTCTATGCAGAAATTATTATTGTATAAGCGAAATTATAGTAAAGAAGATAAAATTCTGCTTCTTGTATACAGTTAACATACATCATACATTGAACTTCAAGAGGTACAGGTATAGTAAGCAAATATTCATTAAAACGAAAGAGAAATGTATGTAAAATGATCCCCTGTGTTATGGAGAAATACAGCCTAATTTTACATAATACTAACCAATAGTTTGGGCCTCGTCAGAATGTTCCGGGCAGAGCAAGGAAAGAGTCTTGATATCCTGGAATAAAGAAGTTATACATTCAATTGTTGTCATCACACATTGCATACATTCAAACAAAAGTTATATGTAAAACCTCTTAACAATGATCTTTTGTTTAAAGTCAAGAGTGGGTGTAATTTATAGTAAAATTTAACATTAAGTGTTTATTTTTTTTAAAACATATTCCCGGCTGATTTTGCATCACAACACTATGTTAGGTCATATGGAGCCTTTTAAAGTAGCATCGGAGAAATCATGTACCAAGAAGCCCCTGGAACTTAATATCAGGTAGTAGCAGATTCTGGAGTTTACTCCACATAATAATATTCAGCAACCCAAGCCAATATTTTGAACCCAAAGAAAAAACAGACAAAAGATTTTAAGTAAACGACCTTTAAGATTACATGAACGTAGTGTTTTGACAATGTTATACTGGATATATACCTGAAAACAGCCTCCACCAGAAGCACAGGGATAATGATATATTTTATTGCACTGTGGATATCTGCAGTTGATTGTAGCACCATAGCGGGAACAGTAGCTGCATCGCTGTGACATAATGTGTAAAATTTACATTATCAATATTAATCACCGGTTCAAGACTAAATGTGATTCATCTGTATTTCATTCATTTTAATATCTTATGATGAACCTCTTCCACAATATCAAAGACATGATAAATCTTGAAAATAACAATTTCTGTGATTGCTATTTCTACATCATAATATTTTCTCTACAGTTTACATAATATAATAACTGCTTTATTTAACATCTACTTCCAAAAAGGTTGACTTCTATCAACTTTTTATGGAAGAAAGTCTGTCAACCTTAATTAAATCATAGAAGTACCTTAAATTCCTAAATATAATAGTGAAGGCAAGCATTTGTACCCTTGAAATGGTTATAGAATGTGATTTAAAAGAATGAAAGATGTTTCGTTCAGGTATTAGTAACACTTACTTTAGATAGCCCTGATACAACAGCTTGGTCAACATACTTGAGGACACAGTCTTCATTCTGGATCACACCTTCAGACCATGCTGCACAACAGTGATGAGCCCAGGTATGACCTAAAATATTGAAACACGTATAATTGTAAAATATTCATTTTTATTTTGAACACTTAACCTTCTAAAATTTTTGTAACAGATATGCCCTGCTTTGAAATATGAACAGTACATTAAATGTTTAAAGAATTTCAATATCAAAACACAAGCATTGAGCAACCAAAAGTATAAAGTCAGATTATATTGAATGAATGTACAGCCTGGACTGACTCTATATTGATGACAAAAGCTCATCACTCTCTGTTCCAGCAGATTAAGCTTGAATTACATTGAATAGTGATTCTTCAAATTTACAAGTGGATAGCGGCCCTGTGTGCAATATTTACTGGATAATAACAGCAAAGAATCTTAGAACAACAAATTGACTGCTCTGAAGTTTGTCAACAATGTATTAAATGTTACACAGCTTTACAAACGGTGTGTTCCATTAAGCTGTCAGTACTATATATTTTTTGAGCTAACTATGCAGTTTTCAGTAAAGAGACAAAGTATATAACATACCAGACTGTTCAAAGACTGATGTAATTTCTGTATCGTCATGGAAACCAACTGTAGCTAGTTCATCAAAACCTTCACACTGGTCATCATCTAAACCACGCCGAGGAGACCGGAATGAATCTCTGAAAAATAATAACAATGTAATATGATGATGACAACTTAAGAATATTTAAGCATTAAAGATAGTTCCATTGGCCTCCTTCACATTTACAAATAACATCCCATAATTTATTTGCACTTAATCATAATTATTATTTAAGTGCAAGACAATGTTTTTTGTACTTGTAGTTTCAAAATCGTAAAATTTCTAATAAAACTGAAAACTAATTTATACCTTTTCCTATCACACAGTCACATATTTTTTTTTGGGGGGGTAAAACTTAGCATAATGTATAATGAAAAGGAAAAATCCTTTTTTTTAATGAATGTGCGAGCTTTCTGCAGAGAATTGATACCAAACTGTCATATATCAGTCATGTTTAGTAATTACCTGTATTTAAAATCACATAACAGCTGGAAAGGGCTCTTCCTTAAATTGGGAGAATTATATGGCTCTTTGAGAAATTTGAAGAAAAAAATGTTGAAAAACTAACTTATCCGTGACATAAGTTTTATTCATATCAATAATCATATTACATGTTACTCCTGTTTGGTACCAATTCAGAAAATTTTTTCTCAAAAAGGGAAACAGTTTGTCTGCAAAAATCAGTAAAGATCTTACATCTGCCCTAGTTGAAGGGAAGAAATTGCCAAGAGTTTAAAGACAAATATTTACCTTTTCAGAGGCCCTCTATTCCTTCTTGATGTTAAAGGTTTAGGACCCTTATCTAAAGGTCTGTCTTCAACATCCATGCTTGACTTCTTAGCGGCTTTGAGTGCAGCAGCTTTGCTGAAGGGATTGAAGTCTGGCGTTGGTTCATATCTACATAGTTCTCCCTGACCTAACAGACTCTTCATACCACATGAACAAAACGAGCATATCTTTCCACTGAAATATATAGATATACATTTAACCACACTAAATATCTTAAATGAACTTGTCCGTATTTTATTCTTGACAAGACCATATGAGCCGCATCACGAAAAAACCAACATAGAGCGTTTGCGACCAGCATGGATCCAGACCAGCCTGCACATCCGCGCAGTCTGATCAGGATCCATGCTGTTCGCTTACTAACCCTATTACAAGTAGAGAAACTGATAACGAACAACGTGGATCAAGACTGCACAGATGCGCAGACTGGTCTGGATCCAAGCTGGTCGCAAACGCACTATGTTGATTTTGTTGTGACGTGGCTAATATGTCATTTTTAGGGAAAATTTCAAAAATGTATTGATTGAAGAAGGAACTGTGCAGACTATGATCTGAAGCATGTACATTCAGTAGCAACCAGCAGGCTAAGGGTTAAATAATCAAATTATCCAAATTCTTATACAAATAATATATACTGTATAAAACACCATGAATAACAAGATATGTTTGTAAAACATGTATGCCCCCTATCAGCAGCCAATTAGTCATGTGAAAAGGTTATTATGCATGACTTCTGACCCAGTGATCAAACATTTAATAAGGGTTATCAAGTATCTACTGGTCATGACCTTAACCTTTGACCCCTTGACCCAAAACTCAATAGGGTCATCTGCTGGTCACGACCAATCATCATACAAAGTTTGAAGTTCCTAGGCCTAAGCGTTTTTAGTTAATTGATCGGAAACCGTTTTAACATACAAAGTCAATGTGACCTTGACCTTTGACCCCTTGACCCCAAAATCAATAGGTCATCTGCTGGTCATGACCAATCACCATACCATGTTTGAAGTTCCTAGGCCAAAGGGTTCTTAAGTTATTGATTTGAAAGCATTTTTACCTACAAGGTCAATGTGACCTTGCCCTTTGACCCCTTAACCCCAATATCAATAGGGGTCATCTACTGTCATGACCAATCACCATACCAAGTTTGAAGTTCCTAGGCCTAAGGTTTCTTTAGTTATTGATCGGAAACCGTTTTTACCTAAGAGGTAAATGTGACCTTGACCTTTGACCCCTTGACCCAAATCAATAGGGGTCATCTACTGATCATGACCAATCACCATATCAAGTTTGAAGTCCCTAGGCCTAAGGGTTCTTTCGTTATTGATCGGAAACCGTTTTTACCTACAAAGTCAATGTGACCTTGACCTTTGACCCCTTAACCCCAAAATCAATAGGGGTCATCTGCTGGTCATGACCAATCACCATACCAAGTTTGAAGTTCCTAGGCCTAAGGGTTCTTTCGTTATTGATCGGAAATCGTTCTTACCTACAAGGTCAATGTGACCTTGACCTTTGACCCCCTTAACCCCAAAATCAATAGGGTCATCTGCTCGTCATGACCAATCACCATACCAAGTTTAAAGTTCCTAGGCCTAAGGGTTCTTTTGTTAATGATCAGAAACCGTTTTTACCCAAGAGGTCAATGTGACCTTGACCTTTGACCCATTGACCCCAAAATCAATAGGGGTCATCTACTGATCATGACCAATCACCATACCAAGTTTGAAGTTCCTAGGCCTTAAAGTTCTTTAGTTATTGATCAGAAACCGTTATTGCTTACAAGGTCAATGTGACCTTGACCTTTGACCCCTTGACCCCAAAATCAATAGGGGTCATCTACTGATCATGACCAATCACCATAAAAAGTTTGAAGTTCCTAGGCCTTAAAGTTCTTTAGTTATTGATTGGAAACCGTTTTTGCTTACAAGGTCAATGTGACCTTGACCTTTGACCCCTTGACCCCAAAATCAATAGGGGTCATCTACTGATCATGACCAATCACCATAAAAAGTTTGAAGTTCCTAGGCCTTAAAGTTCTTTAGTTATTGATTGGAAACCGTTTTTGCTTACAAGGTCAATGTGACCTTGACCTTTGACCCCTTGACCCCAAAATCAATAGGGATCATCTACTGATCATGACCAATCACCATACCAAGTTTGAAGTTCCTAGGCCTAAGGGTTCTTTAGTTATCACTCGGAAACCATTTGGTCTACGGACCGACGGACCAACGGACCGACGGACCGACAAGTGCAAAGCAATATACCCCCTTTTCTTCGAAATGGGGGCATAATAATACCACAACAAAAAATATGATCTGCAGTGTGTATGAAACAATGTAAGAATCAGTATTTTTTGTCATTAAAGAAATTGTTCATCAAGTCAATTTGCCTTGATATATTTCATGATGTCACAAATAGTCAATGACTAATTATCAATGAGTTGTAAGATGAACATTTAATGCCAATCATTGAAAAAAATACACCTTAATATATTAAATGTCTTCGTAATGTTACACTATAAACATGCAGAATGACTTACATTTCTTGACTCTGCGGTTCATCATCCTCCATATCCATGTAACTGCCACCTAGACCTGAAATGCATAAATAGTGCATGCTATCAAAATCTCTTACTTAAAATACTTAAATGCAATTCCTGAGAGATCCATTTATATTTTGAAAAGGTTAAAATACCTGTTCATGAGCATCACCTTAATTTTTTTTTTAAATATCTTTAGTTTGGTGAAAGGTGTTAAAAAATGGATACCAATATTTCAAACTAGAAAGAAAATGTTTGTTTCATGAGATTAATCTTGCTCCATGTGAGAGGTGTCTATTGATTTCTATCAAATATCAATAAAGACAAACCAATATATATCAATAATCCATCAGACTGACCTCCGGTGAACATTTCATTATATGAACCTTTTTCTGTATCGCACTAACAGTGATTCTGAAGATTTCTGATTACAAGAAAGAGACTTAGATTAATACCTGCATCAGTGGAAATATCCATATCTGGTGGAGGTAAGGGCTCGGGATCAGTGTTCAAACTTGCTTCGGCATCACTGCTAATAGCCGGTACCTCTCCGGTCTCCATAAGTTCAAGTTCTGGTGGCGGCTGGGAGTCTAGATCCATTGGCTGAGATTTAGACTTCCTTGCTTTGTCTTTATCTTTGCTTCTAATGATAAGAAAAAAGATAACCAATTTTAAATCTAGACCAAATAAATTTAATCAGAATTACTTGTAGTTGCACTGTTAAAAGCTGATTTTAAATAAGTAAACATACCAATAATCATTGAATGAATATGCTCTTAAAACCTGTGAACTCAAATAATTATTCTGCAAAAAATTATCATAGTCATTACCTAGAATGAATAGGTTGCACTGAATGTGCCTGATATCAGGATTGCATAAACTGACTGTGTCAATTACAAAATTGATTCAAAAAATTACATTTATTTCATTACATAATCAACCCATTTTATGAAATCAACCATAATATTAACATTAATATTTAAATTTTCCTCACAATGTCTGATTGTTCACATAACCGAGACAAATATCAACAAGTAGAAGTTCATATGTTATAAAATATACCTTTTCTTTTTTCCAGAACTGCCATCTTTCTTCTTCGCTTTTTTCTTTCCGACTGGCTCTTCATAATCGTCAAAAGAAGAAGCTGAATCTGTGTCATCTAGAGGATTGGACTTGTATGATCTAATCTGTGATAAAGAAAGTTTTAATCTGATAGGTTCCTTATGTTCTGGCTCAGGGGGTGGGACCTCTAACACAGGTGGCGTTGACTTTGTTTTCTTCTCACCATCAGAGAACTTAGACTTTTTATCTGGAGATTCAGATTTATGTTTACTATCCGACTTACTCTTAACAATGTCTGACTTGGACGATTTTGATAACTCACGAGATTCAGGTTTGGCCGCTGGGCCAGGCGAGTCCTTAGATTTTGATAATGTCACCTCTGACTTTGACCTTTCACGACTCTCACTACGAGAGGAACCAGATGTTCTTTCCTTTGATTCTGATCTCACATGTGACGTATCTGACCTTGAGTTGGATCTAGACAAGACTGGCATTTCATTATTACCACGGTCTCTTGAATCACTTCGGGTTCTCACTGTTTGTGATGAACCCGAACTTTCCTGAGAAGCCATTCTTAATTCCTGTTTTCTGGCAGTATCTTTACCATCTGTAATAGACAAATTTGGGGAAATCATATCTGTTATGTGAAACTGTGTTACAATGGATAATAAATAATGAATTGACATTAAATAAAAATTCTAAATAGAAATTGTTAAAGTATAATTTTTTCTCATGTCCTCTCCCATAACAGCCTACTCTGCCTAGCTAGCTGTCAATTTAATTGTCCGCTTTCCCATATGCAAAAAGTTAAGTATAAAAAAGAAACAAAGGAAATTAAATATGAAAATATTAAATTATTTTTCCTAAACAGATGCCTTTGGCACACGAAAGCAAAGTTTGTATGTGAGTGAAAACTAAAATCTGGGACATAAGACAAAAACAGAGAATATTCCTAAAGATGGAAATACCATCTAATATATCAAATATTCAAACGCATAATGACTTGGTTGAAAAATAAAAAGCTTTAAAGATACATCTTATTTCTAGAACAATGATTCTGAACAGTTCAATGTGAGTCTTTTAAAGCAATCAGTCAAACCTTGAATTCTTGCTAACTTAATTTCATAACATTTGATAAACTAAAATGTACAGAGAAATTGTGCTGCCAGACTAGAGTTTGTACTTCTAGCATTTTCAAATTTCCAAAACAAGTGTTTCGCCTACCATGATGATGTACACCAAATGTTGCTTAAAAAATACAATGGAGACTTTATATATCAAACTGCATGATGTACAATTTCATTATTTTTTTTTTTTTACTATAAATATATAGCACAAGCAAGAGAGCGGTTAAAGTCTATAGCTTATACATACCTGCCATATCTGTTCTTTGCTTATTCTGACATTTTCATAAGACTACAAACAAAATCCTGAAAATAAATCAGAACATATAATGATACATACATGTGTATATACAAGTTGTCAAATAATAAAATTTTAATACAGATGTCATGACTTGCCAATAAATACTGATAAAATTAATCCATCATTATGAAAAATAGTGTATTACCCCCAAGTAAATAATAAATATACTGATCTGAAAAAACGTTGGCAATTGTCTGGAGGGATAAGTCATTTCTAGTCTACCTTCTTTTTTGGCTAGCTTGATTAGAAGGTAAATTTATGAAAAATATGAACAAGAAAACATACTTTTAGTAGATCTATGTTGTATTTGTGAAGTCTAAAAAAGCAAGCATAAAAACATGATGGCAGTAAATTTATTAAAGCTTCCTCAACACTTTTTAATTTGATATATATATAATATTATTTCCTCACTATAAAACTGACAATTTCCTGGATTAAACCCCTACGTATTTTTCAGGAGTAAAACTTGTATATAATAAAATATAGAAAACGGAATGAACCTTATATATACTCCTGGTTTAGACCCAGTGTTCTATACAAGGATGTAGCCGTTATTATGAACATATCTACCAAACCATTTTGACACCAGAAAACATTTGCTTTTGTTCTCAACAATACATCAAGGTTTTTCATATATATCCAAGAAATTGAGACAATAAAAAGTAGTCCATGCTTATCACAGATGGAACATTTTCAGTTAGTATCACTTCAAATATTATTCAAAATTAGTTGACAGTATTTTCTAACAAAAAATAAAAATAAACCATCTCTGTAATTTCATTTTCAAATTACATGGCAACAAAGTAAATAAATGAGTTTTTTTATATGAATCATATTTTGCGAGAATAATTGATACTTTGTAAAATTAACTTCACAATCGCTGTTAACACTACGAATTTTTGCCTCTCAAACTTAGCAGGGTACCTTGATGAAAATACGATAGAAAGTCGGCCATGATTGGACCCGCTTTCAGACGGCAGCCAGTGAAATTTTAGAAGCGTCCCGTTCAACTTTGTTCGCAAATTTTGCACATCCGTGACGAGTTACAAATAACATGCCAATGCAAGAGTGATTAACAGCAATTGATAGAAAAGTAAATAATTTAGCTAAGTGCCATACCTGTTAGATAAAATAATGTTGGAAATCTTTGAAAATCGTTAAAAAATTCGATGATATTTGGTGCTAATTAATCGATGGCTGCCATTTTGGCGGTAATAAGGTTTCGGTGTTAATTAAAAATCAAATAAATAGTCCCTTAAAACAATTAAAATTTGCATAGGATGTTATAAAATTTAAAACTTGGTTATATAGTTACATCATACATGTTAAATATACTATAGTTTCATTGCAATATGGCATTGACATGTCCAGGATTTTCAAGAAACCGGCACAGGTAACAAACTGGGTCACGCGGAGTAATTGATCCGGTTAATTGCAAGTGATGCGGCTGTTAAGGGAAGTAACTTGAATGAAAAACGATTCGAATCAGGAAAATTCGTACTTAAGCCAATTGCATGCTTTTCAAAAAAGGACGTTTTTTATGACAAAGGACGATTTGACCATGAAAATTATTGCGAACGATGAAACGCCATGCTATATATTAAATATAGCCTTGGATTAATAATAAACTGTGATCTTACAATATTTAAATATTTGACATAAGTTTTATACATACAATTACATACACCTAATTTATCTCTATGCATGTAGGAATGTTTATGCATGCTTACTCTTAATTGTTAGATTTATAAAAAAATATCTTATTTATGATAAGAAAAGTACATACTCGTTTTGAAATCGGAAAAAGAAAAGTACACACTCGTTTTGAAATCGGAAATCTTTTCTTTTCAACTGGTCATTTAATTAATAACATTCCATTAAATCAATGCACCTAACTTGCATTGTGTAGAAGGTAATCAAAGTTAAAGCCCAGTTTAAACAACAAAAAGTTAAAAAAGTAAGAAAAAACCACACACACATACACACCAAAAAATCACACACACATACACACCAAAACGGGTAAACTGCGGACTTCACAGATTAATTAAAATCTAGAGAAAGGCAGATCCCTCGAGAGGAAATACAACAATTAAGGGGAAAAATGCATACGACGTACTTGGCTAGATCGAGTCTGTTCAAGAGGGATAATGAAATGTGCTATACATATATCACGCAACTGTAGCCCCGACGTAAGCGGTATTCAAACAGTATTCGAATCAATTAATAATCCCAAAAGACCGGAAAAAAAATAAAACAAAACATTTTTTTTAGAATTTCAAAGACCATGATGAAAAAGTGATGATGCAGGCTATTGAAATATAGAGTTGTCTACCTTTCGTTATTGGTTACTCGCACTTGTCCGAGATTCAGATGAAAGCAGTAGCAGCCATCGCTCAGTTAGGGACGTCGCGAGCCTACTTAAAATTATGGGAGAAAATAATAAAAAAAATAATCATTCATTATATATCTGCATGTATTAACTTGGTGGAAATTAAGTGCATTCCACTGTAGCCTTATGTAACCCTTATATCCCATATCATGAGTGATTGAAAAAAGAATTATAGTTTTGTGCCATATTATTAATTATATGCATGTCCTTGACCATCTCTGAAATTAACCTATACCCCGCCCAATGAAGAAGTCCACTCAAACTACTTACATGCCGAATATGATGTACGTGGATCATTAAAATGTAGCATCTATGAAGAAATGTAAAGAACCTAAATTATATTTGAAGTCTATTAACTTTATGCTTATAAGTTGTACAAACGTGGTATTTTAAGTGACTTCTGCGGTATCACGGTGCATATCCATATCGGTACCCTCTTTGCGAAATCTGCTGAAACGGTACCCTCTTTGCACATGCACAGACCACTCTCTGCTAAAAACCAACCGGCGATGGATAACAATACAGTAAAATTTCAATATAATAAGGAAAGAAGGTATGACACGTAGAAAAGATGTATACCACGGAACACTAGAATGTTTTATCTATGTGCTGATTTGTCATGTTCCCGTTTTTCATGTACTACAAATTCACAATAAGCTACAAAAAATCGACATGTCTTGCTTCGCCCATCACCTCGACATATTTTTTGGGCTGAAATGAACCTGTGGCTTGATTATATATGCATCATACATATTTAGTATGTTCAATTACATATCATCTTCGGACAAATGGCAGTACATTGTCAAAAATAATTGTAAAATTCATAAAAACACCCTACTTTCAGTTTTGCAGCGGCATGTAATATTTCTTTATTTATGTAAATATTACATACTTAACGATTAACGCAAATAAAAGCATATGTCGTGCATTGAGTATACCTATGTGTTAAAAAATGAGAGGGTACCTGTGATATAAAAATTCAAATGAAGAGAGGTAGCCCTATATTCTATACATACTTTTAATATTCTGACAATGTGAACACGGTTTGTTAGGTACATAGAGACGCATTTTAGGCCCTATGAAGGCATTAATTAATTACATAAATTTCATGCTTAAAGATAAGCCATATATTTATAAAGTTCTAGAACTACCACTTCTAGTTTAACCACTTTCATGACTTTACTTACACGTATTAAATAATTGTTCCAACATTTTTGAAACACATAAATTTAAAGCGACATGAAGAATCAGGGACATCCAGTCATCAGACAACGAAATTGATATACCCTTCATTCTTCGACAATCTACCCTTTAATTCTTCGGTAGCTGCGAAAACAACAATCGGTCCGTCCACGTTATCACGTGGCAGTTAGGCTTTCGGTAAGCACGTGCTGTGTTGATAAACTGAGGCAAGGAAGACAGTCACCACAAGGGTGGAACTTGTGGTCAAATAGCATTTTGTGGTAAAGTTGGGGGCACGGGGTAATCAGGTAATTTATGGAACTGCCCTGAGTAGCAATACTCACAAAAGTTCCAGAGATAATTACAAATAATCGTTTTCATTGAAAAATGTGCATTTTTAGCATGTGCTTGTACATTCCGAATGCTCCGACAGTCTGTGCATTATAGATATTTATAGCCATATTTTCATGTGCTTGTGGTTATCCGACTAATCAGCTTGAGATACGCCATTATTTCTGATGGACTTTCATGTATATAGGGTTTACAAAAAGAAAACAAATCGTTCATTAAAGTTACCAATGTTCCGAAAGGGTGAATTTAATCCAGTAAGAGAAAGACCAATTTATTTATTTTTTTCTCAAATAAATTTCATTTATTTTCATGAAGTGATATAACTTGACTGTTAAATGGAAATAATTAAATTACTAAATTTATTAATTATTAAATTAATTCAGCAGGCCCGGTAACGCACATACATGCGTTTTTCACGCCAAAAAAAAAAATAAACACAATATTGAGTACACAAATTTTTCAAGGTCTGTGCGACCAAAAACGCACATTTATTGCCGATGGGAAATCATGGCCTGGGGCTGCCTGTCAGTGTTTTCTCTGCAGAAAAACCCACAACACAAACACAAGAATGTCTTGTTGAACGATCTTGAACTGGATTGGAAATTTATATAATAGTCATCTCTATGTGGATAGACATTTTACAAACATGTTTGTTCTAGGCATGCATACACACGGTGCATATCCATATCGGTACCCTCTTTGCGAAATCTGCTGAAACGGTACCCTCTTTTTTTCTCCTAGAATGATGATATATTTTTTCATTTTCATTTTATTTTATGGATATAACCTATAGGAAAACAATACCTTTGAAGGTGGCCCTGTGAGGGTACCATGTGAGATAATGACGAACAAAAATAATACTACCGTGCTAAAAAAGGGTATTTACAACCTTTCACTGTGTCATGATATATCATGCGTGGGGGAGGAGATTAGGGGATCATGAATTTGGCTGAACAACATAACATATAATATCTTATCAAGATTTGGATATTAAAGTTCTTTAGTGAAAATCGAAATAATTGACTCATGTCCTCTCACATTGAAAATTAGTAAAATGTTCTGGGCCCCTCTGGCATATGCATTACACCTTGCAAAATTTTGTGACCCCGTCTGGTAAAAAAATCCTGGGCCACGCCTGATAGAGGCTATGCTCTTTCTCTCTACATTTACCATAAATGTCATTTAGTCAGTCAAAAATGTGAAACATAATATGTTAATAGTTAGGAACAAATAACATGCAAAACTTTAATTTATAATTCATACGTTTGCATCGAGTAAAAAGAGAATACATCCATAAACATTTTACATGTAGCACTATTTCACCCTCAATTGTTATCTGTTTTTTCTCAAGCACAACACTGCTTGGAACGCTCTGTTTAAAATTGCTCCACTAAGACAGCAATCATATAAGTATTAAACAAATTGTTTAAATCAGAGTATTTACAAATAGGTGGCAATATATAACTATAGGCTTTAAAAGCTCTTGGGATCTTGGTAGTCCGGTTCAATCGTTAGTGCGTTGGATTGTGAATCATGCGACCCAGGTTCGATTCCCGGTTGATGTAGGCCAGTTTCGTTGCGATTGATCATGAATCTTTTTTTATGGTTAATCACACTGTACCTTTGCTCTTGCATGTATTCAGAAGTAATATTAGAAGTTCCTTGCGGAAGTGAATGCATCTAGCTGGTACAGGTTTACCAACTTTAACAACAGCCTACTCAGTGCCCAGCAACGATGCTGTGGCTGAACTGTGCTCTGGTGAATCCAAAGAAGCTTAATTACTGCCAGGATCCGGAGGGTAATCTACAAAAAGTAAGATCACAATTTTCAGAGCTTGTGTTATCACATGTTGTATACTGCGTACTCGACTTAGTACAATAGGTATTACTTGACTTTGTTCTCGCTATAAAAATATGTACAGAAAAATTCTTTACATGATTTATCTGAAATGTGTTATAGTAGCTCAATAATATTATCAAAACATCAGAACCTGCTGCAGAATTAAAAATCAATGATCATTTTTAGTTTTAAAACTTAAAACAGTAAAGAAAAGTATTGCTTTTTTGGTCTTCAAAATGACTACAATGTTTAAACCTGCAACTTCTCTTTAAATTTGTTTCATTTTATTTATTGTTACGTTTGTTACATAAAATTCTGGTGACACGTACTTGGGTGTCCCTTCTTGCTTTTCGACTACGGTCAGTTTTATCCCTTGTCCCTTAGTTTCCGCACCAATCAACGCACCGGCAGTCCTGTGGTTGGGCATTCGTTTGTCCAAAGGGTTCTTTCATTCTTGGTAAGTAAAATGAAATGTAAATATATAGTCAAATATTATCCTGATGGAAGTTAGTACAGCCTTTATAGTTAGTAAACATATAGCAGTATTTAACCCCTATTTAGATTTCTAAAACAATTAGTGATATATGACCTTAAAGTTTAGCAAACGTATGATAAGTGTATTTCACGTCATCACCGGTGAAATGTAAACAAAATGAAAAATATTTCATATTAGATTTTCAAATATTTAGAAGTTATAAGCATACGTAGAAGAATGTCGGAAAAGAAGATTTTATCAACTGTTTCAAAAACATTGATCAAAAATGTCATCAGACACACAGATTCCCACAATAAGGTAAATTAATAGTAGTTTCGTACTCAAAATTATTCGAACCAATATTATTATTATCATCATCATCATTATTATTATTACTATAAAATCGTATATTTATATGCATTTTTCACTAACAGATTTGAGTCTACCTTCCTTATGATTGCTCCCACTGTAATGACTCAGTAACTTGTAACATTTTAACAATATAATAAGTATAAAAAGGGCATTTTCAAGCAAATTATTATGCCAGTTGATGTTTTTTTTACTATTGTTCTATAGTTAATAATCTTCAATTAATAATTAATCATTTTTATTGAAATTATTCCATCATACAACAAAATGACTTGAATAGTGTTCCTTGAAAAATATATAATTTGGGGCTGGAATGATGGATTTTGGGGCCGCACTGACAAATTTTGGGGCCGCATTGACCAAACAAAAATACTGTGGGGCAGGAGTAACCAATTTTTAGGCCGGGTTAACTTGGGGCCGGGTTGACTGTAATTCTTGCTTGCTTGTAACACTAAATTTTGATTTTTGTTCTAACAGGTTGTTGAGGAGTCTGAAATGTGGAGACAAAGGGAAAAGGAACTCGGAAGGAAAGAATCTCCTGGTAGCAGTTATTCATTCCTGAAAGATCGTGGTGTAGATATGAGATATGAGTTTCCAACATCAAGAGATAGGAGAGCTCATATGGATGAAGAACCAAGAAGTACATACTGGATGAAAGAATTATATAAGGCAGAAGAGGCTGATAACAATAGGTGCTTCTTATTTCATAGATTGTTACTGTAGGGGAACAAGACACTACACCCTCCACCACCTCTCATATTTTTAAAGCAGCACGCCTCCAGATTCATGCTAATTTTCATGAAAATTAGAAAATGTATTTAAACAGTATAATATTGTGAAGTTACCAAATGAATGCAATTTACACATTATCAATGGCACTTACAACCCATGTGAATTATCATAAATAGGTCAAAATATGCAAAAAAAGCCTTTACTGCGTTAGTAACGCAATAGAAATATAGTTATAAATACATGTACTGAAAAATCGGTCATTAATCGCACATAACATGTAAATTATTACTAGAATTTTAAATCTTTATACTTTTCCTAAAATCTTAGTACATTTTTCTCAGGTTTGATTTTATCGAAATATTTTTGCTCACCTGGAGGCGTGCAGCTTTAAAGACACTTCACACCTAATCCCTTATTATATCTAGAGTAAATATTTCTGGATCAAGTGTTGCAAGGGGGTGTGGTGGGTAGGGAAGTGTGTAGTGAAGTGTCTGCTAAAGTGACATTATACATAACAAAGGTTATTAAGGGAGTGGACAGAAGAAAATTAAAATGAATTAACATTTTGCCATAAAACCTGGGGAAAAATGAGTATAATGCCACTTTAACCTAATGTAGATATATTTTTATGAGTTTGACTGTCATTGAAGCAGCATCTCATGTATCAATAGTCATTATAAGATATTGTCCGATATATAAATATCATATAATGATATTATCAGTGAAATACAGAGTGTTTGAGGTTAGACATCAGCACATGTTTTCATCATAAATTATAATTATGACTCAGCTATGGCCCAAACTTGGCATTATAAAACAAAACGATGTCCAATCAATATTTGATATTTAATAATCAGCCTATAAGAGGAAAACAATATATGAAATACAACTTTTAGTCATAAGTATGTTTTGTTTTGAAAATAACAAGGAACTTTGATAAAATGTGTAGCATAAAGTTATAACTTAGAAAAGATTATCATCAAGATGACATAAGTATATAATAATATTTTTTAACAGATGGGGTCACAGTGGATATAAGGAAATGTACCCAGAACATTTCTCTAGAAGTAACAGCAGTTCCAGCTCTGAGGATAGACGGAAAGATGAAAAACATAGGGACAGGTAAACATGTAACAATTTTTATCTTAAAACTATTATAAGGAAGACTGTTTTGACCTTATATAGAGGTTGTTAAGTGAGTGTAAGTTCAGAACTGAATTTATTGAACAAATTGAATAAAGTCTTATTATGTCAGCCTCTAAATAATATTATTTTATTCAATGAGTTCAATAAATTTAGTTGTGAAGCTACAGGAATATAATATTCCATTTATCACATATTCAAAAAAAGAACTGTTCATTGTAAAAATGAATCACTTTTTCATTGAAGTGCTTATAGTGTAATGCTAACATTTATTGCATCTTTATTCTTTACACTATGTTTGATGTCACATCAAAATATATGTATGGTTGTGCAATACCATTTTTACAAAGTCACAAAAGTGGCACAGGCATGTGATAAACTTTATTTATATTGATGACACTGGCAATAAACTAACTGCTTGCTAACCTTTTATCTCGGACAACTTAAGTATGATTTCACTTTTATCCCTTACAGAGCTAATATTTTTATTTCTATCCTGTTAAAAATACATAAAATGTAATTGCTTTGATTCTATTTTTAGGCATAGGAAAAGTAAAAAAGTAAAAAGAAAGAAAAGCAGAAAAAGAGAACATAGTGAGAGTGACACTGACTCTGAGTCTGAGGATGAAAGAGATAGAAAGAAAAGAAAAAAGAAGCATAAAAGTAAGGAGAAAAAGAAGAAAAGAAAACACAAGAAACGAAGACACAGGGATGATAGCGATAGTTGATGATAATTTAATTTTAGTTGTAAAATAATTTCATGTTTTAAGCCTTAGCCTTCTGGCAACAACTGATTCTACTAACCAAGATCAGTTTGCAGCACATTTTTGGTGTCTGTTCATTGTCTGCATTGTTTGCCATACATTTGTTATTTATTTTTAAATTTTCCCTAAAATAAAAAATAGTTATGTCCAGATTGAAAACTGGACAAGTCCATTAATTTTAAGATATTTAGCAGGGTAAGGATTAAAAAGAGTATAAAGCTTAATCTGGCAAAACAAAGTTTACATTTTTCAGAAACTTTACGATCACATAGTTTTCATGTTCTGGTGATCATACTTGGAGAATGGTTTGAGAAAAAAAAATGCATTCACATATACAAGAATCATGCAAGAAAGCAGACTAAAAAGTTGGCTTACAGAATATTCAGCTGTTATTTTTTTAGTAGGTCTAGCAACGAATTCACATATGAACCACATGTTTTATTGGAAATTCACACATTTCAATTGTGTTTACAGGGTCTTTCTATTTGGAAGACTCTGGTCTTAGGTTGCTTCAGTATTATTTTTATCAAGAGACAAAGAAATATTCTATATTTTACAAACATCCCAATAAATGTTTATACCCTTTAAGAAATGTGTTAATTTATTGCCTGTATTATATAGAGGAAATTTTTTTTAGTTCAGTGTAAGATCAGAATATATTTCATCGAGTGAGCACCGAGTGGTGCAGGCACACGTGAAATATGAACTTTTTGTGGTCACAAGGTGAATATATTTCAATCTTACATGAAACTAAACAAATTTTCTTTTTATTATATGCAAAGAAATGTTTAAAGAGAAATTTTAACCTAGTACTAAATAAAAATCACGCCAAATAATAATACAACGTGACATCATTTATGACATCAAATCATTAAGTTGGTTTCCAGTAATATGCACACTGGTTTCACTGAAGCAAGGTAACAGGCTTAAATCCAAAACAGTGAAAAATATATAATTGATAATTTCACTGTTTCAAACAGTGAAATATTAGTTTTGTATTTCACTCATATATTTCTAAAAACCATCGAAAAGCATGTAATAAAAACAGTGTCTTGCATTTGTTTATCTGTACTCAGTTACATGTGATACTCATTATTTTTGCCAAAGGCAAAGGAGGAGCAAACTGCATTTTGAAATAAAATTTTGCAATTAGTTCAGACACTAATTGAAAGAGAAAAAAGTTCAGAAAATGTAAATGATAGTTTAAATATTGACAGGCAAATTTTATTTGTACACGGAAGAAGGCCATGTGAGATGCTCATGGATGGTCAGATGATAAATTTTGGTACATAATGGTGCAGGAAATATTAATGGTTAAGAGGGTGGGATTTTCCTTCAGCCAGTATTGCTAGGCAGAAAGTATACTTTGTCAATGCCTATGATTTCAAGTTTTTGTAAACCTGATTTTACTGATTTATTGTAAAGACTTGCCATAATGTTTAAAGCATATTTAGGTTTAAATAAGCAAGTAGGTACAACATACTGTTTCTACATTGTCATCTGTAGGACAATATAACACTGATCTTGTTATACTTATACAGAGATCGTTCATAAGTTTTATATATCTAAATTGTCTTTGAATTTGTCATGTGTACAAAGATCTTTCATATTTTTTTATGTTGAAATTGTCTTTGAATTTGTCAAATTAGTTTACTTAACCATTAATTGTAAAAAGAAATACTTCAAGTTTATTTTGTTTTATTGAGAAAATTTTAAATCTTATTTTTATTCATATGAAATATGATAAACAAGATCATTATCTTTGAAGTTTAGCAAAGTTAGGTCTTTTTTAGCTCGACTATTCGATAAGAATAAGTAGAGCTATTGTAGTCACCCGAGCGTCGGCGTCTGCGTCGGCGTAACCACTTTTGTTAAAGTTTTTGTAATAGTTCAAATATTTTCAAAGTCCATTGACATATGGCTTTGAAGCTTTGCACACTTGTTCACCATCATTACCCCAACCTGTAAACAGGAGGAGGTAACTGTATCAAGCATTTTGACAGAATTATGCCCCTTTTTCGACTTAGAATTTACGTTAAAGTTTTTGTAATAGTTCAAATATTTTCAAAGTCCATTGACATATGGCTTTGAAACTTTGCACACTTGTTCACCATCATTACCTAAACCTGTAAAAAGGAGGAGGTAACTGTATCAAGCATTTTGACAGAATTATGCCCCTTTTTCGACTTAGAATTTACGTTAAAGTTTTTGTAATAGTTCAAATATTTTCAAAGTCCATTGACATATGGCTTTGAAGCTTTGCACACTTGTTCACCATCATTACCCCAACCTGTAAACAGGAGGAGGTAACTGTATCAAGCATTTTGACAGAATTATGCCCCTTTTTCGACTTAGAATTTACGTTAAAGTTTTTGTAATAGTTCAAATATTTTCAAAGTCCATTGACATATGGCTTTGAAACTTTGCACACTTGTTCACCATCATTACCCCAACCTGTAAACAGGAGGAGGTAATTGTATCAAGCATTTTTTTTTACTATCAAGCACTAAGAATAGTCGAGCGTTGCTGTCCTACCGACAGCTCTTGTTTGAGCCAAGGAAATATTCAGGCAAGGAAATATTCCAAAAATAGGAAATAATGATTGGCTGTGTTTTTATGCTTCACATTTGATTATACACAATGTAGGTAAAACCACAACCATATTATTGATTTAGATAAAGCATCGGAATGGCTTATTTTGATGAAGTGGTAGAAGTATTATTTTATTTGCTGTCTTATGTGATAAGATAACCTTGCTTGTACAGATTTAAAAAATTTAATAATTGTTATGTCCCCTTCTTTTACTAATTGAAATGCTATTGTTTGTATAATCAATTTCATTTACGTTTACATTTACAATTTATGTTTTAATATATTGTAAATGATTATACTTAGTATAGTAAAGAATTTTATCTCAACATATTTTCAATAATTGATCTATGTCTTAATGAATTGAATATTTGTATTTTCTAGAACCAAATAAGGCAAACTGTCTGCAATTTATGGTAAACATTATTACAGATTTTTTTAGTTTCACCTTCGTTGTTATTGTAATATTGTAACATAATATTTTAGACACTTTTGTGTTTTGTGTTTATTAAATGACTCAACTAAGATCATATGCTTATGTTCCAATTTTCACTTAAAATGAACATCTCTGTTTAAGAATGGTCTCTGTTCATTGACTTCAAATCACATCATCCCACCACTGTACCACTGTAGGTTCCAGTCCTGAAAGAGATTTTGAATTCTTTCATGGGAGGATGTTATTCAGTTAGATTATGAAACAATAGTGGCTCAACTCATATGCCTGTTTACGCTTGAAACAATGCAAAGGGGCATACTGGTCTTTCACTACCAGCTGAATATACTTTATAACCTTAATAGTACTGATGTGTTTTAAAAGAAAGGGAAAAGAAAGAAAACCAAATGATGGAATGTCTGAATATGTATTTCCCACCTCTTTAATACTTAAACGGTTTTATTTTTAGAATAAAACATTTGATTAAAAAAAAATATTTTTCTATTTTTCTTGTCTTATTGTGAAATTAGAACTTCTCTTTAAAATAATCTTTGATCAAATTAATTTTATCAAAATTCATCTGATTTTCAGAGAAGCATGATAAAGTTTGTTTTTGTTTTGTCTTTCAGGACAGTCTTACATAATAACATGATAGTTGAATATCATTAAATGATAAAAGGGATGAGTTGCTGGAATTTTAGATTATATTTTTAAATATGATTGATATATGGCAGTTTGTTTTTTTGTATAAATTGCAGATATCCTATTATTGTTGATGAATATGACAGCTTTACAAAGCTTTTAAGATTTTAGTAAAAATGCATTTTCTAAATGTGAAATAATACCACCAACTTTATTACATGTAGATTTATTATAATTTTTTTTACTTAATTTATTTATTGGTGAAATTTCAAGTTTCTATAAATGTATTTACCAACTTTCTACTTCAGGTAATGAAATATAAGATTTTTCTTTAATTTCTCTCCATATTCTTTGGGTCGGATTTTGAACTAAATTTCCTGGCATTAGATGATATTAACCAAAACATTTGTACTGAAAGCTTGAAGGCCAAAGTTAAAACGGACGGCCAAGGGTTAAACTTAAAAAAAAATCATTATTTGAAAGAAAGGTCAAGGGCACACATTGTATGTTAAAGTGACATTATGCTCATATTTTCATAGTCAAGTTGAGCTGTATTGACTTTTTATATCCAAAGATTGACTGTTAAAATGGTGTTTGACCAACACTTTATTTTGGAAAATGTTTAGGATAAAATATAAAATCTGTCTAAAATATAAAAAGATTGTCCCACTCTTTTATAAACTTAACATTTCAGGTAAGTTCTAATTGATATTTACAGAAATTCCGTTTCAATCTGGGAGTTATCTATTGTTTATGTGAAATAAATTATTAAAATAAATGGAATTCTGGCAATATAAAAACTTATTTTGACTTTCACCTGGAAGATATTTATTGGTAGTACATGTGATTACCATACAGGGCTAGGGCATTTAAATATGACAGATACAGGGATTTTATGTTGTGTTTTACAAAATGATGTAAAATTGTGTTTAATAAGGCAAAGTTAAGTTATGTGTAATAAAAAAGCAAAAATAAAAGTTGATAACTTCTTTTTCAGTTTTGTATTTTGTTCTGCTGACATTATCATTTTAAAGATAAACGAAAAAAATGGTTTTGCAACAATAATTATTGTTTATTATATGACCTTACGTAGAATTTATCATGATTTGTTACAGCTTTATTCCTCTGTTTTGAAAATTATAGAAATTGAGTGTAGTTGTTGTTTTGGCCAAATCACGGACACAGCACCCTTACTTTTTTCTTGGATTATTGTTAAAATGTTGATAAAATTATGTAACTTTTACGGTATCGTATTTGAGTTCTAAGTTAACCCAATTTTACCGCACTAAAATACAGGAAACACTGAGCAAAGCTGAATGACCTGTTTGATACATACACTTGACCCAGTTACGCATGCTTAAATCGGAATAATTTAAATGTCAATAAAAAAAAAGACTTGACCAAAACGCGCAGATTGTCTTGAACGTTCACACATTTAGACTTGTCTACGAGAATCAATTTTGGCCTTCCGACCTTAAATAGTCTGGTTCAAATTCTTATATTTGGCTAGTGTATTCCCATGACGATGTTGTTGAAAGCCATTCATTTCTCACATCTTAGGCAGTTGTTTGATTTTAGAGAAGTCGGCATTTACTCAAGATAATCTTTACTTACTGAACTCTTACCTGACTTCAAGTTTATAAAACTTTTCTCCAGTTCTGTCTCGAATCTCAGGAATTTCATAGGTCAATTTTGTGCTTGTTTTTACCCGAGTTTGAGTTAAGGAAAATAAATAACCCTGGCCTCAGGAGTGTCTTTTATAAAGTACAATGTAAGTAAGAGTTAATAATTAAGTGTTTCATAGAATTGTAAAAAAAGCCCAAACATTTTTGTTTATATTGAGAAATTGTATGACTCTGTACTGACTCACTTTGCGCGTAAGTAAAATGAGGAAACATCGCACGAGTTCCTAATAAGAATAATTAATCGAGAAATTCTGGTTATTATTAGTAATCTACCGTTTCTTTTCGTAGGTTAATAAATTCTTTAACCACGGTGAAATATATACAACACTCTAACCGGATCCCCTTATCAATACGTTTGAATTAATTTAGTATTAAACAAGTCAGTTTATTTCAATGAGTTGGATAGAAAGTTGACAGACAAATAAAATGATGAGATTTTAAAGCAAACAATAAATACCAGATCGGACAAACATTGCGAGATTAAAAACTTTTTTTACAACTGACAAGTTTGACATTGCGTAAAGTTAGAGACATATTGCGTAAAGTCACAGACATATCAATGTTTGATTGATATAACATAGCACGTATGTAACAAATTGTTGACTTTTGTATTTGAAAAGAATAAAAGAAGACACTGGTGCAACCGTAAAATCGAACCCATGCCGTCGTCTACTTGTGGTGTAGTGGAAACCGACAATCCAAAGACCCGACTGGGTTCAACTCGCTACTTTATATAAGGCCGAATTTTCTTGTGACTCTTTATAATGATATTGTTTTGGTTTTAAAGTCACGCTAACTATGAAGATCGCACGCCTATTAGCCAGCTTTACTAATGGATGATGACCATGAAATATTTTAAAGTAGACCCACCAAAATGACTGTATAGCTTTCTCACATGGAAGAATCCAAGGTCCCTAGCGGGATTCGAATCCACGGCGGCGGGTTAAGTGTATTAGTGCTACAAAAAGTTTTCAAATTCAGATACCAATTAGTTAGTCTATGTGCCTTATCTAGAAATTTTATGTTAAATAAATGGGTCGCAATGATTTTGATATATCTCGCAAAATGTCACGAAATTTCTCATATTTCCTATTCCCATTTTTTATCTATTCCCCCATTTTTATCATTTTTTTACACGAATGTACATTTATATTTTCATTTCCTTGTACACAAGCACCTTCAAAAGATATGATGTGACTTTATTTATAATTCACCATTTGATTTAAAAGCTGTTTAATTAAAGGATTTTCGTATTTACTTCGAAATACCTTTTTTTGTCGGATGAATAAAAAATTGGTTTGTATCTTTCTAAAACTTTTATTTCATTAACATATTCCCCCATCGTTTACTAATTGAGTAAGGACTGTTTAAAGTAATTCATATGGAATAAAAGTGCTTCACGCTACTGTATTTATGAAAGACCGGTGGTGTCACTTCAACTTCTTGAATTTCGATTTCAACTTCACGAATTCACGATTTCATCTTCGTGAAGATTGATTTCATGAAATGGAAAATTCACGAAACTGAAATCGTGAAGTTCAAAACGTGAATTCGGGAAGTTGAATTCATAGAGTTGAAATCATGAAGCTGAAATTGTGAAGTTGAAATCGTGAATTTGTATGTTGAAAACGTGAATTCACGAAGTTAAAATTGTGATTTCACGAAATTCATTAAGTTGAAATGTCCCTAACGGTGTTTCGTAGTTACTCATTCAATTGTAGTGACATGATAAATGTGTCAACGTATCATCCTTTTGTTTTGTGGCAGTCTAAGAAAAAACTGTTTATTTTATCTGAATATGTGCATAATAACTTGGCACAATGTATTTTCTAAGCACAAATTATACATACCCCAGTGGTTTTGGCCCATATCTTAACGATATTAACGCCTTTTTTTACAGCCAGTGCGTATATAGCGGCCCAATGCCAGCATATGACTGACGACCCGAGATAAAATCTTTACAATGTCGAGGGGGTTGATACATTTCTTCATTCATTTTACATGAATACAAATCAGTCCCTTTTATCAATAACTAACAGAACTTTATTTGCTAATGTAGCCAGAAATGATTTGTCAAAATTGAATTTCAACAATAATATCAGCGCTGTGACTTTGCTTTCTTAACACGTACCGATGAACGTTATTAAGGTTGTGCGGATTTTTATGGACTTACTTTCATGAGAAATTAATACAATCGTGTAGACAATTACATTTTAGTAAATCTGTCAGAGATTTTTATTGGATATTAGTTCATAAACGTTGGGATTTTAATTTTATCTATTTTGTTTAAAAATGGTAAGTAGAAAGATATACCCGTGTAAATGATACAGAAAATCCCGTGCTTATTTGAATGTACGTAAAAAGCAATCAGCTTCGCAAATAATGGATTAGCCGCCTAGAAAGCAAGTAACATGAGAAGCCAGTATTATACCACTTTACATACCAAATACCATTATCTCTTAACAAGATTTCTTCATTTATTAATCAAATACTGTGATCCATACTCAAATAGTACATTATTATATCTTTTAAGTTTCATTATCATAAATATAGTTTCTTACATACGCGCGTATTCTTTATGTTCTTTATTTTATATATGTAACACATGGGAAAACCATGGGAAGACCAGTCAGAACTAGTCATTCAATCCTTTTGTTCTTTGGTGTAATTAAACTAAAACTTCAATTTTATCAAAAACAATTTTTGCATACATGTCATTAGATTTATTATATATTTCACCCATAATATATTTATTCGCGTAAGATTTCAAAATTTTATTTTACCGGCTCATCATGAGAATTTCTCTCATAATTATGATATGATAAAAATGAAAGGGGTGCACTCTTTTCTATCCGTTTAATAACAACAACAACAACAAAAAACATAAACAAACAATCAAACACAGCAACTGTAATAACAGTGAATACCTCAACTTAGTAACCTTTTTCTTTCATTTAAAACTTTTTTTTAGATCGCGTAACGTGAACTAAATTTATAGAGAAGACACATGTAATAAAGCTAGCGCGCGAGAACCGTTAAACGTTTGAAAAAACAACGTTACGTCGCGTTGCGTTGTTTACACTACGTATAAACATTATCATAATATCTGTTGAAATATTTTCAATACTAGTTTATGTTATCGTCATGCCAGTTATCTGATAAGTTTACGTGTATGCCTTATTTAGGATATTTCGTTGTAATCTGCAATTTCCATTGTCCATCTAACCTATATTGTAGAAACTGACGTATAAACTGACGAAAAATCAGTCATATATTTTATTTACAAAACGGTGTTTGAAGAGCAGGCTTTACGAAAGTGTTTAGTGGGTATACCCATGTGCCCTCGCAAGCCTGAAATAGCGTGGGCTCTTTCAACCCCACTGCAATATGTAAATGACAGTGCTGCCATAAAAAATAAAAAAAAATATCCAATCATCATTTATTGTTCACAGTTCTTGTTTTTCACCTTAATTAGCGAGATCGAGCACAACAGTATGAATTCCATATGGAATTTATAACATTCGAGAGTTGAAACCCTTAATTCGTGACTTATATATCCTTATACCGGTTTAAATGTCATGAAAACTAGACCCCCGTCGATAAATTAATGTTTTTTTCCTGAAACGACAAAAAAGGAAAGTCTACATGTGGACCAGAGATAAAATAACGATAGAAATTAACGTCAAGTGTGATGTATTAGTAAGTTACTTCCTAGGTTTTCGAGGGACATTCCAAGATCACCCCACCATTACTGGGTTTCGAGTGGTTTTATAAAAATGAAATGCTTGTCGTTACTTTAAATATTAAAACAAACCTTGGCGCCAGCACTTGAAGTTCTTTTTTAAACTAAAATATAATTCGAGTGGGTATACACTTATCGTTTTAAAATGTATGAGATATTTGTCTTGTATATTTTTATTGCAAGGTATGAAATAGCATGTTTTCTGTGGCATAAATAGAGACTAATTTAGAAAAGTGATATGAACTTAGCAATAAGGGTCACGAGTTTCTTTATATGTGCACATGTCATTGATATTAAATTTAAAGTAGAATCTGGAAAGACGTATTCCCAGGTGGACCACGTATTGACTTGAATATCATATTATTTAGGTTTATATAAAATTGTTTTATTTTGGTTTATGTAAAATTGTTTTCTTTTTCTTTTGAGTAACGAGAATTTGACAGAAAAGATAAATTCCAAATCGTAATTGTAACGTTAAATAAAATAATGCTCCGCAAAGAAAACGAAAAAGTAATTGAAAGAACGTAAAATTGTCCACTGTCACTCTCTAACGTAAATAAAATTTAAAGTATCGAATTTCTTCGTATTCGATGCGTTTCATCTTTATAGATATTGACTCATAGTTTTTAAATAAAAAAGACCTTGAATAATGCCTGAACCTTTCTTACATAAACACATTTCATTTTATGATCCTATCAATATACGATAAAAGTTTAATTAAGAGTTGCGTATTCGTGCATGTGCACCGTAAACCACGCCCACCCGAGACGTTGCTGCAACGGATGTCTGTTACCTAGAGACAAGCTTATCTGTAGACCGTATTTGATATTAGATTTTTGCTGCTTCCTTTGATACTTTTTTCATTATTGTCAAAACGTTACAGCGTCTAACAGAAAATGTCGATATCTTAATACTAGGTCATTCGATTGAACTGTCCATGATGAAAGCGGTTTTCGTCACAAATTAAAGTCACTCCACTGAGGTTCAAAAGCAACAAAAAACACCAAAAACAAACAAACAAATACAAAACAACAAAAACCATTAATTTTGAAATTCTTACATAGATCAGCTGAGACACTTAAAACAGAAAAATATGCAAAAGGAAGTCAAAATAAACATAGACATAACTTTTTTATTGTGTTTTGTGCTATTCTTAGCCATACTAAAGTGAAAAGCGTTGCAATGCTTTTCAATTTTGGGTCATTTATCAGAATTAGAATACATATTCTGCAAAAATGGAACGAGCGGATGATCTGAAATTTTGCACATAAGTTATTGGTCTAGAGCTACATCAAATGAACATTTGTCTCGAAAAATTAATTCAAGTTTCATCGTTTCAAAAACCCTGAGTAGAGTCCCTTTAATAAATGTGTTTAAAACTCTTTTTCAATGATTTTTTTCGGACGTACACAATAAAATATTATTTAAACAAATACATACATTGTCTTGTTTTTTTAAAAAAAAAACAAACAAAACAAAACCTCTTGTTGCAGAAATGAAGAAATCAGGCTTTCAATCTTTATTTCAGTCTTTATTCACACCAAAAACAGCGGCACATTTTTCAGCAAATTATATATACATTAAGGAATAAATATCAATTTTGTTACATTTTAAGCTGATTAAATTTCAATCAAGATACATTAGGGTGACAAATATAGATTTAGACATCTACAAGAGAGAAAACGAGATAAACATTGCTATAAAAATCACCAAAATATGACCAAAAGTTTTTAAAAGGGAAATTAAAATTTTAAATTCCACTAAAGGGCCCTTTTTGAAAAACTAGACTGGAAATGCCAAGAAAAATGAAAACTCTATCTTTAAAAATTTTGTAATTTTTTACCCCATGAAACATGTTAAATAAAAAAGGGAAAAAAGGAAAAAAAAAACACCGAAAATTTAGGAAATTTAGCGTTTTAGAAAAATTGGGGAAATCTAAAAAATATATTCCCCCCAAATTGGCGTGAGTAAAAAAAAGGGAAAGGTTTTTTTTGTAAGAAGGGTTTGGGGAGTGTTAAAAAAAGGGGAAATATTATGGGAAAAAAATAAAACACCAGTTGTCGAGATATGGATAGGGGAATCTAAGACAAAGAAAGGGAAATTTAAATTTGGGGTAAACATTGGGATAAGAATTATGGTAAATAATAATGGGAGGATGATCTGATTGAATTGGGGAGGGGTTTGGTGTAAAGGTTAGCAAGGGTTTTCTAACCCCGGAGCACTTTGGGTTTTAAAAGGGCCCCAACAAAATTTGTGAGGTTTTTCGTCCTTTTTTCTTAATCCTCGGGCAATCATTGATTAAATAATAAACGTCAATTTGGTAGGTAGTTGGTTGGATATTCGAATAAAAAAGCTGAAAAGTTGGTTTTTATATAACCAACTGGTCCCCCTTTTGGGTAAGGGGGACAAGTGTTTCAATGTATTTGGGTTTATACTAGTATCCCCCAAATTTCCCCTACCCCCTTTAAATAGTTGGGAATTAAGAATAAACCTTCCAGCTGTGTAGTTGGTTATTAGAAAAATCCCCACCAACTACCTACCCATTGACGTTCATTTTATTGATAGATACACAGGAAGTCCCCCCCTAAATTTCCCCCAAAAAGGGGGTTTAACAATAAGGGTTTGGGAAAAAAAACGAAAAAAAAAAAGTTTTTAAAATGTATGCTTTCATGCCTGGCAGATCCCCAAAAAATTTTATTCATTCAAATTTTCATTCTTTATTATTCATTCATTTTTGCTAACTACATTTGTACAATGCTTTTTAAGGATATGTAAATTGTAGTCCGGGAAAATCATGGTTCAGGTTTTTATTATATCCCTTTTCCCTTTTTCTAACTGGTTTTACATTTCGGGTTTTATATAAAGAATGAATTTTTGGGGGAATTTTTAAAGTACTTTTTTGAAAATGAAAATGAAAAAAAGATTAATTTTAAAAACTTTTTTGTGTTTTCTTTCCCAAAAAAGTGATTTTTTTTTTTAGTCAAAAATTTTTCCCAAAAAAAAAGGCCCTGAAATAAAAAATTTCGGTGCAAAAAATGCGGGAAACTTTTAAAAAATTTAAGTCAAGTTACGCTGGTCCTGCGGGCGAACGTTAAAAATAATTTGCAGTCGTAATTTTAATTGCTTTTAAAAGGTGAAAATTTGTAAATCTCAAACGTTTTGGGAAAAAAAATCCTTTTAAAAAAGTTCAAAACACGCGGTTTTTTAAAGCGAGAAAAATTAATTTAAAAATTTTTGTCCGTTAAAAACCCATTTTTTTGATTTTTTTGGACTTTTTTGTTTAAAAGTTCGAAAAAAACGCCCTCTATTAAATTTTATTTTATTTTGGGGATAATTTTCTTTTAAAATTTTTTTGAAAATTTTGATAATAGGAACTAGGAACAAGGAGTGGCGAAATTGACTTATTACTTGAGTTGAAAAAAAAGTGAAATTTGATCATTTTGTTAAAATTATCAAAAAAGTTTCAGCATTTTTCATTTATATAGAAGAAATGTTTTTAAGAGAATAAACACATAAAGAATTTACAAAAAAGCATATTGTGGAAATTATTAGTTAAAAAATGAAGTTTCGAGAATTTCGTATTGATGTAAAATAAATTGTTTTAATAATAGAAAAAAAAACGATAAGAAAAAAAACAATACCAAATATCATTGGATAAATATTTTAACCACATATATGCGAAGAATTAAACTTGAATTAGAACTGATTCAGTACATGGAATAACGAAACAGTAAATAGTCTATGAGGATGTTATAGAGATATTTGTGTGTATTTTTGTGACGGATATTTTTTGTGTTAAAAATAAATATTTTAATAATAAAAACTAATTGTTTGATACTGGTTAGTGTGTTTTATACACGTGGATAGTAAATTACATTTGTTTTAAAACGTTTTAAAGAATGGAGAACGATTTTTACGAAGCATACTATAAAAGGTATGTAACAGAACATGAAAAAAGAATTCGTAGTTAGTTTCTTTATACATGTATAATAAACATTGTATAAACATTTTATGTAGAAAAAAATAGAAGATTTATACATTGATAAAATAGAATATACATTTTACTTTTTACGGTATATATACATTATATGTATCTAGAAAAAAATAGAACAATTTTTGTATAAATGGTATGTGGAAGAAGTAACTTAAGAATTGCTGCCCTTATTCTCGGCATGGCAGGGACACTATTATAGTTGTATCAATTGGCCGGTATTCCATTCTATACGTGAACGTGTAACGCGAACGTAAAGCGTGAACGTAAAAAAATCGAACAACGATTTTCTATCGTCAGTATTCCATGCCGGCGTGAGCGCGACATTAGCATGAAACGCTACGTGTGCGTGGAACGCGAGCGTAATGTTCACCGCTACATTGTAGTGATTTTTCACGTTCACGGCGAAGAAGCAAGATGGAAGGTCCTATAATTTATTAGAAATATGATCAGTCGCTGAAAGGCCCATTGTGCCTTAGAAATGATTTTTAATTTCATTTCTCAAACGATTTTAATTTCTGGTGTTCTGCTACAGTTTCCAAAAATTTACACATTGGTTAATAACATTAGTCCTTTACCTTTTAGGCAATTAGTACAGTTAAAGTGATTTCGTATTTTGTATTGAAGTGAAAATACTCATTTGTTTACAATTTGCTACTTTATGAAAAAATTCACATACAGCTTTACTTTCTTCACGTGTTAAACCGCTAATATGCCCTAAAACCGTTATTTAAATTTTATAAAATTCATGTTTACAGTACCCTTTCTTCTGAATGTGCTTCGAGTACAGCGACACAGACATCAAAGATCGAGTTTCTATTTTCTTATCCACCATCTATGTCTTCGTTTGTGCTTGCGTGAATGTAGATATGTGATATCACTCAAAAGAGACAGAAACTTTCATCTAATTCTTTAGACATATTTTCTAGTCAAATTTCAAATGGAAAAATAGACGAAATAGTTTGCTTTTTACGCATACTAGACAGATGTATGGAATAGTGTTTAAAAGTTTCACGCTCACGCATTACGTTCACGTCAAGCTCACATATGAATAGAATACCGGCCTAACCCTAATCGTAAAGTAGTAACTTTAATGTTGCTGGTAACGTCTTGTAGTATATATTCAACCTTTCAGTATATAGTCATACAATGGACAACATAACATAACAAAACATAAAATAACATAACAGCATAACATAACATAACATAACATACCGGTAACATAACATACCATACCATACCGGTAACATAACATTACATAACATAACATAACATAACATAACATAACATAACATACATAACATAACATAACAGACAACACAACACATTTTATTTAACAAAAACTTGTATACATGTACATACGATTTACAGTCATACAATTAAAATATAATGTACAATAAACCATCTACATGGCGTATATAAAACGATGTAACAAAACCATATTAAAATGATATAAAAATGCAAGGGTTGCAGGATTACACATAATTCACTACGACTGCATATTGTCATTGTCACATTATTTACTACAAATCAGGATTTAATTATCTAAACTATTAAATCAAACATCACTTAAAGTACGCGCACACCACTGTCTATTGTAATAACAGTTAATGTTTCATGTTTTCTTGATAAGAAATAAGTGTTTCAGAACATAATAATAGTTTCGAAAAAAGATAAAAGAACATTTCAAATCCATTACAGTGGATTAACTTAATGCAAAGATGGATTTATCTCGCCTATCTGATATCAAACGTGTTTGCAGAAAGGGCAAATACATATATCAAATTCGGTTTTAACACTTACATTTTTTTCACTGAGTCCTCCCCCAAGTCGTAAAAATAACCAAATGGAGTACAAAACTTGTCAATTATGTAAAAGAAAAATGACAAAATCACAGTAACTAAATGTCATAGTTTTTGAAAAGAAATACAAAATGTAGTTCAACTTCAAGACAACTCTAATAAGGCAAATATTCATTTAGTGACATTGTATATCGTCTTGAAAATATACTATCTATTGAATAATCATGTAACTTATTTAAATTCAGGATGTTACTTTTCTTCAAAAGCAATACCATATAATGTGTAATTGTATAAATTAGTTATTTTTTTTTCGTAATTTTATACGTAACTTTATACGAGGGCTGTTCAATAAATAATGAGACTGTCGTCATATATTTTTATGCTAACATTGAATATAACAAAATGTGGTGTAATTATTAAATATAACTTATTCTTGATCATATTTCGGCATTAGAAGAAAAAATATAACGCGACATAGAAATAATGATCATTTCAATAACCATAGTAACGCGCTATCGCCCCCGTCCGTTCTGTATCGTATGTGGACATTATCATCATCCAGTGGGTTGCACGCCACCAAAGATGTAGCATATCTTGAAAAGCGTTGAATGTAATAAGACATTACATTCGGCGTTAACTGCGCGGACGACGTCGATGACGTCGCGGCATGCTATTGAGCGGGGGGGGGGGGGTGGCTAGTGCGAACATAACCTTCTTATAAATTTTGTAACTTTATAACTGTTTTATGGATTACTTTAATATTTTCAGATTGTATTCAGTAATGAATGAACTTTGTTATAATGTAATGTATATAACCTTTGAATGTATCAAATAAAACATATGAATACAGTCTCGTTATATATTGAAAAACACTCGTGTGTTTTTGTATTAGGTTAAAACGGGTTTTTGTTAAAAAAGTTTTGTTCAAAAACATTTTTAGTCATGCATTTTTCATAATCCTATTAGAAAAAGCATGAAAAAATTTATTGCAATATTTTAAAAATTTTCATTCAAAGAACGGGTTTTCATGTATACCATTTCTTTAGAAAAGTGTCCCTGCAGGGAAACGTGGTTCGAAAGGGTTACCAGGGCTGTTTAAATTTAGGAAACGGCTAAAATCCCTGGCCAAAAAGTTTTCAATTTTTTTTTACAAAAACGGGGAGAAAAAGGGGTAAAAATGTATTGTATTGGTCTAAAAAAAATTTTATTTTTTGTTTTTCAAAGGCCTTTAATCATTCCCCGGAGAGGGGGATTTTGGGCGTTCCCCCACACGGGACTAAAAGCCCGGAAAGTCGACACCAAAAAAGATAAACAAAAATTTAAAACCCCAAAAATTTGCAGAAATTGACGGTCTGGACAGCTCTAAGGTGAAAAACTTCCCTTTCTCCTCATTCAAACTACTTGGGGCTCTACAGATCGGAATTGGGGTGATATGTATATTGCTCGGCGTTGTGGATTTATTCCTGTTTCTCTACACATCCGGACATTACGAGGACGACACGCTGAAGGCTTTATCCATAGCATGTGTGCCCGTTTGGTGCGGGTTATGGGTAAATATTAATAAAGTATAATAATTAAAACAGAATTAATAAATGATGGAATTATTTCAATGACTCTTATCGTTCAGTACGAAATATAAAAAAAAACACTTTTTTCTTTCCATACGTATTTCATAAAGGTTCGAGTGTATCTTTGACTTGCAAGTAACATCAGTTGATGTGAATAATTATGACATCTGTCTGGACTTGATCTCAGTCTGGGGGACACGCGATTAACATTTAAAGAATAATGCCAACAAATGAAAACAGTTGTATTTCTTAGAAAGAAACGGTTATACGTGTTTATTTATCTTATTAAATTCAGTCATTCGAAAAGCTGATATCTAGACATACAATTTACAAGAATTGGAACCATTTTCATCCAATTCAGTTTAATTTTAAACTTTTATCCAAGTTAGTTTTCTGACAGTTTATTATTTCCGTTTCAGTTTATTGTGGCGGGATCGATGGGAAGTTGTATGTCATTGCAGCAGAAGACAACTCTCACTTATTTTGTATGTATTAACATATATGGAAATTGACTCAATTATTGAAATATATAGTTATCTTATGAACAAGTTTTCACATTTTGTAAATTCTAGCTACTAGTATATCACGTTTTCATACGTAACTTGTTTCTTTGACAGCAAATCATGTACATAATGTCACGGTATGGAATAAAGTATTTTAAATTCCACTGCACTGGGCAAAGTTTCAAGTCACGTGCGTTGACGAAAATTTGTTGCCCTTTTTATGCTTTAAATTCTCTGTTATGAAAAGAAATGAAATTGAAGCTAAGCAGCTAAGTTGGTAGCTGGGGCACCTCCGAGGCAGAAAATATTCAATCTGTAAGCTATTAACACTACAGAAATGAGACAGCCGACTTGTAAAACCACAATTACAGTAGTCATGCCCAGATGCACAAACTCGTGCAGCAAGACCAAAAATAAATACAACAATTGCAACTATACATTTTGTTATAATCAAACTGAATTGGTTGGAAGCACATTTCATTCATTATTTTTGCCACTTATTAACTTTCAATTATTTGGCTGTTATTTCTATTTTCAGAAAATGACATTTCTTGTGCTTAGTGTGCTATGTTGCATTCTTTTCGGCCCCGCACTTTTCGCCGTGGAAGTTTATATTGTCGTCTTGGTAAGTAATAAAAATGATTTGTTATGCATTTAAGAGTCCGTTGTGTTTTCTTAGATATAACCATGATGGAACATATCATTTATCATTACAGTAGAGAATGACGTGTGAATTATGAGTTTTATAACATTGTTGTACTTTAAATTATGTTATTGGTAAAAACTGGATAGCGTATTACCGATTTTTAAAGCCAAATCTCGACTAAATTTTTAATAAAGCTAAGGCCCATGAGAAAAATCATCTCTTAACCTAATAAAATGGCGCCTGGATATTTTTAGGCATTTTTTTAACCGGACAGAAATATTTTCAAAGACTATTAATACCATATATCACCAGTTAAAGCAGCATGCCTCCAGATTTATGCTAATTTTCATGATTGCTTTTTAAATGTTTTTAACAATTATAATATTGATACATGTATCTAACTCTTGCTCTATCATACGATTCTGTGTTTTAGAGGACGGACGGGTCAGTGTCGGCACACGAATGGTTGCTCCCTCTGATGATAGCGTTCTTTACCATAAACGAGATAGTGTGTGCGCTAATTAGTGCCAGTATCTGCTGCTGCTGTTCCCCGCTCAACCAGGCTAAGGTAAGGAATGGACTTAAATCATACATTTGTTTGGTTATGTTTAAACCTCATTTGCCACATTATTTCAACTAGATAATTGTCTAGCACCGGACAGCCCAACCACATTTCCTGTAAATATTAACCTTCCAAGTAATCTGGTAGGTCAAGCACGTTTTCAAAATCATCAAGTTTACCTTTTAAAATTCTTGTACATGTATATACAATATTTTGCAATATACACTGTATAAAGCTTTAGCTCACAGTTCCAAAGTACATGTATAACAAATCGGTCGGAAAATGAAACCAAAGATAATCCTTGTTATTTTGTTCATTCGTAGATTTCAGCCGTAAACAACTTTTCAATATGATATTCTTATATAAAGTTTAATCTTCAGAAAAGTACTTTACTGTTACGTATGTGGCTAATATGCGCATGTTACTACATGAAGTTTCCTTCTAACTTAAATATCCCTTTTGCAATCCTTTTGCGCGAATGTTCTTACTAGAATTATATATCTTTTTTCTTTAATCAGGTCAGAGTATTGTATACCAGAAATGTTGATGAACTTCACGAACCAAGACCAGAAAAATATCGGCTCGACACCCCAGAAATTTTCACAACAGAAAGCAGCCGACTTGAGAAGCCGCATAGCAGTCGTGCCCCGGTACATCAAGCGAGAAGAGAAACACGTGCAGCAGACGAAAGGCGAGGAAGTCACGTGTCAGACGTGAGGCACGATAATCAGCCGCAGGATTATGACCACTGGGATGAAAGGCAGCAGCAACCAGTGTCGAGCAGACGACAGCCACGTGTTGCAATGTCGTCTGACAGCCCAACGCCAATGCATTATCCACGCCCACCAGCATATGACAATGATAACCACACCTCCCAGAGTTACCGACGAATGAAACAACTTGCTTTGCCTGGTAACCCGGATACATACTGAGAACATGCGTCAACGGTCTAGAAAAACTGTCATTCTTGTTAATCAAAGCTCATGTAACATAAACCCGTTAAAAGTCGGCATAATTCGTCAATTTCCGTGTCTTTCAAAGATAAAAAAGCATCGATATGATAAAAAAATAAGAAATTTCTAGTCAACTAAATGTTTTTTTAAGACCAATATTAAATACGGAAACTGACGGATTTTGTCGGATTCTTACGAGCTATTAATAAAAACATGTGGTAACTTATTTACTGTTGCAGACGTGTTTGCAGGTCTTTAGAAGGCTTAATTTATCAATATAGCATCTTTTCAAAGTTCAGATTTTCGAGTATATACCGAATAAAGAACAGTTTTTATAATACATGTTGTACATACATGTACATCTAGCGTTCTTAAATTGTGCTGTGATTTTTTCCGACTGTGATACTTATAAGTATTGTTTATTATTTATACATTTCATTTTTCAACTAAAGTCATTCATATTACAATTTTTTATATGTTTCAATCATTTTTATAAACACAAGTTTTCTGAGCATCATTCTTTTGCCTTTCTTGTTCTTGACTAAAGTGACGTCTCTCAAATTATCTGTTCCGATTCATGAATATTAAAAGTAAAATTTGTGGTTTTTTACCATTTTAAAAAGTAACAACAAAAAAAATCTTCTTGCATCACATATACTGATGCCTGTTGAAGTTATATGGAATATAATATAACTGACCCGTCACCGTTTTTATCTAAAATGTAACTAGCTATGCTTAAAATACTTTATTTTAATTCACTTAAAAAGTTAAAACCAACTACATATGAAGTGTAAAAATGAGGAACTATTTTTTTTTTATAAAGAGATGTCGATTATCGGAGTCGTTGTTAGGTTGATTGTTAGTGATATCGATATTAATATTGTAGTATCACTGATACGCAGTGAATACAAAAATTGAGACTTTTATATCTATATATGGGTAGATAGATAAAAGACAAATGAGAACCTTTAATTTGGCACGTTTCTGTATGTGTTAAGGTTATACACATATTACCGTCATATTTATCATGAATTGCAAAAACTAGGAACATATTTTTTTTTTAAATTGATCCTTAAAAGTACATTGGTTTACTAATTAAATGGTTTTGGAAATAAATACAATTACAATGTACGTTCTGCCTTTGAAAATATTAGATAATTCTTAGAAACTTTGTACAGAAAGTACTAAATCGTTGAGATACCTTCAAAATAATAAAGAGAAAACCATATTGTAGAGTTATTTTAAGCATTCCATACATAGCAATAATGGATTTCCCCCCACAGGTAGCTCCAATGACAAATTATGTTTATTATTCAACATATCCTTAATATTTAGTGTGATTGAAAACGATTGTTTGGAATAAGAACACATAAAATCTCTTAATCAATACATTTATATCAGCAGCTATAAAAAACTTTATTTTTTTGTAAAATACACATATGCAGATATAGTATATGTTATCTGCTCAGCATGCCAAATAATTTAAATTCATATTTTATTTGCTATTATTTATATTGCACAAAAACATTGATCAAAATAAAAAATCTTTCTTCAAACCAGCGTTGTTTTTTGTTATTTTTTTTCCAGAAGTTAAAATAAGTACTCATCAAAACAGTAATTTTAAATTAATTATCATATAGGCATAGTTACATCAATCCATTCAAAACGAAAAATGCATAAGGTCGTCTTGAATTAAGACATTAATTTATGGTTCTAAACACGAAATGTTGACAGCATGAAAGAAAAGTCTTGGACATTGTTGATAGTTACACAATATGAGCCGCGTCAGGACAAAACCAACATAGTGCGTTTGCGACCAGCATGGATCCAGACCAGCCTGCGCACCCGCGCAGTCTGATCAGGATCCATGTTGTTCGCTTACCAACTCGGTTACAAGTAGAGAAACTGATAGCGAACAGCATGCATCCTGATCAGACTGCGCGGATGCGCAGGCTGGTCTGGATCCATGCTGGTCGCAAACCCATTATGTTGGTTTTGTCATGACGCGGCTCATATGTTTCAGATTGCAGAACACGTCAATTAACGTATCTGGCTTATTTACGAGAGAAGTGTCTTGCTCATAGTGAGGGACATTTATCATGATTTGAGCGTCCCGGCACGAAGGGTCCTTTACCATCGTTTTGGATTGCAATGTTCGTATTCCTTGTAATATTTTAACAAACAGAGCTACCATCAGGGAAGTGTGCTCGACAACAGCAACACGATCGAGTCTGTGTATGCAATGTAAGAATTCAAAATCGGTGGGGGTACATTCGAAATTGATGCCAAAATTATAATTTCCTACGTTCACGAAAGGACTATAATTCAGAATGCAAGAAGCAACTTTCAATTCACGAAGAAATGACGTTGCCCGCTAAACTTACCACGGTTGAGTAGGAAAGTCAAACTATTCTCTAAATAGGTAAGGCAAATAGTAAATTATCTGTCGTTTTGAAATGGCGCATCATTTTGATAAGGGAATATGAAAACAAAGTTTGAATGACTCAGGTGTAAGTTTCTGAGATACTAACCTCAACAAAACTGTTAACCCGCGACAACCTTACGGTCATGTAAATACACCAAGTTCTATTGGTTTCCGAAAAGTGGAGTTAAATTGAAACTGTTAATACTGCAGTCTGACCATAATGCGCCAGAAATGGCTTCCTACATCGACAAGAGATAATTACCGATTATTTTAGGCATTGTTTTCAAGGAAAAGACTGAACATAGTATAAACAACAGAACTTTAATGAACATTATAAAAAAACTTCCAAATTAAATATTCAAATTTTAATGAAAAAATAAATTCAATGAAAATGTCTATTGCAAAAAGTATATTTTTAAATTCACAATATGAAAGTCAAAATAAAAAATTTGTATTATAAATTCGCAATATATTCAAATAAAAAAGGAGGAAAATTTGATATAATAGCACTGTAGTTTTCAATATCAAAACTAACGTTACTTAATACAATAATATAATAATTAATTATCATTTTACAGCATATAACTTCATAATTTGGGCACTTAGGGAGATCACTCACCTCCCCTAAATAAGATTATGCTACTTAAAACCGCACATATTAAAATAAATTATCAAAACATATTGAAATGAGGTATTCCAATTTAATGTTGCCCACTCTAGTATCTACTGTGAATTACACAAAAATTGCTATGATTTAAATGTATTAGTTAATAGCTCATTATTTATTTACTTTGTATTCAAATAAAACTCTTTCAGATAGCACATGGATCTTCTTTATGATTTTAAAGCCCATGCTTAACTTAATCAAATATATGGAAAAATAACTTCATCAAAGATAATATATGGAAAAAAAGGCTATGTTCTATAAAAATTTCTTTTCAACCTTTTTGAAATACCTGTAAACAGTTCATTTTCAATCAAATCTTATCAGAATTACATTCAACTTGTTGGAACAAAATTAATGCAGCTCTGTGGAGGTATTCAGATTTGAAAGTAAACACTTCAGTTATATCTGATATATTTTACATATATAAAGTAGCTTTATCAAGATATCAACACAAACCTGTGGTATCTCAGTAAGTTTTAATCAAACAATTAAGTCAGTCTTGTATTAAAGACCTCATTATTGTGTAATAAGTCAGAAATTTCTGATTATAAAACACCAATAGTCTAGGTAGTTGACAATGAAAAGTAAACAAAATTGATTCTATGTATCCCTAGCCTTAGATTTTCATTGCTGTGTATAAATCTTTTCACTGTTCACCTAAAACAATGCAAAAAACAAGGGTCCCCCAAAGGAAACCACCAAACAATCAGTTGTGCGTAGTTTACTAAATATTAAGCCATTGGTTATAAAAAGTGTTGTTTTTTTATTTCTTAAAACATGTGGAAGATAAACAATGACCATGATGGGCAGAAGAGGACCACAAAAGTTCACCATGAGCACTTAACAAGAGGACTATGATGACCCTGAGTCACTCACCTGAGAATCAGGCTAGAAAAGGGTAAAGCAAGTAATGGGGTCACATTGGACTCATAGTTTTCTCTCTAGGCTGCAATGTTTACAAAATGCTTCATGACAAATGTCTAAACTCTTGGCATTGTAATTTCACAAAAGGAGACTTGATAAATCAGTTTACTTTGTAAGTCTATATAAACTAAGTAACCCCAAGGATGGGCCAGTTTTGACCCCAGGGCCATGATTTGTATATCATTTGTTGTAAAGGACCACAGGGAGATGTTTCATGCAAAATGCCTAAGTTCTGGGCATTGTTTTTAAGGGAAGAAGATTTTTAAGTTTTATTACACAAGTCTACATAAAATAAGTGATCCCCTTTGCAGGGCCAATTTTGACCACAGGGGCATGACTTATATAAAATGTTTAGATGTCCACTAAGCAATGTTACATGCCAAATATATAAGCCTCTTGGCATTGTAGTTTCACAAAAATTGTGGACAACAAACTGCCATCACAAAGACTCACCTCTGAACAAAGTGTACTTAGGTGAAAGCTAGCTATAAATAAAAACTAAGAAAACAAAAATGAAATTATATTAACTAATCATCCACATGAAAATGTGAAGTGTCATGCACACATTAATGTAAAGTAAAGAGATTTAAACACTCTACTTCTATATCAATTTAGGACAAGTTGAGAAATTCAAGGCTCCAAGAAATGATGTTAATGTCCAATCTTTGAGCCAACTATCAACTGAAAATCACAATATATATAATTAAAGAGATAACAAAGTTTGATCCTTGATAAAATATTAAAAGTTTTAAAGTACATAGCCCAAAAAGGTAGTCTGTTTTTTAATTTATAGAAACCCATTGGCCAGTAGGGGCCCCCACCCTCGGGTCCGGGTTTTGACCCCCTGGCAAACAGCTATAGTAATCATGTTATAAAATCTCTACTATCATGTCTTCATCAGGCCCATCCATCCGCAGCCTCTAGACATCATCGCATAACTGTAATTATTAAATATTTCAACATTTATACCAGGGCTGTTTCACAAAATCCCTTGGTTTGTTTCATTACTGTTTTCAATAACTTGATTATAAGAATGAAGTTTTTAAGAGAGTAACAGTAAATACTCTTAAATACAAAATGTAATTACAAGAATGGAATTTTAAGAGAGGTACTCTAGTGGATTAAAAAGGTCTGAAGAAAACACCCCTTAGCAGTGTGCGGCAAATGTTTGAAAGTCTGCACAATAGAGCATTTGCAAATACATTTTGTATTTTAATGAAAATTTATGTAATTCAAAAATGATTTCTGTTCAAGAAATAAAGAAATACAATAAGAATTCAGACTGTTTACAGCAATCATTTAATTACAACAGTGTTGTTAAAGGTTCTTGACCTTGAATAACTAAAGCCCATTATTCCATTCCTGCCAAAGACTTTTACATTTGTTCATCTGATAAAGCTATCTAGCTAAATTACAAGGTATTGAAGGTTAAACTTAGGTGCCCAAAATAATGTACATGTACAAAGAGACACCCAGTCTTTCCAGTGGTCAAACTGCAGTCAGCCATCATAATGAATTACTTTTATGCAATAAACATCTATAACAAGATTTAAATCTTGAGCCAACAAAAACCCAGCACACACATGAAAAATAACATACCAAAACAGTTCAAATATTACAAATAATATATTTAAGTAATCAAGGAGAGGATGAAGAACAACACGTCAGGAACACCAGAGTGAGTTTACGTAAATTTATTTATCTACCGGTTTCGGTCATATAATGACCTTCATCAGGATAATACAGAAATATTTTAAAATTTAGGCCCTGAAGTATACTAAATGTGTAAACTAAAAAGTCACGTGACAATGCTATATTTGGTTTCGTTCTGGAAGTGTGCCAAGAATTTTTTGGAATTTTGCCAATATGTTGTTATTAAGTATAAAATGAAAATGTAGTTATTACAAGTCCTACTTAGTTTCACAAAAAATCCCATAAATGGATCCAATAGAAATTATCTGTTCATTGGTGTGACTATACTATCCAAATTCATCTTCACACAAGGTTTCTGAGCTGTTGTTCTTACTTGGATTTAATGGAGATATAGGTTCTGGTATTTGAAAGTCCATAGTTTCAATGTCCATGTTGATCTTCTGTGTTTAGTTGGTGTTCTTAGTTTTTTTGTTCTGTTTCTTGTTGATTTGTTGTGGTGTTTCTCTATTGTTAATGATCCTAAATGTTGGCATCTTTTTAAATATCCTATATTTGCCTTCAGTTGGTTTGGGTGTTGTTCTTGGTTTATCAATTTTGATATATTCAAACTTTGTTTCATTGAATCCATGTACGTTTATGGAGTGTCTTTTAAGCGAATCCCGTCTTGCGTAGTGCTTATTACACCAGGAGCAAATGAACTTGGTGATGTATTCAGCATGTGTTTTTTGGTGTTGGTACCATCTGTTTTTATCAGTGTAAACGATATCGAAAGTTTCACATAATTTGGTATACCTGGGTTTTGGCCATTCTTCTTCAGTTATTTTTCGTGCATAATATATTTCTTCCGATTTTACATATTAGATTTAAGCCGCTTGGAGTTCTTGTTTTTAATTTCTTGATCCATAATTCTTCCGTTCTTAATCTGATATTGATGTTTCTTTCGGTTGTTTGTATTATTATGACGTTGAATTCACTATGTCCGTTTATATTAAAATGGCGCGAAACGGGCTTGACGTTGTTTTTACTTCTAATGTCGGCTAAATGGCCGTAGAATCAATCTCTAAGTGAATTGCCAGTTTGTCCTACGTACTGTAACTTGCATTGTTTACATGTTATTAAATAAATTAAGCTTACAGTTTTACATGTATGATGTCCAAGGATTTTAAATGTTTCATTTGTAACGGTACTTTTAAATTCTATAGTACTAGACATGAATTTACATGTAAGACAATTTTGTCTGCACGGGTAACTGCCATTCGAGAATTTATCGCTAGAAATGTCTGACTTAACTAAGATTCTTCTTATGTTATTTGATCGACGATATACTGCTACAATTTTAGAGCTCCTAATGAAAGTAGTGAAATCATTGTCACTTAATATATTAAGATATAAATAATATATTTACCCAAAAAGTTCTGCTAAATCTTCCATATGTGTATCCTGTACAAGGGTTATACTCAATTCTTTATTTAAAGTTGTGTTGCTATGGTGTACTGTGTCTCTAACTGAAATTTAGAAAATATATATACTCGTCACCTTTCTATCTTCAATGTAAGATTTAAAGGATCAGTTTATTATAATTAACAAAGCTTTAATTTTCTTCTTATCACAAGTATTCATTAAACAGATCCAATAAAAACAAACATATTCCCATAGGAAAACATGCTCCTTTTCCTAAAATGATGTCTAAAAATTCCCTTTGACTAATAAAACAATACTTTAATTTGGCTGATGTAAAGACATGTTTTATTTTTCTTCAAAAATTATCTATTTCACAATTCTTTAAATTCCCACAACTTCAAACAATTCCCAATTAAAAACAAGCAATTATCATAGTATTGCAAGCAATCCATAAGTCCCCTACCGGTAAGAGCCCAAGCAACATTCTGAAGGGCCATTCACTTAGGTTCCTATTTTAAGTAAATTTGTTGAAAAAGTCCTTTAAAAGTGATCACAGGAAACAGTTTTTATGTACAGACAGACGGACTGAAAGACACTCTAAAGTTATTTTTTAAACATCCCTGTTATCAAAATATAACATTTTTAAATCCTATCATGATTGTAGAAGTTAGAGTAAAAATTACCCATTTCTCAAAAAAAAAGTCTAAGTTCAAAAGGGGCATAATTCTGGAAATAGTCTTGCTAGAGTATTGAACACTAAAAATTTAATGTTGAGTGATAAATAAGAAACATTTATATGAAGTTTGAAGTAGATACATTCAAAAAGAAGTTTATTAAAAAAAAAAACAATGTTTTTTTCATTGAAAATTTAAAGTTCAAGGGAGGTAATTCTGAAAAAATTCTGTGCTAGAGTTGTAAACCTTGTCACATATGATGTGGTTGATGACAAGCAACTTATATTTAAAGTTTGAAAAGAAAATACCTTAAGAAATAAAGAACTTATAGTGAAAAATCTTAAAAACTAGAACCAGAAATCTTGGAAATTCAGTCTATTTGTTGCCAATAGCAACCAGAATTTTCAACATAGGAAGATAAGAAAAGGATGTGCATAATTTCCATACTGCCATCTACCCATATGTGTCAAGTTTCATAAACATATTTTCAAGTACTTTTTTGTGTTATCACTGGATCCAGGTTATGTGTAAAATTTGCCATATTTTCAGTCTATTTGTTGCCATAGCAACCAGAATTTTCAACATAGGAAGAAAAGAAAAATACGTGCATAATCTCCATACTGCCATCTATCCATATAACAAATTTCATAAAAATATTTTCAGTACTTTTTGCGTTATCGCGGGATCCAGGTTATGTGTAAAATTTGCCATATTTTCAGTCTATTTGTTGCCATAGCAACCAGAATTTTCAACATAGGAAGAAAAGAAAAAGACGTGCATAATCTCCATACTGCCATCAATCCATATATCAAGTTTCATTAAAATATTATCAGTACTTTTTGCGTTATCGCGGGATCCAGTTTTGTGGACGGACGGACTGACTGGACGGACAGACGGATGGACTGACGGACGGACAGATGGACGGAGGGTAAACCTAAAGTCGCCTCCGGTAAACCGGTAGGGGACTAAAAACCATTTCCCAAATGGGAGAAAGACAACAAAGACTGAAATAACAAGCATTAAGCATTCCGAGGGCTCACTGATTTATCTCTTATATCTATATACACATATAAAAAAATTATAGAAAAAAAACAAGCTCTGTTAAAATATTAATAATTTTTTTTTACAAACATACAGCATGTTGGTTCCACGATTCCCTTCATCACAATTAACTTATGGTTTTCACCGTCTTTGTCCGAACGTTTTGACTTTGCAAACAGATGCTGCTGTAGACTTCCACAGTGGGCAAAATATCTATCACATAATAAACACATAGTCGACTCCCTTCTTTGAGGTGTTCCCAAGAACACCCTGTGTTTAAAGTCACCCTTGCAAAACTTCTCATAGTAGTGGTCTACCAGTACGGTGAAGGCATCATCACCATGGAACTTTGTATCACAGCTGCCTTTGTGGGGAAAAAAAAAATCTTTACATAAACTTGCACTATCTGACAAAAATTTAAAATGACCAATTCTCTTCTGGACGACTTGCCTATTTGGGCAACTGGTGGAGAGTATAATGAATTAAAGCACACTTGCACTTATACAAAATTTGGTAAGCCAACAGTACTGAGCCTAGTCAGACTGCACAGATGTGTAGGTTGGCCAACTCTAGGTACTGATGGTAAATTCTGATCATTCTTGATTCCAGTAGATTAAGGAGTAAGATACCTAAATCTATTAATGGACTGTTCCAAATTACAGCTAGAAAAGCTATTACACAATTTACAAGTGGTTCATGTTAAAGAAGTATTTAAAACTTACTACACTTGGCCTTATCGATATCTGGTCTTGCTCTCTCCAATTTATTTATTTCTTCTTTCCATTTATCAAATCTTTTCTCCGCCTCTTCCTCACTGTCAGGTAAATCACTACAAACATCTGATTCCTCATCCTCTACTTCTTCATCATCTGATGATTCCTCTGGTAATATATACAAGGGGAAATATGCTTAGGGATAGATAGAGATGATGTGTAAGCAGCCAGACAACTTAGTCGGTAGAGCCACGGTACGGTATTCCGAGGGTCCCGGGTTCGAGTCCCATTCAGGCTGCACATTTTTCTCACCATGACGTTTGGCGCCCAAAATGGGGCCGTGACTGAAAAAAGCTCAAGAGTTTAATTTACATTGCTCTGTAACTCTCTGAAACTGGACAAATTTCAATATAGCAGGGGAGTATGTCACGGTTCAGAACTGTTCACTTTTTAAGATACAAGATGTGTAAGCGGCCGGATATAGCTCAGTCTGTAGAGCCGCGGTACAGTATTCCAGGCTGTACATTTTTCTAACCCTGTGACAAAACAACTAGTAAAACTTCATCACCACCACAGCATGCTTGCTATTCTTGATATTATACTCTCAAGTGACCAAGACACAGGGTTTTATTGAGGCAACAGATGTGCCAATGAAAGCAACCGATTTAGCCAAGGGTCAAGGGAGATATTTTCAACAACAGGCGGAAAATTAAACTGATTTTAACAGTATTTCAACCAATGATTTGGATCGCCAATCTTTTAATAATGAAAACCCAGAAGACAGAATTTTTTAGAATGCAAGTTTTAATTCATACAAAATGCTTCTACTTGTTCAAACCTGTTTGATGGCAGAAATTTATCGATACAAAAAATTTATAAGTATTGAAACAATATCAAACTGCGTTCACATGTAACAAAATCTCACGAAACTGATGGGACATAAAAAACAAATATGGTGTCAATTTAAGAACAGAGAAGAATTTAAGACTCCCGACAATATGTAGAATAAAATGGTTTAACATTTCAAAATGTTATACCTATTTTGCCAGCCATTAAATTTATTTTTGTACCTACCAGCTAATTGCTTGCAGAATTTTTTGTGTGTAAACCAATGTAGCTTCTGGTAATCCTGGTTGCAGTAGTTTACCTTAATTAAACAATAAAAGAAATACTTGAAACAAATATGCCATTGACAACAAGCAAATATCATAGTATTGCAAGCAATCCATAAGTCCCCTACCGGTTAGAACCCCAGCAACATTCTGATGGGCCATTGGCCATTCAATTTTACCAGTGAATGAATGACATGAATGAACTTAAATCTTTTGAGTTCTAAGTTTGTCTATATCACAGTAATGTGTTAAGTTTCCCTGCCTAGTAAGGAAATTATGTTTATACAACCTTGTCAAATTATTACTATATGGGTTTTTAAAGTAAATCCTATAATGAATGAAGAAGTTTGAGTAAAAAATACCAATTTCTCGGAAAAAATCTAAGTTCAAGGGGGACATGATTCTGGAAATAGTCTTGCTAGAGTATTTAACCTTCTCAAAAATGTTGAGTGATAATAAGAAACATATATATGAAGTTTGAAGTAGATACATTAGGAAATAAAGAAGTTATTTAAAAAAGACAACATTATTTTTCATAAAAGTTCAAGGGAGGTAATTCTGATAATTTTTGTGCTACAGTTGTAAACCTTGTCACATATGATGTGCTTGATGGCCAGAAACTTATATTTAAAGTTTGAAGTAAACACCTTAAGAAACTAGAACTATCACTAAATGTAATTAATACCCCCACAAGACTGCTTCGGAAATGAGGATGTTACTAGTTACAGAATACCTTGTAAAAGAATTGAAATATAGAGTTATGGTTTTGGGCAATTAAAGATAGTTGTGGTTCTTGTATGTTGCATTTCCTTTCAATTTGGTTGGCCATTGATGAAGTTTTATTGAATTACTCTGTAATAAGTCCAGAAAGACAAAGAAAAGGAACAAAGGGCAATAACTCTATAAATACTGAAGATGGAGTTCTTGTGCACTGCACTTCCTCTTTTTGTGCTTGACCATTGTATGAAGTTGTTTTGAATTTCAACCAGTACGTTTTAAGTTATGCTCCAGACAAGGAAAAGTATCAAAGGGCAGTAACTCTGTATTTTGTCAAAATGGAGTTATGGCTCTTATGCACTGCACTTCCTTTCAATGTCCTTGACAACTGTGTGAAGTTGTATTGAATTCCAAACGGTAGTTTTCAAGTTATGCTCTGGACAAGGAAAAGTAACAAAGGGCAATAACTCTGTAATAAGTCAAGATGGAGTTATGGTTCTTGTGCACTGCACGTCCTCTCAATGTGCTTGACCATTGTATGAAGTTATATTGAATTCCAACCATTAGTCTTCAAGTTATGCTCCGGACAAAAAAAGCAATGGAAAAGTAACAAAGGGCAATAACTCTGTAATTAGTCAAGATGGAGTTATCGCTCTTGTGCACTGCACATCCCCTTATTGTGTTTGACCATTGTATGAAGTTGTTTTGAATTCCAACCAGTAGTTTTCAAGTCATGCTCTGGACAAGGAAAAGTAACAAAGGGCAGTAACTCTGTAATAATTCAAGATGGAGTTATGGTTCTTGTGCACTGCACTTCCTCTCAATGTGCTTAACCATTGTGTGAAGTTATAATGAATTCCAACAATTAGTCTTCAAGTTATGGTCCGGACAAAAGAAAGCAATGGAAAAGTAACAAAGGGCAATAACTCTGTAATTACTTTAGATAGAGTTATGGTTCTTATGTACTGCACTTCCCCTTACTGTGTTTGACAATTGTATGAAGTTGTTTTGAATTCCAACCAGTAGTTTTCAAGTTATGCCCCGGACAAGGAAAAGTAACAAAGGGCAATAACTCTGTAATTAGTCAAGATAAAGTTATGGTTCTTGTGCACTGCACTTCCTCTCAATGTGCTTGACCATTGTATGTAGTTATATTGAATTCCAACCATTAGTCTTCAAGTTATGGTCCGGACAAAAGAAAGCAATGGAAAAATAAAAAGGGCAATAACTCTGTAATTACTTTAGATAGAGTTATGGTTCTTGAGCACTGCACTTCCCCTTACTGTGTTTGACAATTGTATGAAGTTGTTTTGAATTCCAACCAGTACTTTTCAAGTTATGCCCCGGACAAGGAAAAGTAACAAAGGGCAATAACTCTGAAATTAGTCAAGATAAAGTTATGGTTCTTGTGCACTGCACTTCCTCTCAATGTGCTTGACCATTGTATGTAGTTATATTGAATTCCAACCATTAGTCTTCAAGTTATGCTCTGGACAAGGAAAATGCAATGGACGTCAGGACCGACCGACCACCGGGTGACTCCTATATACCCCCCCAAACTTCGTTTTTGGGGGTATAATATAGAAATTATAGTGAAAAAGCTGAAAAATTTAAATCAGAAATCTTGAAATTCAGGCTATTTGTTCCAGAATTTTCAACATAGGAAGAAAAGAAAAAAATGTGCATAATCTCCAGACTGCCATCTACCCATATACCAAGTTTCACAAAAATATTTTCAGTACTTTTTGAGTTATCACTGGATCCAGTTTATGTGTTAAATTTGCCATATTTTCAGACTATTTGTTGCCATAGCAACAAGAATTTTCAACAAAGGAAGAAAAGAAAAAAATGTGCATAATCTCCAGACTGCCATCTACCCACATTTCAAGTTTCATAAAAATATTTTCAGTACTTTTTGAGTTATCACTGGATCCAGTTTATGTGTTAAATTTGCCATATTTTCAGACTATTTGTTGCCATAGCAACAAGAATTTTCAACAAAGGAAGAAAAGGAAAAAATGTGCATAATCTCCAGACTGCCATCTACCCATATTTCAAGTTTCATAAAAATATTTTCAGTACTTTTTGAGTTATCACTGGATCCAGTTTATGTGTTAAATTTGCCATTTTTTCAGACTATTTGTTGCCATAGCAACCAGAATTTTCAACATAAGAACAAACGAAAAACACATGCATAATCTCCACATACTGCCATCTATTCATATATGTTTCATAAAAATATTTTTAGTACTTTTTGCGTTATCGCGGGATCCAGTTTTGTGGACAGACGGACTGACAGACAGATGGACGGACAGACAGACGGTAAACCTAAAGTCCCCTCCGGTTTAACCGGTAGGTCTATAATAACTCACTGTATAATAATATTATACCTCTTGTTTAGCAGCTGGGATCTGTGGCTCAGAATGACGAAATATACACGAGTCACCATACCTACATCCTTGAGGTGTGCTGAAATATAACCAGCCAGAATAATAATATCTGTCATATGTTACGGTTCGGACCGGAATATCCGTCCCGAGGTGACCCGCCCGGACGGATATTCCGATCCAAACCGCAAACATATGTCAGATATTTTTTCTTGCATATTCTACACTATTCCATTATAACTTAAATTCTTTATCTTTATTTTCAACGGAAATTTATATCATTACAGCCATAACTATTTTCTTACAACAGCGTATGAAATTGCAACTTCATTCATAACGGTAAAATGACATCATCCTAATAATATCTGTCATATGTTGCGGATCGGACCGGAATATCCGTCCCGAGGGGACCCGCCCATTGGGCGGTAACGAGGCTTGCCGAGTTACCGCCCATGGGCGGGTTCCCGAGGGACGGATATTCCGATCCGAACCGCAAACATATGAAAGATATTTTTTTCTTGCATATTCTGCCATATTATTTCATATTTAAAATGGTTTACCTCACTATGATATATGTTCATGGAAATTAAAGTCATTTCATCCATAACTATTTTCTTACAAAAGCGTATGAACTTACAACTTAAATAACAACGGCGAAATGACGTCATCCTAAGACATATTTCCCCTCTAAAACGACGTCATTTTAACGCGGTTCATTCATAAAGTGCGCTAAAATGACGTTGTTTGGCACGCGACTCATCTGGCACCCCCCATGCCAGATGAAAATTCCGGCATGGGTAAAACTCACGGAAACGCCAGTCTGATATGCAAGAATAAGAGTGCCATTGTACAGCACGTGACTCATCTGGCACCCCCCATGCCAGATGAAATTTCCGGCATGGGTAAAACACACGGAAACGCCATTCTGCTATGCAAGAAAGTAATGTAAAAGATATTACCCAGTGTTGTGAGTTTTATAAATTTTTCCTCTTGCCCTCAGAAAAGTTCCACAATTTTTTTATTTATCATTTGCTTAAGTTCACTTGTTCAAATAAAGCAACAAAATAGGTTCCAGGTTTAATATGGACTTGATTTAACTTAAAATCAGCAGAATACATTTACGCAATGATAAAGGAACTAACATTTTCTGATATCTTGGGTTACTAAGTGCAAAGCTGGAGAAGGGTTGACAAGTGTCATCAGCCAAATTGTGACATGATTGTGAAAGTACTGTAGATCAAATGTTTGTCCTTTTCTAGCCAGCTGTCAACATATTCCCAGTATGAACTTCAGAACAGAGAAGTCATATCCATGTTTTGTGAGAAAAAAAACGCCAATGTAACAATAAATTAGATATTTACCCATAGAACCGACATCTTGGCATCTCAGACTGTTGAAGGGTTGTTCCATCATGTATATATCGGCAGTTGTCACCTTTCCAACATCCCCTTGGTGTGTTAAAGAAATGACATGTCAATCCACCAGTGGCCTAGAATTACAATATAATGCACATGAAAAATTCCTAACATATAAATTTTAAACCATGCCAAACAATGATTTTCTTAACTTATATTTTCCAACATTCAATCATTCAAATTCTAACGAGATTTGTTTTAATTGGGAAACAACAAGCATAATAATGTTATTGGGAATTGGTCAAATGGTGTAACATATTGTGACAGTTTAATAAAGCCTGTGGTATGATGATATATTTGATTTTTTGAAAAAAGATTTCAGCTGCATACAAAAACTTAATGCTAACAAACTTCAAAAAAAATTCAAACAAAATGGTCAAAAAAATGTCAGACCATTTACCTACCATATTTACTCGCCTATTAGATCGATTATAAGACCTAATTTTTACTAAAATTTGGCAGTACTTGTCATTAGACCCTCTTTTAAGGCGGGATGAATTTTTTAAAAATATAATACAACTGGACCTCAGTTTTTTTTTATGGGAAATTCTCATAAAACCATGAAAATGACTTGATCTGGTTGATTAATAACCATTTTCAAATAAAAGAACCTACTAGGCTGTTATAATAGAATTTCATTGTTTGAAATGCAATTACACACATCAGTTGTGTTTTTTTACCCATGAAAATACGCATACAAAAATAAAGGGCAGCAACCAGTGCTGCACCAGCTACTTTATACTGATTTGATTGAACATTTATTAAACAGTTTACTGTTTAAAATAATTATATAATTTTATCATCTTTATTAACACATCAATACAAAATCTTGTTCATTGATTTAAATTAAACTGCCGTTTAATCGAGTAATTTTCACAAAAATCTCATCGGAATCATATCTGTTAATTGTTCCTCACTTGCAAGTTGAGATTACATAACTACATTGCTCTTCATCATACTGCTTTAAAATTGTTTACGATTACCCTTAGCAGGCATATATTGTATACATAAAAGAGACTGCTATAAGACACAAGGAAATCCGGTAACCAGTCCCTAGCTCTTATTGAATATACCCCTTGGTTCTTTTACATGCCCAGTGTATAGCACTGATACATGCGAGTATTACCTGGATTTCTTACCAGTACACCTCTAGGTAGGTGGGAAACACTGAAAGTGTCTCTGAAAAATCCCAAGGTTGTATTGTTACCCAGGATTGAGCTTAGGACCTTAGGAGTGATAACAGCTTTATTTCCTTTAACAGTTTAAGAGTAATCAATTCCCTAACATGACAGGGATTTTTTTCCAGGATTTTGGGAACACGACCCATACCCATGGAATTGAGAATTTCAGCGGTGTTTTGTTCAAAATTGGGAAAAAATGCAGGACTAAAATTTTACAGTGATGAAATGGATACAATTACTGTCTAGGATGGCATGTTCAAACATTTAAGCACCTTAGCAGTGAAGAAGCCCTTATTTTCAAAGATTTTAGAATTTGTTATTCAATATCTTTATTTTGTAAGTTTCAATTGGAATTTTTTTTCTGTGGATTGGGAAAATAATTTATACTATTTTCAATTTGGAATACTAACGAATATTGGCTAAGTAAGCAAAAAAAATCACTGAAATGTTCCTCACTTGCGGAGAGTTCGAGATAACATAATACATATCTACAGTATTTATACCTTGCAATGATTGAAATGAAAGCTTTATTTCCATTAACCCATTACCCGATACACAAGCCTTTTAATGCCTTTTTCAGGACACCACCTATTTGTCTCAAATGGTGAAAAAACGCCACCCCCTATCCAAAAGATACATCAGGGGGTTGCCAGAATGGGGATGTGCCCCCTTCTCTTTGGGGGGTTTGAAGGGGGCGGCGACATTCCCCCTAATCACCAAGAAAATTTTGGAGAGGTTAAAAATGACCCCAGGTTGTTCAAAAAGTAACGTGTAACCAACGCTAAAAAGCCTTTGACTCTATCTCAATCCATTAAGAATTTGCAGCATTTTGAAATCAATTTTGAATGAAAAAATCAATGCAAAATAGTGATTTTTGGCAATATTGAGATGTCCCCTCCTTGCTATGGTAACAAGAAATTTCAGACTGAGCATGTTGTTACAAAGAGCAATGGTCCAGTTAACATTTGTGCCAAGTTTGATTAGTATTGAAGCAGTTTTTATAGCAATTTGAACTTGTAATGGTAGCAATTTGAACTTGTAATGGGAGACTTTTCAATGACAACAGCCATTTTTCACAAAATGCTCATGCAGGGTGTGGGAATGTTTTTAAAGAGTTCACATTAATGATTTGGATAAGTACATTAATGATTTGGATAAGTGCTGAAAAATGTGCGGCGAGTTGCATAAGGTTATCTTTACTAAATTATAATATTTTTTTTTTTTTTAAATCTATCAGATCAACGTGTTGAACACCAGTGTTAGTTTTTGCGTTCGCTAGTTAAAATATATTTATGACAAAAACTCAATGGAGAACCTTTGATATATCAAGTGAATATTCGATTAGACTCGACAATAAAAGAGATTTTCTTAAAAAACCAAATTAATCGTTAGTGAGTGGTTGTATTTTACCATTTCTTCCCTACTTTGAAAGATGGCGGGAGTTCTTGCGAGTTCTTGTGCACGAGAATCTAGAAACTATCGACACGTTCTCTGGTAAAGCAAAGTCCGGATTAGGTAAAGATACGCGAAAAGAACTTTTATAGGCGAAAATAAATATCCTATGAAATCTATGAATCAGTACTTAGGATGTAGTACATAAGTACCAGAACCAGTACTTGCCAAGTTATGCAGTACCAGTACAAGTACTAGATTTTAGCTCGGAACTGCAGAACCAGTACCTTTCTTCATTAAGGAATTAACTCAGAAATCCATATGTTCTAATTCTTTCGAAATGTCAAACATGTGTTTAAAAATGTTTCAATAATGAATCTACAGCATGTTATTTATATACAGAAGAAAATGGTGCTGAACGTGCAGTAATGTGTTGTAAAGGTAACAAAATGTACACAAAGTAGTATTTTGACTTCCATACAAAATACTATTCACTATAATTCTACTAATTGCCAACATATCAAAGTCAGCAAAGACAATTCATGTATATGGAAAAGGAGTATATTTTTGGAAAGTTTAACAAGATACCAAAATTAAAAAAAAAATTAAGAAAAAAAAACATTTCTGAGGCACAGTGGGCATATAATTGCTCCAATTAAGACTTTAATACATAATAGACTTTAGTTATAATGAATGATGATATATGAACATCAATATTATGTGTGAATGTATGCACTTATTCAAACGTGATAAACAAACAGTTAAAAGCAATCAATACACAAAGAAATATTAATTTTGAAAAAAAAAATAACTTAAACTTTGTTGTTTGATCTATTTCATGTCTTTACTTGATGTAAATTCGAAAATACATTTTTCTAAACATATAAAAATGTTTTAACTTATTATGTATATTTTGGCACCGTTACTTTACTTGTATTATATGTAGCAAGCGAAAAAAAATACTTTTTTTCTATTATTAACTTTGGAAATATTTTACTTTATATTGAATTACTCTATGTGCCTCCTGTTTTCACATGTACCATTATAAAAAGATGTCAGCAACAGTCAGCCCTTATGAATACTATGTCTACTCTGATCGGGAGAAGAGTTCTAAACATTTTAATATTTTTAATAAAGCACTACTTTTTAACTTTTTTATTATTAACTTTACCAATTTCCAACTGAGCTTGCGAGGCAAATGATGGTCCATGTTTATAGCAAATGAGTATGCTTTTGGAGACTGTAACAAAATACCCAAAAAAATCAGTCTTGAGAAGTAAAAATGATAGTATTTCTGAGGCATAATGGGCCTTTAATGTTTTCAAACTATGTTATGGATATAAATACTTTTTGTGTGTATATATATGACGGTAAAAAAATCAGGGATTCTACCGGTCCTCCCAGGTGTCCCATAAGGCACGGTATTAGGTCCTGCCTTTTCCTTTCCTATAAAAATGACCGCCCAGATAGTGACAAAGATGAGGTTGGACTTTTTGCAGATGATACTGTTTTCTACCTATAACCATCAGATCTAAACAAGATATCGTGACCCTCCAAGATGACGTACATGCTTTAGAAATATGGGAAAAAGACTGGCTAATGGAGTTAAACCCTAATAAATGTGAAGTTGTAAAGATAACAAGAAAAAAATCCTGTAATATTTCCTTATACCCTCCATAACATTTAACAAAACTCAACCCAAGAAGCAAAATACTTATAGGAGTCACTATGAGTCAAGACCTTTGAAGGACCAAACATATAAATAATATTACATCTCAAGCAAATAATGCCCTTAGATTCATTAGAAGAAATGTTAAAAAATCCTAAAAAAGATAAAGGAAACTGCATATAAGGCCTATGTTAGACCTCAGGTTGAATATTGCCCCATAGTTTGGCATCCTTGGCAGAAATAACTCATTGATAAGATAGAACAAGTTCAAAGATCAGCTGCTAGATATATTTTTAATGATTATGTGTATAAAAGTAGTGTCTCATAAATGATAAATGAACTTAATTGGCAAACCCTTAGGCAGCGTCGAAACATCAGTGCTGTAACCTACTTGTATAAAATCCAAAACAACATTGTCTTTGTTGACCGCCACCACCTTACTTAAACAAGAAATCTGAACTACCTGATACCCTACTCGAGGACACAATACCATCAAAATTCTTTCTTTCCTAGGAGCATACGCCTTTGTGATAGCCTTCCTCTAACTGTTCAGTTTAGCCCCAGATTTAACATCTTTACTGAGAGGCTTGACCCATTCTGCAAATTCTAAATTGCACGCTATATATGTCTCTTAAATTGATAGTCTTGTAGAACTTTTATTCTTTTATCTTTTTAAATTTGCATATAGATAATGTCTTTTATTAACAGTTCCCTGACAACGCGCCTACTAATCATAATCAGAATTGATCGTTGCGTTATAGTCCAGTTACCAATTCATCGTTTAGTATTATTTATAGGGAGAGTGTCGAGTTATAATTTATCAAATTTCGTTTCAATCATTATTATAGTCTGCGCTAAACCCAAGTTATACAATTTTATGTTCATTCGTTCAACATCAAATTTCGGTTTGTCGTAATCAAGATGTTACCTAAATTTTTTACTTATGTAACGGAACTAGTTTGGAATTTGTCAAGTGTCCAGTTTTGGGCCTCATTTTTTTGTAGGCTAAAGTTGGGAACTTTGCAAATAATCAGAAATGCTTTTTTGAAACTGTAAATTTTTGCATAAACACTTTGATTAAAATAATGTATCTTCAATGAACTAACATTTATACTTAAATTTGAACTTGAAAAACGGTTTTTTTTTTTTTTTTTTTTTTTTTTTTTTTTTTTTTTTTTTTTTTTTTTTTTTTTTTTTTTTTTTTTTTTTTTTTTTTTTTTTTTTTTTTTTTTTTTTTTTTTTTTTTTTTTTTTTTTTTTTTTTCTTGACACTAATTTCTATACATAAATTTTGCAATTAAGCAAAACGAAAGGTGTGGTTTGCAAGTGACAAATGAATTGGTGACAAATTGACGTAAAGAAACGAAGTGAAAACCATAAAGTTAATATTGGGATAGACTTTAAATTCTGTTCAGACCTATTATCTGACAACACTCAGTCAACACTGTTCACTGGCATCTGCGGATAGTTCAAAATTCCATATTTACCATTTCATTATTCATATTAAATGTTGAATGTTCACTGCTTAATTGGTTTGTGTACAGCCGATGCTAGGTGCCGTGGACGGTAACTTGCACTTTCCATCACCCTTCATGATCACGCTCAATCAAACCGAGCCTGCAACATTTTCAATTTTGTTGTTTTGTGATCTATATTACTCTCTTATTGAGCTGTCTTCAGTTAATTGTAGACCTTAACTGAATAATGAGCTGACTTTTTACCACTGTCAGGTCAGTTGGATAGATTTGTTGTTGTCAATGAAAATAGCTGGTGATATGTCCAAATCGCTATTCCCGGGATTTTAACATAAATTTAACATCGTGCTGTTTCGCAATTCATTGCTTCGGCAGGATGGACATTTACCAGGGGTTTGCAAAAGTCTCCATATAAGGCAGGTACAGGCATTGGTTACAGTTGACTAGTGTGTTAAAAGTTTTCTATTCTTCCTTCCACCCCTAGACTGACACTGCTGGATTATAGCATTGGTTTTGTTTAGGCAACATTAATTTTACAGTACAGTCTCAAAGAATAGTGAAGAAGTTTAAATAGCCTGACAGTTAAAAGTGATGATATCCTACTCCATTTATCAGCATCGAAAGGAATAAAACTTCATGCAACTCATATCTCATTAACCACCGAAGGTGTGCATGTGGAATTTACACATGTTATGGGGATCCAGCGTTCTTACAAATCCTACTGTCTTATATACAAGACAACTCTATAATTATTTTTGAACAACTGACAATAAATGGAAACTTTGTCTTTTGCAAACAGATAATTGCTTATCTTGATGAACTGTATTATGAGACATTCCCATACATTAATTTTTTCATCAGTTTGTTAACTGTGCTGTTTTGATTGCCGATATTGCAGACATTCCTGAAGGGATAGTTGATATTTTTCTGGTTAGTGCATGCAGCATGATACAAAAGTGGTCCTGTTCCAGTGGTGACCCTTGTTCATTTACATTCCCATTTAAGAGCACAATAAGAATACTCTTAATCTTAAATTATTTTGCTTAAAAACACTTCTTATGTATTGTTAACTTTGTCAAATAGCAGCAGTTGTGTCAAGTTTTCAACAAAACAATTGTCGACACAAAATGATGATGTTATACACACTGAGATAAAAACAAGTTAATAGCTTTAGTATTTAGAAAAGGTTGGGTATGAGATTATGTTGAAATACAATATGTGACTTCACTTGTCTATGGGATCCTACAGATAGATGGTCTCTGAAAAATTCAAGTTTGCAAACCATTAAAGGTATATAATTTAAAGTTTCACACAGTCATGTCTTAGGGATTGTAACTATTGCTCAAAACCTGCTGCTTTAACATGGATTGCCACTGAATTATTTCCCTTTGTCAATTTGATGGCCCTCGTATAACTAACTATCAAGCACTGACAACAGTCTGGTGTGCTGTTTGTCTGACAGCTTATGTGTCAGTACAAAGGAAATAAAAGTGTTTGTGGTACTGTATACAAAGCAGTAATTTTAGAAATAATAGATATGCATGAATCTCACCTGGGACTTTAGATTATTTCATGTGCAGACAGCACCCAACAGGCTTACAAAAAAGATTGATGGTTTTACTCAGGTGCCTGCTTGTGCCTGAAATAAGGCAGGGAGGGACACCTTAGATCTTCCTGCACCATTTGAGCTGGAAAGTTGTCATAATGATATATATAAAGATAACATGTAGAAATTCACCTTGAACACTTGGAAAATTAACCATTATAGCTCCACGCTGACACTAGGAATAGCATGTAGATTTTGAATTGATGGAAAGAAAAAAATAAATTACTAAAGAAAAGTTATGAATAGCTTGTCCCATATGTCAATAAAACATGTTAGTTATTTTAATTAACTTTGTCACTGGAGTGCAATGGGCTGGAGAAAGATAATTGACTACTAATTTATATTTACTATAATAAGGTATTGGAAAACAATTTTATTGTTGGCAGTGATACTGAAAGAATCTGATGAAGTGTATACTAATTAATAAGTTTTTAAAAAAGAAAAAGAAAAAAACTCAAGTATATATTATATCTTTTCCATTTTATTAGCTTAGAAAATAAAATAATGAACATCCTGGTTTGTTTGTGTGAAGTCATGTGACTGTGGTGTAGACTTGAGACATCCTATTAGATACCACATGATAAGTTCAGATTGTTTTTATTTGAACATAATTATATTGTGGTCATTTTGTGAAAAGTGGGGATTTCTGTTAAATTAAATAGTGATTGTTTTGTGAAAAGTGGGGATTTCTGATAAATATATTCTGATCATAATTTTGTGAGAAGTAGTGATTTTAAGTAGTCTAAGACTAGTGACAAATAATTGACAACAAAAAAAGGAGGATTTTGACATTATTTTGTTAATATTTTGAACAGTACATGGATAGGTAAATATAATTTAATACTGTATATCTTCTATAAAATAATCTAAGGGTGTCTAATTAACCTTTAGATCCAGGTTGGCAACTGATTCTGCCTATGTGACCAATGGAGTCACCAAGATCAGCAGCCACATCTGTGCCATCAAATCATGAACTACACTGTTCGCCATTAAGTTAGTATATATTTTGAAATTTTCTCTAAAAATGTGAAATACGGGTTTTATCCAGATTGAAAGATAAATAAGTCTGTTATAGTAATTTAGCATGGTGAGGGTTAAAGGAGTATGATTATTTCAGATTTTTTGAGATGTTCAAATGATAAAAGATTTATTAATTTTGTGACTGATACAATTACATAAAATTGCAGTTTGAGATACTGCCATTGTAATATTTTTTTTAAGAGTGTATAATACAATCGTGTATGGTCACTGAAAGTTGTAGAATAGATTTAACTTTTTGTAGTGAGAAACAGATTTAAAATAATGTCATTTTGTAATTACAAGTGCTGAAGTTTGATGTAGAAGACCGATATATATGTGAGTAATATATGCATAGCTATTTATACATGTATAAACACATCTTGTAATGAACATGGGTACAATGTTCAAGTGACTTATATATCTTTTAATCTTTTAGGATAGAAAAATAAGTGTTCTTAGCTATCTATAAATAAAGTCAGTATACTTTGATTTAATTTTTCAACAGTTTTATCAACAAAGTTAAGAAGAGACCTATATTATTTTGCCTACATTTTATCCCTACTCCTCCCCTCCCCTAAACCCCCCAAACACATATATACACACTTCAATCACACATCTTTCACTAGTGTATATAATGCAAGAATGATTTAACCCATAAAATTTTACTTACAGAAATGTACATTTTGTTTAATTTCACATATTGACAACAACTAGTGTAGGAAAAGTGTTATTATCAAGCACTTGTCTGAGAAATGAATCTTAGTTTTGTGACAGAACCTTCATTTTGTGACAGATACATGTAGATACAATCTTCTGTAATTAAGCAATAAAACATTGGCTTATTGTGTAGCTCTTTTATATTATCTCCTGCCCAAGAATATAGCATTGATTTTCCTAAAACAACATGCAGTAGTTTTCTGGATACAGTATATTACTCATACACACACTGGTTCTATATATACATGTAATATTGTTTACAGTGAATTCCCTTAAAGGAACTCCACTGCAACGCTTTTCAATTTCGGGTCATTTTTCACAATAAGAAAAATAATTATCATTATGGAAAATCTCTTAGTCAGCGAATAATCTGAAATTTTGCACAAAAGTTATTGGTCTAGACCTTTATCAAATTGTATAATAACCTCGAAAAATCATTTTCAGTCCAGTAATTTCAAAAAACCTAAGTGGAGTCCCTTTAAGTTTGTGGACATGAAATTTTGTGGTTTTGTCAAGAAAAACATTTTCATGGATTCTTTTGTCTGCCGAAATTTTTTGGGCATATTTTATAGCCGATATTCGGTCATATTGCCAATTGAAGATAGTATATTATTTTCCTGATCCACAAGAAAAAATTTCCTATTGAAAGTTAACGAAAACAAATTCTAAAATCTTGGAAAATAAGGGCTTCTTGACTGTTATGGTGCTTAAATGTTTGAAGATGCCATCTTAGACAGTGATTCTTTGCATTCATTTAATTTTAATCACTGCAAAGTAAGTTGTGCATTTTTTCCCAATTTTTAACAAAACATCACTGAAATTCCCAAATTCCATGGGTATGGGTCACTGTTAAAAATGTAATGCTAAAAAAATCTTACAGCAGACAAAATCAAATTTTGTTGCATCTTAAATTCATTGAGAAAACCTTGAAAATTAATGTCCTATGAATAATAATGATTTTTGCGCTATATTCTGTAATTTAGAATGTTTTATTGTTTAATAAATTGTTCAAAATTGAGCTATGTTGCTTGATGCATTGATTATTTTATTGAATATTCAATTGTAGAAAATAAACAACTATTATTTTTTCCCCTGGAATATATACTGTAATTACAGTTTTCATAATACTTGTAGATCTCATTTACTTTATTGAAAAAGTTTTATAATATATCTATATGATAATTGATAAGCTGTCAAATAAATTGCAATTCTTTTTAAAAACTGAATTACAATTTACATTTTTAAAGGAAAAAAAATCATTTCTGGAGCCGACAAATAGAAGATTTTGATATAGATTTTTTTATTTAGAGACATCTATATGATTACACAAACATGTCATGTATTAAAGACGTTTACTAACGTATGCTAACTGGCTAAAAAAAACCTTAGCATTTTTTGAGAAAATATTTCATATCTAAAAACTTGAGATAAGGTTAACATAATTGAATTTTTGGTCTTGTTTTAGAAGATGTACATGTATGCTAAAAGTTGTTACTTCTTAAAGGAACTCCACTGAGATCCAAATGCCTAACAACATAAAATTTCAAAATCTAACTAATATCAAGTGAAAACTTTTAAATGTAAAAATCTGCAGTGAGGATAAGAAAGAAATATACTCTGAATCAAATTCTTAGCCGGTTTTGAGCAAAAATCGGTATAATGTTTTTATTTTTTGGTCCATTAGCACTATAAAAATGGTCATTCTGACAAAATGGAGAGAGGGAATGAGTTAAAAATGTGTTTACAAATAACTGGAATGGACCTACATCAATTGGGTGCAATAATCCTGGAAAAATATTTCCAGTCCCATCTTGTCAAAAAACCTTGTGGGAGTCCCTTTAACCCATTACACGATATAAACGCCTTTTTCACCCCCCCCTTTTTGTTGTCTCAAATGGTGAAAAAATGCCTTATTAAGGCCCCCAACACTTGTTTTTGTTATACCCCCACCACAAAATGTGGGGGGGGCTATAATGGATTCGCTTTGTCGCGTTGGTCCGTCCGTCCGTCCGTCTCCATTTTCGTGTTCGCTCTATAACTCCTATACCAACTGAAGGATTTTCTTCAAACTTGGTTCATATGTTCACCTCAACAAGGGGATCACAGTGAAGAACCCATGTTGCCCATGTGTCAGCTCAAGTTCAAGGTCGCAATTGAAGGTCAAATATCAATCATAATCAAATATTAGACAGTATGTCGGGTCCGCTCTGTAAGTCCTACACTAATTTAAAGATTTACTTCAAACTTGGCTCAAATGTTCACCTCAACAAGGGGATGTGCAGAACTCATGTTGCCATGTGTCATTTTAAGGTCAAGGTCACAATTGAAGGTCAAATATCAAACAATCAAATATTACACAATATGTCATGTCCGCTCTGTAAGTCCTACACTAATTGAAAGATTATTTTCAAAACTTGGCTCAAATGTTCATTTCAACAATGGGATGTGCAGAACCCATGTTGCTCATGTGTCAGCTCAAGGTCAAGGTCAAATTGAAGGTCAAATATCAAACAATCAAATATTACACAGTATGTCGTGTCCGCTCTGTAAGTCCTACACTTATGGAAAGATTTTCTTCAAACTTGGCTCAAATGTTCACCTCAACAAGGTTATGTGCAGAACCCATGTCACTCTTTTGCCGGCTTCAGGTCAAGGTCACACTTGAAGGTCAAAAATTGACTTAGAAAATGTTCTTTAATTTTAACATATATCTGAATATTTCTGAATCTAGAAAGGTATTTGCTTGAAAACTTAAAATAAGTGTCACAATTAAGATATGCTGGTCAAGTTTCATAACTCTGTATTGCATTTTAACAAAGTTATGCCCCTTTTTAATCTTCAAATTTACATACAATCACATATTAGACAATATGTTGTGTCCGCTCTATAATCCTATACTAATGGAAGAATTTTCTTCAAACTTTTCTTAAATGTTCACCTAAACAAGGTTATGTGCAGAATCTATGTCACCTTTGTGCAGACTAAAGGTCAAGGTCAGACTTGAAGGTCAAAAATTGACTTAGAAAAATGTTCTTAGATTAAAACATGTTCTTGAATAATTTCGGAAACTAGCATAGGTATTTTGCTTGAAACTTAAAAGATATATGAGGTGTCACAATTACAATATGCAGGTCAAGTTTCATAACTCTGTATTGGATTTTGACAAAGTTATGCCCCTTTTAAGTCTTTAAATTACATGCAATCAATACTAGACAATATGTTGTGTCCGCTCTATAAATTCTATACTAATGGAAGGATTTTCTTCAAAAAAACTTTACTCAAATGTTTACTCCAATTGGGCGATGTGCAGAACCCATCTTACCCTTGTGCCAGCTGAAGGTCAAGGTCACACTTGAAGGTCAAAAATTGACTTATAAAAAGTTTAGTATATTGGGAAAATGAAAGGTTATTTGTAACTGTTTCGAACATGATTTGATAATAGATATTTTTACTATTACCTGTACAATTAGTCTTTTTTTCACCAGAGATAATTTCTTTTTATGTATTTGTGTCACTTAAATTATTCCCTTAACCACCTTTCCAAGTTGTCTTCTGTCAAGGACATTGGTGGGGGTATGAATCGCATTCAGCGATAGTTCTAGTTTGAGAAATATTGTTAAAAAAAGTGACCACTTTTTCGGCGCGGCCCCCCATCCAAAAGATACATCAGGGGTTGCCAGAAGGGGGATGTGCACCCTTCTGTTTGGGGGGTTTGAAAGGGGGGGAGAGTCCCCCTCATCGCCAAGAAAATTTTGGACTTGTGAGAGGCTATAAATGACCCCAGATTGATCATAAGGTAACGTGTAATCAAAGCTGAAAAGCATTTGACTCTATCTCAATCCATTGAGAAGTTGCAGCACTTTGAAATCAATTTTGATAGAAAAAATCAATGCAAAATAGTGATTTTTGGCAATTTTGAGATGTCCCCTCGTTGCCTTGGTAACAGAAAATTTAAGCTCGTGCATGTTGTTGCAAAGGCAATGGTCCAGTCAACATTTGTGCCAAGTTTGATGGTCAGATACTCGTATTAATTTTCCATAGGCTTACATTATAAGAAATGACCTCAAAACAGACCTTAAAATTGAGTTT